TTTTGTGCATTTTGGTTTTCTCTCTTTGTTTCTTGGTGAATCTAACTAAGGGTCCATCCATCTTGTTTATCTTTTCAAAACACCAGCTTTTTGTTTCATTGATGCTTTGAATTGGTTTTTTTTGGTCTCTATGTCATTTATTTCTGCTCTGATCTTTACTATTTCCTTCATTCTACTTGCTCTGGGGTTTTCTTTTTGTTTGCTTTCTAATTCTTTAAGTTGTGAGGTTAGACAGTCAGTTAGAAATTTTTCTTGTTTCTAGAGGTAGGCCTGTAGTGCTATTAACTTCCCTCTCAGAACTGCTTTTCCTGCATCCCATTGATATTGTGTTGTTGTGTGTTCATTTTCATTGGTTTCCAGGAAGTTTTTAATTTCTTCCATGATCTCCTCAGTAATCTATTCATTGTTTAATAACATGCTATTTAGCTTCCATGTGTTCAAATGTCTTTGCATGTTTTTGTTGCAATTGCTTTCTAGTTTCATGCCATTGTGATATGAGAAGATGCTTGATATGATTTCAATTTTCTTGAACTTGTAGAGATTCAGTTTGTGTCTTATCATGTGGTCTGTCTTGAGAATGTCCCATGTGCACTTGAGAAGAATGTGAATTCTGTAGTTTTGGGGTGTAATTCTCTGTAGATATCTATTAAATCCATTTGGTCTAGTGCTTCATTTAGAGTCTCTGTTTCCTTGCTAATTTTTTTGTCTAGAGGATCTATCCAGTGGTGTCAATGAGGTGTTGAAGTCCCCTGCTATGACTGTATTGCTGTTGATTTCTCCTTTGAAGTTCTCCAGAAGATTTATAATATATTTTGGTGCTCCTATATTGGGTGCATATATGTTTATCAAGGTTATATCTTCCTGTTGGATAGATCCTTTCAATATTATGTAGTGGCCTTCTTTGTCTCTAGTTATGGTCTTCATTTTGAAATCTATTTTTATCAGATATGAGTATTGCTACCCCAGCTTCTTTTTGCTTTCCGTTTTCTTGGAAAATTTTTTTCCATCCCTTCACTTCAACCTATGTGAGTCTTTTGTTGTGAGGTGGGTCTCTTGTAAACAACATATAGATGAGTCATGCTTTCTTATCCAGTCAGTTACTCTATGTCTTTTTATCAGAGCATTCAGTTTATTTACATTTAAGGCAATTATTGATATGTACTTATTTATTGCCATTTTTGTTTAGTTTGGTTCTATTTTTCTTCCTATTTCTTCTGCTAATTACAGCAGTCCTTTTAACATTTCTTGTAGTGCTGGTTTGGTGCTAATGTATTCCCTTCGCCTTTTTTTTTTTTTTTTGTCTTGGAAGCTCTTTATTTGACATTCTATTTTAAATGACAGCCTTGCTGGGTAGAGTAGTCTTGGATTCAGATCCTTGTTTTTCATAACCTTGATTACTTCATGCCATTCCCTTCTGGCCTGTAGTGTTTCTTGTGAGAAGTCAGCTGAGAGCCTTATGGGGTCTCCTTTGTAGGTAACCTGTTGCTTATCTCTTGCTGCTTTTAGGACTCTCTCTTTGTCTTTAATTTTTGGCATTTTAATTAGTATGTGTCTTGGTGTGGGCCTGTTTGGTTTCTTCTTACTTGGGGCTCTCTGTGCTTTTTGAACTTGAATGCCTTCTTCCTTCTCCAAATTAGGGAAGTTTTCTGTCACTATTTCTTTGAATATATTCTCTAACCCTTGCTCATTTTCTTCTTTGGGCACTCCTATGATGCAAATATTATTACGTTTCCAGTTGTCCCACAGTTCTCTTAAGCTGTCTTCCTGTTTTTAAATTGTTTTTTCCTTTTGGTTTTCTGATTGGTTGATTTTTTTTCTACCCTGTCTTTTTTTATTTATTTATTTATTTTGGTATGTGCCCCTAGTAAGAACTGAACCGGGGCCCTCTGGTCCGCAGGCTAACATTCCAACCACTGAGCCAAACTGGCCGGGGCATACCCTGTCTTCTAGTTCACTGATCTGGTCCTCAGCTTCCTCTCCTCTGCTCTTTAGACCTTCCAATGTGTTCTTTATTTCTGATATGTCACTCTTGATCTCTTCTTGGTGGTTTTTACTTTCTAATTGGTTTATTTTCAGCATCTCTATGTCCTTACTCATGCTGTTGAGCTTCCTCAAGATCATGGCTCTGAATTCTAGCTCTGTTAACTTGCCTAACTGCTCCACGTTGATATCATCCTTGGTGGAGGTCTCCTGTTTTTTCATTAGGCTTTTGTTTCTGTGTTTCACCATTTTGGCTATCACAGTGGGCTTTGGAGCCTGCCAAGTTTTCCCTGTGGGTATTGGTGTTCTGTGGTTTGTGGCTCCCTCTCCTGGGTTTAGATGAGCGAGGGAGGACCCACGTTAAACACACTGTCAAGTCTTACTTTTTTGGTTAGAGTTGCTAGCCCAGGAATGGTACTGTTATCCTCTAGCTTTTTGCCTGGAGGCTAGCAGTCCAGGTTACTTGACGAGTTTTGGATTGTTAGTTGATTGAAAAACTCCCTCAGGTGCTCAGTGTAAGGGGATTTTCCAAGGGTGGGGCAGATGCTGGTTGTAGTAAGCCTCAATTTGCATTTCAATGGCCCACGTGATGGGGTTGAATCTCCGAGGGAGGGGCTGCTGCCTCTCCCCAGACCCTGGGAAGGAGCAATATGGACACCTTCCTGCGTGGCTGCAACTCAGCAAAAGCTCTGAGAGCCCTCCAAATCCCCAGTATCTCCACACAATTCCAGTCCAGTCCACCCTCCTTCTGCCGGAGCCGAAGGTGAGTGGCTGTGGCTATTTTAGCCTCTGTCCCGGCTCTGCGCTGTGGAGCCACTTGGGAGTGTAGCCTGAGGGCTCCGCTCCCAGCTAACGCTGTTGCCAAGCTGCCAACCATGGGCTCCCAACCCGTCTCGTGCCTTCGCAATCCTACCAGGATCGAGTCAGTGTCCCTGGTTATATGGTCCTCGCAAGCTGCTTTTCTGTTGCTTTTTCCCATTGATTTGTCTGTGTTTTAGTTGTAATTCCAGTTTGGTCCTGGGAGATGGTCTGTGTAGCTTCATTCACTCCGCCACCATTTTGGAATCCACCCATCTTCAGTTTTTTAAACAGCTGCATAGATTTCCATTATATGGAGATACCATAATTTATTTAACCAGGCCCCTGTTGATGGACATTTGAGTTTTTACTGGTGAACACTCTTGTACACATATTGCTGTGTATCTGTGTAAGATTACCTGTTAGATAAGTTCCCACAGTAAAATTATTAAGCCATAAGATACATGTATTTGTAATTTGGATAGATATTGCCACCTCCACAAAGGTTGTATCAATACACATTTCCACCAGCAATAATTTCTCACAGCCTTGCTAATAGTATGCATCTTCAAATTTTAGGAGTTTTGCCATTCTCCTGTATGGTATACTAGTGACATTTTAATATGTTTTTTTTTTTTTTAATCCTCACCCAAGGACATTTTTCCATTTTTTGTTCAGATAGAGTGGGAGGGAGAGAGAGGAAGAGAGAGAGAGAGAAACATTGATGTGAAAGGGACACATCGAGTGGCTGCCACCGGCACCACCAACCAGGGCCGGGGACAAACTGCAACTGAGGCACGTGCCCTTAGTGGGAACTGAACCTGGGTCTCTTCGGACCACAGGCCAATGCTGAGCCAAACCGGCCAGGGCTGAAGTTTTAATATGTATTCTTCTTATTTTGAGTGAAGTTAGTATCTTTTCATGTATTTCACTGTTTGGTCATATCCTTTAGGGCTAAGTCTTGTAATAAATCTTTTCTTTGTCAGTAAAACTCTTAGAACAGTGCTATACTAAGAATTCAATGAAAGCTCGATTGAATTAAATTGAACAGTTTTTTCTTTTTCTTTTTGCATAACAAAATGTTCCAGGCTTATCTTGTACCTACCCTGCCTAGCCCAGGAATCAGCCATTTTTGTGAGCATTTATGTTTTGTTTTGTTTTTTAGTGAGAAATGATATTACAAAACAAGGGCTGGCAGCAGCTGTGCTCATTGCTCCTGGAATATATATTCTTCTTGGCACTTTCATCAGATAGAGTTAGGGAATACATGCATGTCTATACACATATACATGTATGCATGTTTGTGTGTGTATATATATATAAATATATATAAGTACATACATGCATATACACATGAAATATACATGTACATATACATTTTAGAAATAAGTTCACACTGATAGCACTAATTCCCATTCATTTCCATGGGTTTCTTGCCTTCCATCACTCCATATTTGTATTTTTCTTTTTCCTGAGTGGGAACCCTGACTTCTAACAAATCAACACATTTACCTACTTTGTTCAATTCTTTTTTTTTTTTTTCCCTTTGGGGCCCTCTGGTAAAAACTGGAAGACCTACCAAATTTAAAAAGAACTGTAACACTACTACTTTATTCAATTTTATAATATAATATAGTCCAGAATAACTTCACCCATTCAACCATAATATACTTCTATAGCTTGTTTTTAAAAATTATTTTACAAAGAAAAACAATTGATGTTTCTTTATAAAAGCCATTATTCAAATGAATTTATCCGAATTGGACTTTGTCTAGATTCATTGGATCATCATGCAAAAAAAATATTTTATATAAATTTTAGAGCTGTTCTTTTTAAAAATTCTACTTAGACCTTTGATGAGGGCAGTGTATTAAGATTTATATAATGAAAAGTAGAAAATTTGGTAATTTTATGATAATGAAAAGTTTTTGCTACTAATTATACTGATGGTCTTTCTAGAAATAACGTTAAAATGTACACATTAAATTGTATTTCACTCTAGATTCAAGGATATCATCTTTACCTAGAATAACAAAATGTACAATATTCTAAAAGAAAATATGAACCCTTGATCTACAACTTTGAACCCTTGATCTACAACTTTGAATTTTGTTATAAACTCCAATAGGAATAAATACGAATGCTTACTCTTATGTATCATTTATATTAATGTTTCTACCTTCTAGTAATTTATCATTTATAATTTTCTCCTTTTCTTTCAGATACGGGCATAGACTACCATGCTCTTCTAAAACAATTTGATCACCTAAACCACATGAATCCTGACAAGTTTGAATCTACAGACTTAGATATGCTAATCAAAGCAGTAAGAATAATTCAAAAAAATGTCTTTGTTGTGCCTTTGAGGTTTTGTAAGTAAATATATATATAATGGTTATTATAATATATATATATATAATGGTAAATATATATATATAATTGCTATTAATATGTATGTAATTTGACAGATAAATTCAATGAAGTGGTAATATAACTTTTATGTACCACGCTCTAGAATATCTTTAAATGGGTATGGCTTAACCTTTATTAGTACAGATAATAATTTGTATATACAGGTCTGTAATCCCTTATCCACAATTGCAAAATCCAAAAAAAAACATAAAAACTGAAACCTGGCTTTAATTATAAGTAAGGCTATTAATATTTTTTATTTATCTTACTTAGTGTGAGTAGTCATAGATTTTGCTGAAGAAGTACTATTCTGTTTGATTATAGACTCTGCAGAGATGTTCCATAATGTGGTATATACACCATATTGCCTTTCTAAAAAGTCTAGAAAAAAAATTTATTTTGCTTCCAGTTTTAATGAGATATAATTGACATGTAACACTTTAAATTTAAGGTGTACAGCATAATGACTTGACATTGCAAAATGATTACCAAAATAAGTTTAGTTAACATCCATCACTCATATAGTTCTAATTTTTTTTTTCTCTTGTGAAGAGAACTTTTAGGATTTGCTCTCTTAGCAACTTTCAGATATACCATACACACTGTAACTATAGTCATCACGTTGTACATTACATCCTAGGACTTGTTCATCTTATAACTAGAAGTTTGTGCCCTTTGACCACCTTCACCCCTTTTTCCTACCACTCTGCCTCTGGTAACCATGAATCTGATCTCTTTTTTTATGAAATTAGTTTAAAATTCCACATATAAGTCAGTTCATACAATATTTGTCTTTGTCTGATTTATTTCTAGTATAAGGCCCTCAAAGTCCATCCATGGCAGGATTTTCTTTTTTTATGGCTGAATTGAGGGACACTTTAGGTTTTTTCCATCTCTTGGCTATTGTAAATAATGCTGCAGTGAACATGGGGGTGCAGATATCTGTTTGCCATGTGATTTTGTTTCTTTTGGCTATACACCTAGAAGCAGAACTGTTGGATTATATGGTAGTTATAGTATTTTTATTTTTTTGAGAACCTTCTTACTGTTTTCCATAGTGGCTACACCAATTTACAATCCTACCAACAGTGCACGAGGGTTCCCTTTTCTCCACATTCTCACCAGCATTTATCTTTTGTCTTTTTGATGATAGTCATTCTAAAAGGCATAAGGTAATATCTCATTGTGGTTTTGATTTGCATTTCCCTGATGATTAGTGATGTCGAGTATCTTTTTGTGTGCCTTTTGGCTATCTGAATATCTTATTTGGAAAATGTCTATTCAGGTCCTTTGATCATTTTTAAATTGGATTATTTGTTTCTTTGCTATTGAGTTTATGAATTCTTTATGTATTTTATATATTAACCCCTTGTTAGATATATGATTTGCAAATATGTTCTCCCATTTCATAGGCTGTCTTTTCATTTTGTTGACTGTTTCCTTTGTTGTGCAGAAGCTTTTTAGTTTGATGCCATCCCACTTGATTTTTATTTTGTGGCTTGTGCTTCAGGTGTCATATTTAAAAAATCATTGCTGAGACCCATGTCAAGAAGCTTTTTCCTGTGTTTTCTTCTAGGATTTTTATAGTTTCACGTCTTACATCTAAGTCTTTAATCCACTTAGAGTTAATTTTTGTGAGTGGTGTAAGGGGTTTAGTTTTATTTTTTAACATGTGAATGTCCAATTTCCCCAGGATGATTTATTGATGAGATGGTCATTTCTCCAGTGTGTATCCTCAGCTCCTTTGTCAAATATTAGTTGGCAGAAAATTCTGAAACTCATCCGGGCATAGGGATTTTATTTATTTTTTATTTTTTTTATAGTGTTTTCATTGTAATGTTTTTATTTCTAGACTTAGAGGGTTGGTGCATGATTTTCTCATAAATAATATTCTGTAAACTGATTTATTTATTTATTTATTTATTTTGGTTTCCTAGCGGGAACTGAACCCCAGGACTCTCTGGTCCGCAGGCCGATGCTCCAACCGCTGAGCCAAACCGGCCAGGGCTGGTCATAGGGATTTTAGATAAGAGTTTGCATACCTCTCATGTTGTACTGTACCAAGTTACCAAACTCAATGTTCTTGCCTGGATGTTTTGAGATTGAGTTAAGTGGTTAGAAACTAATCTAGTTTTCTACTGTACAGATTTGATATAGTCCCTTCCTTCTTCTGTTTCAAATCAATTTATATATTATATATACTTATGAGAAACATCTTAAACATTTAGCTTCTTTGAATGCCTGCATTTCTGGTATTAATAATGACTGAAATAAAATGGTAGAATGTATTTATTTTTTGTTAATCCTCACCTGAGGATATGTTTCCATTGATTTTTAGATAGAGTGGAAAGGAGGAAGGGGAGAGAGAGACAGAAAGAAACAGTGATGTGAGAGAGACACATCGATTGGTTACCTCCTGTAGGACCCTGATCAGTGCTGGGGATCAAACCTGTACGCAGGATGTGCCCTTGACTGAGAATTGAATCTGAGACCCTTTGGTCCTCAGTCCGACTCTCTAACCGCTGAGCCAAACCAGCAAGGGTTAAAATGGTAGAATTTAAAAAGAGGAGTCCAGTATTTTTTTTCTCTTCTATACGTCTTTTGTTAGAAAATGTGCTATATGCAAGAATGCCTTTTATATTTTCAAACACATCTTTTTATTTAAATGTTACATTTTAGGCTACAAGTGATCTGGAAGACTATGATAAGACTCGACATGAAGAATTTAAAAAATATGAAATGATGAAAGAACATGAAAGGAGAGAATATTTAAAAACACTGAATGAAGAAAAGAGAAAAGAAGAAGAATCTAAATATGAAGAAATGAAGAAAAAGCATGAAAATCACCCAAAAGTTAATCATCCAGTAAGGATTATGACTTTATGAAACCATAATTAGATGGTTCTTTGTACCAGATAGTAGAGTTTTGTGATAAGTTATTGGTACTTAATATTGATTCCTAATTCTGCAAAGTTCCTCAAATTTAAATTTTCTTTTGAGTATATACACATAGATTATATTTTAAGTTTTTTTTTTTTTTTTTTTAATTGATTCACAGGGAAGCAAAGATCAGCTAAAAGAGGTATGGGAAGAGACTGATGGATTGGATCCTAATGATTTTGACCCCAAGACATTTTTCAAATTACACGGTAACATATTTGATAGAAATATTAATGTTTACATCTGCTGTTTGAAAAATTATTGTTGCTTTACTTTTAATATTTCTGCCAAAGTCTGTTATTAAATCCGATTGATAGTAAATATTTCGAGTTTTTCTCTGGGGTAATATAATAGTCTTTATTGCTGATATGCACTATAAAATATTTTGGGTCAGAAGCTGTGTCTTTATATCTGCTTTTACTGGTAAGTCATTATATGACTTATTACAAGATTCCCTGTAAAATGAAGATATTTCTGTGACTAGGTAGGTTATATCTAACAGGTTTTGTGCTATAATACTAATATTTAGTTTTATTCTTTTTTTTTTTTTTATCCTCATCCGAGGACATTTTTCCATTTTTTGTTCAGGTAGAGTGGGAGGGAGAGAGAGGAACAGAGAGAGAGAGAGAAACATCGATGTGAAAGGAACACATCGAGTGGCTGCCACCCGCACAACCGACCAGGGCCGGGGACAAACTGCAACCGAGGTACATGCCCCTAGCGGGAACCGAACCCGGGTCTCTCAGGACCGCAGGCTGCCGCTCTAACCGCTGAGCCAAACCGGCCAGGGCTTTAGTTTTATTCTTATAGTATATTGCTCTACTTTATATTTTTGGAAAAAATTATTTGACATATTTTTCTAAAAAACTGATGAATTATAAATAAGTGAATTGTTATCGTTGGACTGATCTGAGGCTTCATAAGAAAGACGAAAGTTTTTTCTGTAGCATAGTAATGCTTCATGTCAGTACTACTTTTGCAAATCATTTGTAAATAGTTGTATGTTAATTATTAATTTTCTGAGGCATTAAAATCATTTTTTTTTTTTTGCATTGGGAACTTTAGATGTCAATAATGATGGCTTCCTTGATGAACAAGAATTAGAAGCCCTATTTACTAAAGAGGTAAATGAGTTCACTAAGTATTTGGTTGTTTTGCTCTCTCTTTTTTTTTTTTCTTTTATTATCTTTCTTTCTTTTATATTGGTGTTAAATTTTCTTTTTTAGTTGGAGAAAGTATATGACCCCAAAAATGAAGAGGATGATATGGTAGAAATGGAGGAGGAAAGGCTTAGAATGAGGGAACATGTAATGAATGAGGTATGTTTTAAAAATTTAAGATATGTAACAGTATTTCTGTGGATTATTCGAGTTGTTGAAATAAATCTTACCACAAAATGGAAGACAAATATATGGAATAGGTATGTAATTGGACTTTATATTTTTGATCCAGAATATTCAGTAAATTCCCTTACTGTAAATAAAATTATGTTGTTAACTCCTTTAAAATATTTAAAAAGATTAAGATGCTGCTGCATGTCAGCTATAAAGCATACTTTTGGAAGTAAAAAATAATGTAGTTCAATATTTGGTATTTTAAATGGCTATTTTCGTTTTTGCTAAGAAAGTCCAAAACCCAAATATCTAAGTAATTTATAACAAATACTTATATCTTGTTCACATTACTAAGCTGAAAACTCTGATAGACATCATAAGCAGGGTAACTAAAGCCCACTGTTTTGCTTCAGTAATTTTCACCTGATATTGATGAACTGGGATTTCTTTTGACTGCTGGCATCCCAGGTATCAAATGAATTTCTTTGGTTACTACTTTTGTAATTGAATTTGCCTTAGTTTATGAGAGCCATTGGAGGTTTTGGAGAGGATGTAAACTTTCATTTTCATTTACTTAGTTGTTTGTTTTTAAGAAAAACTGTTGAGAGCATTTTAACTTAAACTCCTTTACTTATAGCTAAACAATCCTCTTACTGGAAAGATTATTTTTCTTGCCCAAACACTTCAAGAAGGGTTATACATGATGTGGTGAGGGAGGAAGACATTACTAGCCTAAATAGTCAGATCAGCTACTAAAACTTAGTGATCTTTGGGAGTATTAGGGATGTAAATATTTCACTGTATTTCCAAATTGGGATTATATAGAAGAATATCTGTTTTCTGGTTCTGGTATAATGTTGAGTGTTCTGTTTTGTTTTTTCTGTTCAGTGTTTGTGGATGTTCGGCTAGTTCTAACTGCTGTATGTTTATGTAGTAGCATCTACTGAAAGATAGTTTCTAGTGTCTAAAGATGAGAGTTATTTGATTTTACTACATTTTCCATTAATCAGGTTGATTCTAACAAAGATCGATTGGTGACTCTAGAAGAGTTTTTGAAAGCTACAGAAAAAAAGGAATTCTTGGAGCCGGATAGCTGGGAGGTAAGAGAACTTGTTTGAAATGGGATATATGGTTCAAGAAATTCTACACCAGTCTGTTCTACTTTTAACTTTTATTCCTCATTATGTTTGCTTGTATAGTCTTACCATTCTGGTTTTTTATATAAAATGTCACTTTAAAATAATGAGCTTGATTTCTTGGGAAGCTTGTGGCAATCAATCTCTTTTAAAAGTTGTAAAATAGTGTTCATTTGTGAAAATTAGAAATATAAATACATTTAAAGAATAAATTAGAAGTTACCTATATATAATTCTACCATCTAGAGGTAGACATTAAAATTATGTATTATGTTATGCCAGTTTAGAAATAGTTTATGTATTTAGTATATGCATATATAACATACAGTCCCATTTTTTTTTTTTTTATCCTCGAGGACATTTCTGCATAGAGCGAGAGGGAGAGAGAGAGGAAGAGAGAGAAACATCGATGTGAGAGAGACACATCGACTGGTTGCCACCCACACGACCCCAACCAGGGCCGGGGACAAACTGCAACCGAGGTATATGCCCTTAGCAGGAACTGAACCCGGGACTCTCTGGTGCCAGGGCCAGTGTTCTAACCATTGAGCCAAACCGTACAGTCCAATTTTTAATTTACATATACATGTAAATTCATAGCTCTCTATTTTTAAAAAAATGGCTTTATACTGTACAAATGACTTTGTATGTTTGTGAAATTCTGGTTTTTAAAAATTTATCAATATTTCACGAATATTTTCTAACTCCATTCCCCAAAAACATGATTCAAAAAATGACCACTTAGCATGCAGTTGTGTGGTTGTAGCATAATTTATTTAACCATTCCTCCAGATTTAGACATTCTGGATCCATTCCACATTTTTTACTATAATAAGTAACACTATTATAACTGTCCATTTGTTCATACGTTTGTGGCATCTGTGATTTCCCTGGGATTAATTCCTAGGCAAAGAACTATTTTCAAAGTTTATGAACATTTTTTTTTTTTTTTTTTTTTTTTTTTAATTTTATTTATTTTTTTATTTTTTTTTACAGATATTTTACCTTTTACCCCATGGCACCCCCACCCCACCCCCCCTCCAACCCTGTCCCCCGGCTTAGTGTCCATGTCCATTGGTCATGCATACAGCATATAAGTTCTGTGGTTTATCTCTTCCCACCCCCCCACCCCCATCCCCTCTTCTGAGGGATGTCAGTCTGTGCCCTACTTCCATGTGTCTGGGTCTACTGTATTCCTCAGACTGTTTGTTTCATTATATTGCCGATATAAGTGAGATCATGTGTATTTGTCTTTTTCTGCTTGGCTCTTTCACTTAGGATATACTTTCCAGGTCCCTCCATGTCGTCTCAAAGGATAAGAGATCTTTCTTTCTTACCGCTGCATAGTACTCCATTGTGTATATGTACCACAGCTTTTTGATCCATTCGTCTACTGGTGGACACTTGGGCTGTTTCCAGATCTTAGCTATTGTAAATAGTGCTGCTATGAACATGGGGGTACATATATTCTTCCTGATTGGTGTTTCAGGCTTCTTAGGGTATATTCCCAGCAGTGGGATCACTGGGTCGAATGGAAGTTCAATTTTTAATTTTTTGAGGTAGCACCATATTGTTTTCCATAGCGGCTGCACCAGTCTGCATTCCCACCAGCAGTGTATTAGAGTCCCCTTTTCTCCACACCCTCGCCAACACTTGTTGTTTGATGATTTGTTGATGGCGGCCATTCTGACAGGTGTGAGGTGATACCTCATAGTTGTTTTAATTTGCATCTCTCTGATGATTAGTGATGTTGAGCATTTCTTCATATGTCTCTTGGCCATTTGTATGTCCTGTTTGGAGAGGTGTCTATTCAGCTCCTCTGCCCATTTTTTAATTGGGTTCTTTGTCTTCCTTTTGTGGAGTTGTATGAGCACTCTGTATATACTGGAAATTAACCCCTTATCTGATACATCATTGGCAATGATGTTCTCCCATACAGTGGGTTGCCTTTCCATTTTGATGATTGTTTCTTTTGCTGTGCAGAAGCTTTTTAGTTTGATGTAGTCCCATGTGTTCATTTTCTCCTTTATTTCTGTTGCCTTAGGTGATGTATCAGTGAAAATTCTGCTCCGTATGATGTCCAAAATTTTGTTGCCTACATTTTCTTCTAGAATTTTTATGGATTCACGGGTCACATTTAAGTCTTTTATCCATTTCGAATTTATTTTTGTGTATGGTGTAAGTTGATGGTCTAGTTTCATTTTTTTGCATGTAGCTGTCCAATTTTCCCAACACCATTTATTAAAGAGGCTGTCTTTGCTCCACTGTATGCTCTTGCCACCTTTGTCAAATATTAATTGAGCGTATTGCCTTGGGTCCATTTCTGGGTTTTCAGTTCTGTTCCACTGGTCTATATGCCTGTTCTTGTGCCAGTACCAGGCTGTTTTGGTTACAGTCGCTTTGTAGTATAACCTGATATCTGGTATTGTGATCCCTCCAACTTTGTTCTTCTTTTTCAAGATTGCTGTGGCTATTCGGGGTCTTTTTTGGTTCCATATGAACTTTTGAAGTATTTGTTCTAGTTCTATGAAATATGTCGTTGGTATTTTGATGGGGATTGCGTTGAATCTATAGATTGCTTTGGGTAGTATGGACATTTTAATTATGTTAATTCTTCCAATCCATGAACAGGGTATGTGCTTCCACTTCTTTATATCTTCCTCTATTTCTTTTTTCAATGACCTGTAGTTTTCTGCAAATAGGTCTTTTACTTCTTTGGTTAAGTTTATTCCTAGGTATCGTAATTTTTTTGGAGCGATGGTAAATGGGATTGTTTTTTCAGTTTCTCTTTCTGTGAGTTCATCATTGATGTACAAGAATGCCGTCGATTTCTTGACGTTAATTTTGTATCCTGCTACTTTGCCAAACTCATTTATTAAGTCTAATAGATTTTTGATGGAGTCTTTAGGGTTTTCTATGTACAATATCATGTCATCTGCAAATAATGACAGTTTCACTTCCTCCTTTCCAATTTGGATCCCTTTTATTTTTTCTTCATGTCTGATTGCTGTGGCTAAGACTTCCAGTACAATGTTAAATAAGAGTGGCGAAAGTGGACATCCCTGTCTTGTTCCTGTTCTTAATGGAAATGTTTTTAGTTTCTGTCCATTGAGTATGATGTTGGCTGTAGGTCTTTCATATATGGCCTTTATTATGTTGAGATATGATCCCTCTATTCCTACATTGCTGAGCGTTTTTATCAGAAATGGATGCTGGATTTTGTCGAATGCTTTTTCAGCATCTATTGATATGATCATGTGGTTTTTATTCTTCATTTTGTTTATGTGGTGTATCACGTTTATTGATTTGCGAATATTGTACCAGCCTTGCATCCCTGGAATGAATCCCACTTGGTCATGGTGAATAATTTTTTTGATGTATTTCTGGATCCGATTTGCTAGTATTTTGTTCAGGATTTTGGCGTCTATGTTCATCAGGGATATTGGCCTGTAGTTTTCTTTCTTCGTAGTGTCTTTTTCTGGTTTTGGAATTAGAATTATGCTGGCCTCATAGAACGTGTTTGGAAGTCTTCCTTCTTCTTGAATTTTTTGAAATAGTTTGAGGAGAATGGGTGTTAGTTCTTTTTTGAATGTTCGGTAAAACTCCCCCGTGAAACCATCTGGGCCTGGGCTTTTGTTTGCTGGGAGAGTCTTGATTACCTCTTCAATTTCCTTAGTTGTTATTGGTCTGTTCAAGTTTTCTATCTCTTCCGGGAATAGTTTTGGGAGACTGTGTGTTTCTAGAAATTTGTCCATTTCGCTGAGATTGTCGAATTTGTTGCCATATAGTTGTTCATAGTAGTTGTTAACGATCTTTTGTATTTCCGTGGTGTTGGTTGTTACTTCTCCTCTTTCATTTCTGATTTTGTGTATTTGGGTTCTCTCTCTTTGTTTCTTGGTGAGTCTAGCTAAGGGTCCATCTATCTTGTTTATCTTTTCGAAAAACCAGCTCTTTGTTTCATTGATCCTTTGAATTGTTTTTTTGGTCTCTATGTCATTTATTTCTGCTCTGATCTTTACTATTTCCTTCCTTCTACTTGCTCTGGGGTTTTCTTTTTGTTTGCTTTCTAATTCTTTAAGTTGTGAGGTTAGACAGTCAATTAGAAATTTTTCTTGTTTTTTGAGGTAGGCCTGTAGTGCTATGAACTTCCCTCTCAGAACTGCTTTCGCTGCATCCCATAGATTTTGTGTTGTTGTGTGTTCATTTTCATTGGTTTCCAGGAAGTTTTTAATTTCTTCCTTGATCTCCTCGGTGACCCATTCATTGTTTAATAACATGCTATTTAGCCTCCATGTGTTGAAATGTCTTTGCATGTTCTTTGTGCAATTGATTTCTAGTTTCATGCCATTGTGATCTGAGAAGATGCTTGATATGATTTCAATCTTCTTGAACTTGTAGAGATTTAGTTTGTGTCCTATCATGTGGTCTATCTTTGAAAATGTCCCATGTGCACTTGAGAAGAATGTGTATTCTGTAGTTTTGGGGTGTAATTCTCTGTAGATATCTATTAAATCCATTTGGTCTAGTGCTTCATTTAGAGTCTCTGTTTCCTTGCTAATTTTTTGCCTAGAGGATCTATCCAGTGCTGTCAATGGGGTGTTGAAGTCCCCTGCTATAATTGTATTGTTGTCGATTTCTCCTTGGAAGTCCTCCAGAAGATTTTTAATATATTTGGTGCTCCTATATTGGGTGCATATATGTTTATCAAGGTTATATCTTCCTGTTGGATAGATCCTTTCAATATTATGTAGTGGCCGTCTTTGTCTCTAGTTATGGTCTTCATTTTGAAATCTATTTTATCAGATATGAGAATTGCTACCCCCGCTTTTTTTTGCTTTCCATTTGCTTGGAAAATTTTTTTCCATCCCTTCACTTTCAACCTATGTGAGTCTTTTGTTGAGAGGTGGGTCTCTTGTAAACAACATATAGATGAGTCATGCTTTCTTATCCAATCAGCTACTCTGTGTCTCTTTATGGGAGCATTCAATCCATTTACGTTTAAGGTGATTATTGATATGTACTTATTTATTGCCATTTTTGTTTAGTGTGGTTCTCTTTTTCTTCCCATTTCTACTGCTAATTACAGCAGTCCTTTTAACATTTCTTGCAGTGCTGGTTTGGTGCTAATGTATTCCCTTAGCTTTTTTTTGTCTGGGAAGCTCTTTATTTGATCTTCTATTTTGAATGATAGCCTTGCTGGGTAGAGTAGTCTTGGATTCAGATTCTTGTTTTTCATGACTTTGATTACTTCATGCCATTCTCTTCTGGCCTGTAGTGTTTCTTGTGAGAAGTCAGCTGAAAGCCTTATGGGGTTCCCTTTGTAGGTAACCTGTTGCTTATCTCTTGCTGCTTTTAGGATTCTCTCTTTGTCTTTAATTTGTGGCGTTTTAATTACTATGTGTCTTGGTGTGGGCCTGTTTGGGTTCTTCTTACTTGGGACTCTCTGTGCTTCTTGAACTTGAATGCCTTCTTCCTTCACCAAATTAGGGAAGTTTTCTCTCACTATTTTTTTGAATATATTCTCTATCCCTTGCTCCTTTTCTTCTTCTTCGGGGACTCCTATGATACGAATATTATTACGTTTCCAGTTGTCCCATAGTTCTCTTAAGCTGTCTTCCTGTTTTTTAATAGTTTTTTCCTTTTGTTTTTCTGATTGGTTGATTTTTTCTACCCTGTCTTCTAATTCACTGATCCGGTCCTCAGCTTCCCTACTCTGCTTTTTAAACCTTCCAATGTGTTTTTCATTTCGGATATGTCATTTTTTATCTCTTCTTGTTGGTTTTTAATTTCCATTTGGCTTATTTTCAGTGTCTCTATGTCTTTACTCATGCTGTTCAGCTTCCTCAAGATCATGGCTCTAAATTCTAGCTCTGTTAACATGCCTAATTGCTCCACATTGATCTCATCTTCGGTGGAGGTGTCTTGCTCTTTCATTTGGCTTCTGTTTCTGTGTTTCACCATTTTAGCTATCACTGTGGGCTTTGGAGCCTGTCAAGTTCTCCCTGTGGGTGTTGGTGTTCTGCTGTTTGTGGCTCCCTCTCCTGTGTTTAGATGAGCGAGGGAGGACCCGCGTTGAACACCACTGTCAAGTCTTACTTTCCTGGTTAAAGTTGCCAGCCCAGGAAACGTACTGTTATCCTCTAGCTTTTTGCCTGGAGGCTAGCAGTCTAGGTTAATTGATGAGTTTTGGGTTGTCAGTTGATTGAAAAACTCCCTCTGGTGCTCAGCCAAGGGGCTTTCAGGAGGGTGGGGCAGATGCTGGTTGTTAGTGAGCCTCAATTAGCACTTCAATGGCCCACAGGGTGGGGTTGGATCTCCGAGGGAGGGGCTGCTGCCTCTCTCAGAGCCCTGGGAAGGAGCAATGTGGCCACCGTCCTGAGTGGCTGCACTCAGCCAAAGCTCTGAGCGCCCTCCAAACCCCGAGTGTCCAGACACAGTTCCAGTCCAGTCTGCCCTCCCTCCGCCGGAGCCCAAGGTGAGTGGCTGTGGCTGTTTCAGCCTCTGTCCCGGCTGCGCTGTGGGGCCGCCTGGGAGTGTGACCCGATGGCGCCGCTTACAGCTGAGGCCGCTGCCGAGCTGCCGACCGTGGGCTCCCAGCCCCGTCTCGCGCCTTCGCAATCCTACCGGGATGGAGTCAGTGTCCTGCGTTGTATGGTCCTCCAAGCTGCTTTTCTGTTGGTTTTTTCCGTCGATTTGTCTGTGTTATAGTTGTAATTCCAGTTTGGTTCTGGGAGACGGTCTGTGTAGCTCCGTTCACTCCGCCGCCATTTTTTCAATCCCATTTTTTAAGTTTCTAAATATATCTGTCAAATTGCTTCAGAAAGGTATACCACCTTGTATCATAGTTTACTATGTATAAATGAGTGCATATACTTCTTTAAAGAGTGTTTGAAAGGCACCAACCGAACTAGACTGAAGAAAGAACATTGTCTTTTTCTTTATAGAATATAAAATAAAAAGATTACCATTTATATTAGATTTTTAATTGTCCAGAAAATGGTTTGAGATAGAGTGACCAACTGTCCTGGCTTACCTGGGATGGAGGAGTTTCCCAGGATGTGTTCCCAGGATGTGGAACTTTTTAGTGCTAAAACCAGACAGACCCAGGTAAATTGGACAGTTGGTCATCTTAGTTTGATATTAAAGAAATCAACTGCTTTTTGTTATAAGTTTTTGTCTAACATTTGAAATATGTCTGGACTTTGATGAAGAAAAATTCTAAAATTATTTAAACATGCAATCCCTTTAGTACTTCTGGCGAACCAGATCAATAGATAATTATGTACTATTTTAATTTTGACATAGTTTCAGATTTACAAAAAAGTTTTAAGATCAGACCAAGAATGAATTCCTGAATACCCTTTGCCAAGATATCCTATTTTACATTTACCTTCTCTCCCTGTCTTTTTTTCCCTATTTTAAATCTGGGTATTTGTGTATGTATATATAACATATAATTATTTTTGAGAATAAGGTGCACACGATACTGCTTTAACCTTAAATACTCAAATATATATTTCATGCAAACAAGGATTTATCTTACATAATCACAGTAAAGTTATCAATCCCCCCGACACAATACTCTACTCTGTAAACTTTATTGAGATTTTTGTCCATTTCCCCAATATTGTCTTTGATAGCAAAAGAAAACCCAAGATAATGCACTAAATTTAGTTGTAATGTCTTTTTAGTCTCCTTTAATCTGAAATAGTTCCTGAGTCATTGTGTCTCATGGTACTGATATTTCAAAAAGAATACAGACCAGCTACATTATAAAACATGCATCAGTTTGAGAGTGTCTGCTGTTTCCTTAGGATTCCTCCTTTTGATAGGAATATAGCTAAAGTGATGCTAAGTACATTGTATCAGGAGGCATATGCTGCTGATTATTTCATTAACTGGCAATGTTAACTTTGATTTTATTCACTTAAGATAAAATAATTATTTATTTGCTTCTGTTTGTATTCAATTTGGGGAATTTTTCTGTCCCTGTGAATTTTACTTATTTGTGTTTTGAGTATATGAAATATTGAATGTTTCCGAAAATCAAAGCTGTACAAAAAAGTGCATTCAGAAGAGTGTGTTTTCCTTCCCTCATTCCCTTTGTTCTTTCCACCCAGTTTTCTCTCTTGTTCTGTAGGGAAACAGTCTCACTAGGCTCTTCGTTTTATCTTTTGCTCAGATGAATACATAAATATATATTCTTATTTCCCCTTCTCTTTTTACCCAAAAGGTATAATACTATATTCTATTGTACCTTGCTGATCATAGAATTTTAAAGCTGAACCAGACCGTATCGTTGTATTTCTCAGATTATTCTTTCATTGTGTTTTTTTTCTTTCTTTTAGACATTAGATCAGCAACAGTTCTTCACAGAGGAAGAACTGAAAGAATACGAAAATCTTATCTCCTTACAAGAAAATGAACTTAAGAAAAAAGCAGATGAGCTTCAGAAACAAAAAGAAGAGCTACAGCGTCAGCATGATCAACTAGAGGCTCAGAAGCTGGAATATCATCAGGTGGGATTTTGTAAAAGGATTGTGGCATTAAAAAGAATTTGATTTGGGGTGCTTTGCTAAAAGCCTGTGTTGTTATAATATTTCAAGGTACTACTATTAGCTGCAGTATTTTAAAAACTGCTTTATTGAATATTAATCTAAAGTTTAGAATTTGACTATCTCATTTTAGGAAATAATTTTCAGTTAGTTTGTTGTGATTTGTTACTGGTCACACATATCAGAGAAAATCAAACAGTACTTCCTTTTAAAACATTCTTTTCCCATTCCCTAGGTCATCCAGCAGATGGAACAGAAAAAATTACAAGAGATTTCTCCATCGGGGCCTGGTGGGGAATCGAAGTTTGAGCCACGTATGTAATTTTGTTTGCTTATTTGTTTGTTTACAGAAGTGAATTGAAATCCACATTTATTGCAAATACAATTTTAAATTATTAATATTTATGCTATTTTCTCTATAAATTTGGAAACAGAGCACCTTGCATTATAGAAGGCCTGTAAAATTTTATGCATCTGTACATTTCAAAAGCTATATAATTTGATAGCCATATTTATAGTAAAGTGATTTATTTCAACGTTATTTGTTATTTCTAATCAGAGAACATATTATTTTTATTTATTTATTTATTTATTTTTTTCTTAACTGTAGCCTCCATTCTGACTTTATTATTAACAGTTTTGGTTTTACAACAGTTGGTAGGATAAGCATTCCCAGCCAGACAGAATATCTATTCCCATAAAACATTCAGGTAAAGAAGACACAGTTATTTGCATAATCCTGGCCAAACATTCCAATGTCCATAATCCCATCAACCCTTTTGTAGGGAGAACAACTTTTATGTTCTCTCAATCTAATTGTCATTCACACCAGGGCTTTGCTGGTGGATTTTGGTACCAGTTTGTGGAGCTGCCAGGTCAGTGAGTCCAGGAACTTCTCTTCTCTTCCTCCTGACCATTTTACCCACTCTGGTGTAAAGGCTTTCGGTCCCCAGTGAGGGGTTGAGTCAAGGGACCCTGGTCCTTTTGGCAGCTTTTATCTTGGTTCTCTCTCTAACCACTGCTCGAAGCAATTGCAGGTCAGATGTTTTATAATCTTTAAATCGTGGCTTTCAAAATGTCTCTAAACCAGGACAAATAAAGCAGATTTGCTTGGGGCTCTTTAATCCTGGGGTGTTAATAACAGGTCCTTTTGGCCTGTACCACCTTGGGTAGTACTGTATTAAAACCTTTGCTTGAACTCTATCAATGTCCACTGTATTTACACCTGATTATCGAGGGTGTGGCTCAGGAGACTCAGAGGATAGAAATTTCAGGCAATGATGAAAGGTAGAGGGAGTTCTTTTTATAGAAAACGATAAATAACTGGTCTTTTTAGACTGGAGTTAACCCATTGAAAGTGTTTGGAAATGTCTCTCAGTCTGGCAAGATTTGGATCACAGACCTTTCTCAAGAGCTGTGGATATATCAGCCATCACACTGAGATCAGTCCTAGCCATATCCCCTCAACCAGGGTACTATGGGAAGAGGTACTGATCTAGACCACTGGGTGATCATCCCTAGGTAAGGCATATAGTTGTATAAACTGATCTATGTCGTAGGGAGGTCCAAGGAAGATCAGAGGCACCCAGATATATCTGCTGGAGATCATGAGGCTGAGAATCCTAAAATGCATTCCACATAGAGGCACCAGCTCCTCAAGGTTGCCTAATATCAGAAGTCTTAGGTAGTTCAAGGTCATAGGCATTCTCAATTCTGGGATTCATGGGACAGATGTTTGTAGAAATTATAGGTAAAGGGGTCTCCTCCTTCTCTGAAATGATTTGGTTCAGTGCTTCTAGTGTCAAACTTGACCAAGTTTGCTGCTTCCTCCTTTTGCTGTGCTGGTTCTTGAACCAAGTCTATATTACTAACCCATCAAATTGAGTAGCTGAAATAAGTTCTGCTATGGTAATCCAATGTGGGTACATAGTCTTTTCAAATGTATCTTTCAGTTTTTGAAGCTGTTCCAGACTAAAGGTAGTACAGTATTGGAGAGCAGACCTTGGCTTTTTCTGATCCATTTTATATGGAAGATTTATGTAGGAGGCCCTTATTCTTTATACAAACACATGCCCCCAAAAGCCATCATGCTGCCCAATTGCCCAAATGTGGTTTGACCTCTTGGTCAAACACCCAGATTTCACTTGGCTTTTCGGTGTCTGCCATAACAACTTGTAGAGTAGAATGATCTGCTGTGTGTGTTTCTGAGCTCCTGAATTTCATCTGTGTTCGAACACATTGTTTTTCATTGGCATCTATGATTAGTTAAGTGTATTTAAAAAACAAATATATGTAAAAGAAAATTAAGAATAAAGGAAGATACCTTTAAAATGAAAGTAAACATTTTTTTCTTTGAACAGTTATTTAAAGTCCGAAGTCCACCAGAACTTGGAAGAAAACTGTAAAATCAACACCTGTGTCATCTTTTTACCTCCCTTCCTTTTCTCTACTCAATAAATATTTTAAAGCATATATGGAATAAAGGAAGATACTTTTAAAACAAGAATACATATTATTTTTGGACACAGATATTTAAAGATTGAAGTCCACCAGTACCAGGAAGAAAACCTCAATATCTGCTCTCACTTTCTTGCCTCCCCTTTCTTTTCTTTGTTCTCCTTTAGTGATTTAATCAAGTGGCCGTGGGCCATAATCTAATGAAACTATCAGTAACTACTTAAGTGAGAAAACTCTGTCTGTTGCTTTTAAAATAAATTGCTCTCACTTACTCATGAAGATAGATATTCTTTTATGGGTGCTTATCATCTCGTCTCTCAAGGAAAGTCTCTTAGATATTCACAGTTCTCCTCCTGAGAAGACCATTGTATTCCTCAGTGTTCCTTGGTTAACTTCTCCCTACTTTCAGCACCATTAACTGCTAGAAATTCTTCTACTGAATAGCTTTTGCTACCACTTTAGGTCATTTTTCATTCATATTTTGCTTTATACTCTTGTCGTTTAAGATCAGGTGTGCTACATATAACCAAAACCAAAAAACAAAAACAAACCACACACAAAAAAAATCAAAGATAAAAGTGTTATCTTTTATAGAAAAGAAATCTGTAGGTGGGTGGTATCAGGTTCGTGTCTTTCTGCTCTACTCTCCTCAGTACACGGTTTTTATCCTCAAGTTACTTCATCCTTATTATACAAGATTGCTTTCTGGAGCAAAGGCAAGCATAGGAACTTTCTCTAGCTGAATCAGTTTCCTCGAGGCAATTTTCCCGGAGAACCACACAGCATTTGAACTTAATCTCATTAGCCCAAACTGAGTTACATGGCCATCTCTAGCTGCTAGGGAAGCGGAGAAATCCTTGTGGCAATGTGACGAGCTAAAAGTTAGGATTCTTTAACTAAAGATGAGAAGAGGGAATGTTTGGTAGGCAAGTTTTAATTTAACCCAGACAGCCTTGTTGGCTACCAAAATATCTAAGTACACTCTTCTAAAACATAGAAAACCCTTACTTCCCTGACCTTGAAGTGAAACCACCAAAATTCAATCCATTATTGCATATAGTTTAAAGCCATGATATCTCCAGCCATCTACAAACTAAAAAGCAACGTGTCTGCCCCATGGATACCATATGCATAATGGTGGAATAGGTACAAGATAACTGCAATAAAATCAGCCTTTTTGAAAATGGGAAACATAGCAGTCACTGACCCATAGCAAGTTCTCTCTGCCCTGTCCATAAATATATTCCCTGGTTTTACCATCACACAACTCCTGATTCACCCTTTTGAGAGTAACTCCCTTATCTAATGTCCTCAGGGGCCCTTGGCGTTGCCCTTCAGGAAGTCTTTATTGTCCACAAAGTTTTAAGGACACATCTAAGTGGGCATTGAAAAGGGTGTCCCTCTTGGAGGCTGGACAGTCTTAGCACTTCACTTCCTGTCATTTTGGGTTTGGGGGCTCGGGGATTGTTTTAGATAGTTACAGGCTGTTGCAGGCCAAGTTTAGGGTTTTTGTTTTTGGCAAAACAGTTCCCTAAAAACTTAGTAAGTTTCTGATCTTTTTTCTTCAGTTATTATCATGAGTAACCACAAAGATCTTGTCAAGACATAGTTTTTAAGAAAGGACACATCTTTACTTGCTGGCTTCTGTGTTCTCTCCCCTGGGATTGTAAATGAATGGCATCTACTTGGGACCGTTTTACACTGTAGGCTTGGATGGGATAACAGCAGTGTCCGATCTTTTGCCTTAGGATGGCTCCAATTACTTGGCAGAAAATTCCTAAGGGAAGTTTCTTGAAAAAGGTTAAGGAAGTTTTAGCAGCTTCTTCAGAACCTTTACGTATGGAGTATGGTAGTAGTTGACTTTTTCAATTCTTCAGGGCCTCAGATTTGGGACTTTGTTAATTTATTTTGTAGACAGAGCACAATTCCTTCAACAAAGCTATTTACCTTTCTATCTCTGCAGACTTGTTATCCTTAGCTTGAGTCCCATCTGTCTTATAGGACTTTGCTGAAAGAGGCAGAAGCAGCCCCACATACTAGCATTCTGAAGTTCTACCACCACTTTCTTTGATACCCTAACTTCAGTTGGCATGAGGTCTCATGGCCCAAAGCCCTACCTCCTCAACTCAACCCACTTCATATATTTAAGACCCTTTTATTTGCTGCACCTTAACTTCCAGCTACCGAATTTTGTATAGGTCCAGATTCTTGGTTGTAGGGAATGGAATCTCCTTTAGCTATTAAACTGAATGGGATTGATGAAGGGGTATAGAGAACTCACAGAACCTTTGAGAGGGCTGAAGAAACAGAACCTAGGCTGAGCTTCTAGGAACTATATCACAAGAAGAGGTCTGCCAAAGAAGCTGCTGCTTTTGGAACAATCAAGAAGCTGTCTGCCACTTTGGGAAGCTGCCTGCTGGATTAGGAAGACATGAACAGTTGCCAGCTCCAGAAACACACCACTGCTGCCACTGTTTTGTATTGGCAAAAATGGATACCTTATGTGCTGCCTCTCTCCCTGTGTAACTCGGTTCCAAGTGAAAGTCTCAAGTGAGTGCCTCTGATTGTTGGACCAATTATACCTGTAACCCTAGCTGCAAGGGAGGCTGGGAAATAATAGTGTTTAACTTTCCTACCTCTGTAGTACAGGAATGCATGTTTAAAGTTTTCGAGTGAACCAATCTACTGTAACACCTCATAATTTTACATTGTTTCTCTTAACATTAATAATTTTTAAACTCTGCCCTGGCTGGTTTGGTTTAGCAGTTGGAGCATCAGCCCACGGACCGGAAAGTCCAGGGTTCGGTTACCTCTAGGGGCACATGCCTCAGTTGCGGTTTGTCCCCGGCCCTGATTTGGGTCATGTGAGTGGCAGCCACTCAGTGTGTCTCTCTCATATCAATGTTTCTCTCTCTCTCTTCCTTCCTCTCTCCCTCCTGCTTTAGCTGAGGATAAATACAAAAATGTCCTCGGGTGAGGCCAAAAAGAAAAAAAATAATAATAATTTTTAAACTCTTAGTTTTCATTTTACAAATTTTAAAATAATTATTGCATATTCCCCCTAACATACTGTAGATTTTTTTCTTAAATCATGGATCCCAAAATTAAATATAGCAATCTAGAAAAGTTCTGCTTATATTCAGCTTAAGAAAACTCCACAAAAATTACTTAACAGAGTAATGCTACATTTTTTTTTTCAGGGATGGAGAAAAATTTCTATCTTTATTGTTTAAATTGTAGGAAACATTGAAAAATGGTCTGGAATATCTTTTTATTTATTACTGTATCTATGCCCAGAAATTGTGATAAAACAGGGATTTTCCTAGGGTAAACTTATGTATTTATTTATTTATTTGCTAATCTTAACCTGAGGATATTTTTCCATTGATTTTTTTTTTTTTTTTTTAGATAGAGTGGAAGGATGCTAGGGAGAGAGAGAGAGAAAGAGAGACACATCGATTGGTTGCCATCCCCACAACCCTTACTGGGGCCGGGGATTGAACTTGCAACCCAAGTATGTGCCCTTGACTGGGAATCGAACCCAGATCCTTTGATCCACAGGCTGAGGCTCTAACCACTGATCCAAATCAGCCAGCGCTAGAGTAAACTCTTTTAGATGGTGGACTGTGGTTAAATTGGAAAGTAATAGAACTAAGAGAAATTTCTTAAAATGCTTTTTGGGCATGAATGGATAGATATTAATCTAGACATACCTCATAGTTTCCAGCAAATTATATAATTTATATTATTGTAAAAAGAATTGTTAGCTTATAATTATTTATGGACTTAAGGAATTTCAGTCCTTGTGAGTATTGGGCATTTGTGAATGAATATTGTTTCTTAGAAAGTAACTAATAGTACTCTTTCCAGCTCTGTTACAAAGTTTTCGTTCTGTGTTTCATTTATATCATTCTCCTTCATAACTCTTTAGACATTAGTCCTTGGTTTCGCTGACAGAGTGGTATATATTAGTAATTTGGAATTTTGTTTCATATATGAATTTTCATGAAGCATGTACATGTTTTAGTATACTTCGGTGTATATAATTACAATTTTATTTTAAAAGATGATGGTCCACTATAATATTTAACTCTCATTAAAGAGAACTGCAATTTAGAAATAGCAGTTAAAATCCTTTGAGATGTGGCTATATATTTATTTTAACCAAGTTTTGTTCACAACAGCATGATTTTTATGCTAATTGAATAGGATTGTATTATTATAAGCCTAAATCCAAATCTGGTTTTCATGTAAGAAAAACCTAAAGACAATTTTAATGTTTTGTATTTGCTATTTTTAGGATAGCCAACCTAATAGAAGAGGAAGTGAGAAAAGCATTTTCTTTAGGGTGAAATATAAACCTACCCAGTTCTGGTTAGTGGCTAAAATGTGATATTTGTTTTATAATTGCAGTACAAGCAAGGAGAAATGGAAAAAGAGCCAGAGTTTGATGACCAGTTTCATCATTTTCATGCAAGATTTTTATCCCCTGAAGAACCTACTAGAGAAGTCCGTCATCACCCTTAACCGCTGGTGCCTCTAACTTCACACTAATTTAACTCACTTATTTTTGTTGGAATGGAGAGATTAAGGTTATTACATAGAAAGCAAAGTTTACTTTTTAGTTCCTTGTGGTTGATAAAATGGAAGTCTGTAATGACAACTTGTTTTAAAGGTGTGAGATTTGAAGGAAATTGGATGTTTTCCTTTTTTTAAACACAGTATTATTAGCAGAGCTGCAATCTCTCCTACTCACATTATAATTTATGTTTTAAATGAGCAGTTAGCTATGAATTAGTAACCATTTCTTAGAGAATCTAAGAACTGAACCAGAACAAGCAGCTACACTCACAGCAAGTGGTAAAGACACCAAATTGAAAAATTAGGATTTATGGTTACCAGCATGCCAACCTATCTATTCAGACAAAAGCAAAGCAAAATAAAACCAACAAGACCTTTGATTTAATTTAGGATTCAAATTTATGTTTAAATATGGCCTATAGAACTATGTAGAAAAACCAATACATTTCATGTTTACAAATGTCTATAGTTTTCACGGCAGAGCTTTTAGTATACAGTTTAATTGATGTCAGTCATGTTCTTGATTGTTGGCCAGCCCTTGACAGTATACTTTACCTTACCCTCTTACCCTTCCTGTTGCCTTCAAAGCTCTGCATGATTGTACACAAGTTTTCTTTTGTTTATATTTGTATATAATCTATAGCAAGCAATAGATTTGACTTTTCCTGTGCAAATTTTCTTACCCTCTTTTGTTTTATCTTTAAGAATAAGTATAGTTTCCAAGACTTTCTAGGATTATGAATTAAAATGTTAACATGTTTGTCCGGCTAGTTTGGCTCACTGGTTGAGCATTGAGAGGTCGCTGGTTTGATTCCCAGTCAGGGAACATGCCCAGGTTGTGGGCCCAATCCTCACTGGGGGGCATGCAGGAGGCAGCCAGTCAATGTTCTCTCTCATCGATGTTTCTATCTCTCTCTCCCTCTCCCTTTCCCTTTTTCTCTCTCTAAATGAGTAAAAAAAAACATTTTTTAAAAAGTTAGCATGTTTTATTTTACAATTCTTATACTTTTGCTACTCCAAAGAATTTAAAAAATGAGTAATGATTTATTTTCCCCATGATTTTAAAGTTATGACTCATCTGAGTGCTTTATAATTGGGAGAGAAAAAGTAAAACTTAATCAAGTTCTTTTTGCCATCCCCCTGTGAACCGTTGTATTAAAATGTTATTTTTGTTCAATTTTAGTCCATTTTAAATGTTCACTTTTGGAGATACGAGAGTATCTGTCACTTAATTAAATCCCTACCCTCACTTTAGATGCCCTGGGTGTGGAGTGTGAAACATGTGCAACCCAGGCTATATTTGTTTTGTACCATGTTGCTTTATCTATTTTGCTATCTATTATTAACCTTCAGTTAAATTATTAACCTTCACTTTTGTAAAAGTGATTTGAATTTGTTTTACTTTGGAATTTTACCCTTTCTGTTTTGGGGTTTGATATTTTGTAAATATTTTTTATTAGAGCATTGATCTTATGGATCATTGCCTTTTAAGAACATATTTGCCATTCTTGATATTTTAAACATTTTCTTGTTAGTATTGAAGCATTTTTGCCAAACACGGCAATTGAAAACTATCATCTTTGTGTAGTGGTTCCTTCTTACGCTATAGCATTGAGTAACGTACCTTAGATTTTGTATCTTAATTTTTTTTCTGAGTTCTGATCCTGTACATTTCTTATTTCCTTTTATGTGTATGTATTTTCACTCTCTTTGATATTCTTAATATGTTTAATTGAGATTCAAGGTTGATCTTGGCTTAAACAAAACTACATTTGCAGAAAAGTCAGTTTTTCTAGAACTACTTAGACATGCAGGCAGTCACTCCTAGAATGGTTTCTGAGCACTGTGGAGAGTGCTTTGAACCCTGAAGAAAGTCTGTAACTTGTGTGCAGACTCTGACTCCTGACTCCTTCCCTTTGACGCAGTAAAACTCTGATGACGATCCCTTGCCCAATTCTTTAGCTTTTTTATACCCTCCTTAAATAATAATAGTTTAAAAAAAAATACATTGTGTGCCCCAGCAGACATTTTCTATTTCACAGTTGTTAATAAAGGGGAAACAAAAATTTTTTTTTATAGATGAGGACATGAATTCAGCAATCTCTGCTTAGAAGAGAAGTAGCATCATTTATTGTTGCTTTATTACTTTTGCCTGGATGATCTGAGTTTTAATTAAGGTCTTCCCTCTCTAGGTACTCTCCCATTTTTCTACTTCTGTATTGACTCTTCCATTATTGTATTTCTCTTTTTTTCCCTCACTATTATTAATATAACCCCTTTTATTGTAATTTTTAAAGGAATTTATTTATTTATGCATTTTTTTTTTTTAATCCTCACCTGAGGACATTTTTCGATATTTTGTTCAGATAGAGTGGGAGGGAGAGAGAGAGAGAGAGAGAGAAACATCGACGTGAAAGGGACACATCGAGTGGCTGCCACTCGCACGACCCAACCAGGGCCGGGGACAAACTGCAACCGAGATACGTGCCCTTAGCGGAAACCGAACCCAGGTCTCTCCCGACCGCAGGCTGATGCTCTAACCACTGAACAAAACCGGCCAGGGCTATTTATGCATTTTTAAATCCTCACCCGAGGATACTTTTTCCCATTTTATCTTCAGATAGAGTGGGAGAGAGAGAGAGAAAAAAACATCAGTGTGAGAGAGACATGTTGTTTGGTTGCCGGCTGCACGACCCCTGAGCAGAGCAGGGACTCATCTGCAACTGAAGTACGTGCCCTTGACTGGAATTGAACCCATTACTCTCTGGTCCATGGGCTGATGCTCTAACAGCTAAGCCAAACTGGCCAGGGATTTATTTTAATTTTTATTTTTTTAGTGTTGAAAGTATTACAGATGTCACCCTTTTTTTTCCCATTGACCCCCTCCTTCCTGCTCCCACCCTCCTCTTGCCTTCCGCAGTCTAGTGTCTGTGTTGATTGGTTGTGCATATATGCATGTAAGTTCATTTGTTTATCACTTTCCACCCTTCCATCCTCCATCCCTCTGAGGTTTGTTAGTCTGTTCTGTACTTCCATGATCTGTATCTCTTTTGGTCGACAGCTTATTTTGTTCATTATGTTCCACAAATAAGTGAGATCATGTGGTACTTGTCTTTCTCTGACTGGCTTATTTCACTTAGCATAATACTCTCCAAGTTCCTCCATGTCGTTTCTGAGGGTAAGAGATCTCTCTTTCTTATAGCTGCATAGTATTCCATTGTGTAAATGTACCACAGCTTTTTTATCCACTCATCTACTGATGGAAACTTGGGCTGTTTCCAGACCTTAGCTATTGTAAATAGTGCTGCCATGAACATAGGGGTGCATATATGCTTCCTGATTGGTGTTTCAGCTTCTTAGGATATATTCTAAGAGGTGGGATCACTGGGTCAAATGGCAGTTCTATTTTTAATTTTTTGAGGAAGCACCATATTGTTTTTTCATAGTGGCTGCACCAGTCTGCATTCCCACCAGGAGTGTGCTAGAGTCCCCTTTTCTCCACATCCTCACCAGCATTTGTTGTTTGAGGATTTGTTGATGGCCCCATTTTGGCAGGTGTGAGGTGATATCTCATAGTCATTTTAGTTTGCATCTCTCTGATGATTAGAGATATTTTCATATGTGTCCTGGACATTTGTAAGTCCTGTTTGGAGAGGTGTCTCTTCAGTCCTCTGCCCATTTTCCATTATTGTATTTCTAATGCACCTCCCTAATCACCGGAGAAAGCTTTGAAGGATGTAGAATGTTGTAGCACCATTGTCAGCTGTCTTAAAATTTCATAGCCACTAGCTTCATGGGACTTATTATCAGGCCTTTCAAATGAGTTCTCCCCCGCCCTCACAATCCCGAACTACCCATTTTTTCTCTAAGAGAGTCTGTTGTATTACTAATATGATATAGATGTGACTTAATTAAAACAGGACTCATTTTCAAAAGATTTATATAAAAGATAAAATAGAAGCTAAGAATTTTACTTTAAGGACAACCTTTTAAAGCCAATTAATACCCAGAGTGACTGTTTCATTCTTTTGTGATTACTTTGGTGACTCCTGGATAGTTCTCTCTGCACCTCTGTATCCAGTTTTAGGGCCTAAGAATGGAAGCTGAAATACTGCAGCAAGGTGGACAAAGGAGCTCCTTTTCAGTGAAGGTGTTTCTTTCTCTGAAGCTTTTAGTCCATCATCCATTAGCACACATGAAGGTCATAAATAAGCCCTTGCAACTTTCAAAGTATCTGTCTATGTACCATTTAACATAGACTCTAACTGAAATATCATATTTTGGGAAAGAGTATGTATGTGTTTATATGTAAGCTTGTGCCTAAAATAGATCTGGAGGGAAGGCCATTAATTATTCCATGTCTTCTGAAAAACAAGTCTTCTGGAATTTAAACATAGAAAAACATATTTTTAAAATTATTTCTTTTCATGAAGGAAACCAGTGCTGCTAATTCATATTTATTATGTTATAAAAATTATTTAATAATGATTTATGTATCCTATTTTCAAGTCAGGATTTTAAAGACTATTTACTTTGTTGTTACTAATTTGGGGGATTTTGAAATTTTTTCAATTTAAATGTTGAATTAAAAATTTAATCATTTGTAAATATGTGGCCAAAAATGTTCTGTTAATTTTAAACTTTGGAAAGAAATTTCATGACTCTAAAGTTTATTTAATTTTTCTTGGCCTAGATAATTGGACAATTTTTAAAACTACAAAGAAATCATTAGATTTTAATTTGATAATCAGGAAGACACAAAGACTTTTTATAAGTTTGTTATAATGAATTTGTTGACTATATGTTGTGAAAATTCTTTTAGTGCAATAGCGGAAAGTACTATTCTAGTCATTTGTATAGATTCATTTTTAATTATATTAAATGTGAAATCCGGACAATGTGTAATATTTGTTATATTTTTTTTGGGGGGGGGGAGATGAATTTGACAATGTTGAAAGAATGGATTGTTTGCACTAAGAGTCATAGTCTCAGCGCCTTAGAGATCATTCACCCTTGAAGGAACCCCTTCTCCGGGATTTCCCAGTAGACTCTATTCACCCCGTGCTTCCATTCTTCCAGTGATAGCACTGAAATGGAAATCACAGTGGTTCCCAGGTTTGTCTGCATAATGGAATCACCTAAGAGCGTCAAACAATATCAATACCTCATCCCATCTCCAGAGATTGTGATTTCATTTTTCTGTAGCGTGGTCTGCACTTTGGGATTTTCAAAAGATCTCCAGGTGATTCTAACATGAGGACCATTTTGGGAACTGCTGATAAATCATGTAGAAAACCATATTAACTTTTACCGACATTAGATAATCTACACTGGAGGAGAAATCTGCTTAATGTTATGAAGGCTCTTCTATAAGCATTTAGATATCACTTCAGAGGATTTATAGCTACACACATGCACACATTAGTGTTTGTGTATTATATAGGAAACACTTCTTTCCACTAAAATATAAGAACTATTTGGCCCATGTGGCTCAGTGGACTGAGGGTCATCCCATGGACTGAGAGGTCCCAGTTTGATTCCCGGTCAGGGCACATGCCCTGGTTGCAGGCTCGATCCCCAGTAGGGGCTGCAGGAGGCAGCCAACCAATGTTTTTCTTTCCCATCTACATTTCTATCTCTCTCCCTTCCTGTCTCTAAAAAAATCAATAAACACACACACACACAATGTATAAAGAACCAAATAATAGGAAGATATCACAGTGGCAGAGACTCCATGATGATGGTTTGATGGAAAGTACTGGGGACTGGATGTTAGGACCCTGGCTCTGTCATTTTTTCACTAGTGTTGACCCTTGAACAATACGGTTTGAACTGTGCAGGTACACTTATATGTGTTTTTAGTCAATAAATATTGTAAATGTATTTTCTCGTCCTTATGATTTTTTTCTCCAGCTTACTTTATTGTAAGAATACAGTATATAATACATATACCATACAAAATATGTGTTAATCAACTGTTTATGTTTTTGGTAATGCTTCTGAAGGTCAACAGTAGGCTGTTAAGTTTTGGGGGAGTCAAAAGCTATACATGATGCACTAAAGCAAATGGATTTAATAGATAGTTATAGAGAATTATACCCCCAAACTGCAGAATTCACATTTTTCTCAAGTGCACATGGGACATTCTCAAAGATAGACCACATGTTAGGACACAAACTAAGTCTCTACAAGTTCAAGAAGATTGAAATCATAACAATCATCTTCTCAGATCACAGTGGCATGAAACTAGAAATGAATTACAATAAAAACACTCAAAAACATTCAAACACATGGAGGCTAAATAGCATTATTAAACAATGGATGGGTTACCAAGGAGACCCTTCAACATTTTATATAATACTGGTTTGGTGGTGATGAACTCCTTTAGCTTTTCCTTGTCTGGGAAACTCTTGATATGTCCACCGATTCTAAATGACAGCTTTGCAGGATAGGGTAGTCTTGGTTGTAGATTGTTGCTTTTCATCACCTTGAATATCTCTTGCCATTCCTTTCTGGCCTGCAAAGTTTCTTTTGAGAAATCAGCTGACACAGGGGAAAGCCCCACGCCAGACTGAAAACCAATAGTGGCAACGGCAGCGGCGGGGCAGGGCTGTCCTCACCCAATGAAAACCAACCGGAATGAAAACTAAGGGCAGCCGCTGCCTCATCCGGGGGCACTCGGCGGTCGTGGCGGCGCACTGCGGTGCAGGATGGCGCAAAAGAAATATATCTATGCAAAACTGACCCAGTTTTTAAGGGAAGACAGAATTCAACTTTGGAAACCTCCAAATTCAGATGAAAATAAAGTTGGTTTGGCATTGAAGATTTTATTTATTTATTTTTATTTTTATCCTCACCAGAGGACATTTTTTTCACTTTTTGTTCAGATAGAGTGGGACGGAGACAGAGGGAGAGAAACTGATGTGAAAGGGACACATCAAGTGGCCACCACCCACACGACCCCAACCAGGACCGGGGACAAACTGCAACCAAGGTACGTGCCCCTGGTGGGAACCAAACCCGGGTCTCTCTGGACCACAGGCCGACACTCTAACCCCCGAGCCAAACTGGCCAGGGTTCCCCAATTCTCTAACTTTCCAGTGTGGCTAAAAAGAGCCCCACTTCAGCTCACTTCTTTCCTATAACATTTCTAGAGAGCCAAAGCTGCCCCACCTAGGCTGTCTCTTGTTGCTTGTACTGCCTTAAGTCCTTCCTTTGCTTCACTATTCCCAGCTTTGATAAAAATACTCTCAAAATCACCTAGATTCATCACATCTTTCCTGCATGAAGTCAAGAACTGACACACTACAGGCTGGCTGAGGGAGACCCACTGTAGGCAGAAAGAACAGTCACCCTGCCCCCATTACCTGCCCAACACTCTCCTAGCACTTTGCTGGGGATCCTCATTGAAGCCAGGCCAACTGGCCAAGGCTGGGAAGCCCGGCTCTGAGGCCCCAGAGTGGGAGAGGCTTGCTGGACAGCCCCAGGAGGCTGCCAGGGTGTCCGGAAGCGCTTGCTGCCGGGATCATGTTGAGCTCAGAGGCGGGGAAACTGCTGGGGTGGGAGGGGCTTGCGATTCCCTGAGGCTGCCGGCGGGGGCGGGGCGAGGGGTTTGCGATTCACGGAGGCTGCCGGCGGCGGCGGTGGAAGGGGTTTGCGATTCACGGAGGCTGCCGGCGGCGGCGGTGGAAGGGGTTTGCGATTCACGGAGGCTGCCGGCGGCGGCGGTGGAAGGGGTTTGCGATTCACGGAGGCTGCCGGCGGCGGCGGTGGAAGGGGTTTGCGAATTCACGGAGCCGCCGGCGGGTTGGAGGGCGTGGGACCGGCTTGCGATGATTCGCGGAGGCTGCCTGTAACGTGAGGAAACTTAGAAGTTCCAAGGCTGCGAGGAAGTTGTACGTGCGCAGTGTGTTCCAGCTAAGTCCGGTTGAAGAAGGGGCTGAAAGATTTCGAAGGGGCAAATAAGCCATTCTGGTACCAACCACGTCACCGCCCCAAGAGGATTTCTTCTGCCCACTGCCCTTTTCGGATTGGTATTAGGACCTGGGGCTTTCCTACTTGGCAGTGGCCGCCTGTGCAGACCCAGGCCGGGCGTTCGTGCCCAAAGCACGCATGACCATGAGCACTGAGGCGGCAGCCGGGACAGACATATTGCGGGGCTTTCTGATGCTGCAACTGATTCTGTGGTGCTGGGTGCCCCCCGCAGGTAAGACCGAATGGGGGGAGGGGTGTTTTCGCTAGGCAGCCCCTCCCTGGTCAGCTCCTTTGAGGGCCCCGCCTGAGGTCCGCAGCCAACTGGGGCTGTACTTGAACGATCCCCGACTCTGAGCTTTCCTTTGTAAAATTGGAGACATTAATAAACTGATTTGAAAATTTCTATGAAATTACAAGAGACTCAGAATAGCCAAAACAATCTTGAAAAAGAAGAACAAAATTGGAAGATCATATGTAGATTAACGAGGGGCCATGAACAAAAGGGCCTCTATACCTGAGACCCCCCCCCAAAGAAATCTGTTTTTAATTATATGGTAGTGTTTGAGTGTACAAGGCCTATGTTTTTCTCCCCAAGGTTCTCCCATAACTGAGTTTTCTTAATGTCACAGATTTCTTCATAGTGGAGATGGCAGGGAAGACTCAGACTGTGCTGCTGAATGCCACTGCCACCATCTACTGCAAGGTCCCTGGTTCCCAACGCCATAACATCAGAACTATGGCCATTACCTGGTTTCGGAAGCATCAGGTGAATGGAGCAGAGGACAAGGTGTTTGAGTTTTATGGAAGCCACCAAAAGGCATTCCGACAAGGAGCCAGCGTGAGTCCACAGAGTCTGGAGATGGGGGATGGCTCACTGAAACTGCCTGGAGTCCAGCTGAGGGAAGCAGGAGAGTACCGATGTGAGATGGTGATCACCCCTGAAAAGGCCCAGGGAACAGTCTATCTGGAGGTTGTGGGTAAGTGCCTGATGCAATGTCCTGTGGTTCCCATGGTGATGGGACTTGGGGTGGAGATGATGGGCCCAGTAGAGCAGAAGTTTGGAGCATGGGCCTTGTAGTCAGTTAGACATGAGTTTGGGTCCTGGGCTTCCATGGACATCTGGACAACTTAGAGAAGGTTATTAATTACACTGAACCTCAATGACCTTAGCTCTAAACAGATGTAATAGCACTGCAGTAAAGATGCTATCTCCAAATACAGTCATAGTCTGAGGAACTGAAGTTAGGATTTCATCATATGAATTTGGGGGTAGGGGCCCACAATTCAGCCTGTAATGGGGGCAATGTCTATGAGCCCTCCAAAATTGTACTTTAGACTTCGAATATTTTATACATATTAATTTGGGAAATAGGAGTGTAGGATTCATTTCACCTGCAACTGACAAAAAGCCTAAAATAAAAGATTTAAAAAAATTAATAGGCTTTATTTTTAGAACAGTTTTAGATTTACAGAAAAATTACAAAGATAGTACAGAGTTTCCATATGACTCCTGCCCCTGCATACCACTTTCCCAATTTTTGTTGTTGTTGTTGTTCAGATAGAGTGGGGAGGGAGAGAGAGAGAGAAACATCGACGCGAAAGGGACACATCGAGTGGCTGCCACCCACACAACCCAACCAGGGCCGGGGACAAACCGCAACCGAGGTACGTGCCCTTAGCGGGAACCGAACTTGGGTCTCTCTGGACCTCAGGCCGACGCTCTACCGCTGAGCCAAACCAGCCAGGGCCACTTTCCCAATTATTAACATCTTGCATTAGTATGGTATATTTGTTATAATTAATGAACCCATATGGATACATTTTTATTAATTAAAGTCCATAGTTTATTCAGATATCCTTAGTTTGTATCTAATATTTTTAATAATTTTTCTTGTCCCGAAGGTTACTTTGAAATTAATAGAGCTGCTCCAGTTTTCTTTGGATTAGTGTTAGTATTGTGTATCTTTTTAATATTTTATTTTATTACTTTTTAAAATATTTTTTTATTGATTTTAGAGAGAGAGAAAGGGAGAGGGAAAGAGATAGAAACACCGAGGAGAGAGAACATTGATTGGCCGCCTCCTCCATGCCCTCCACTGGGGATTGGGCCCACAACTAGGGCATGTGCCCTGACTGGGAATTGAACTGGTGACCTCTTGGTGCATTCATTGGTTGATGCTCAACCACTGAGCCATACCAGCCGGACTAAATCCCTTTACTTTTAATCTATGTGGGTCTTCATATTTAAGTTTTTATTGAATTTATTGGGGTGATATTGGTTAATAAAATTATATAGGTTTCAGGTGTACAATTCTGTAATACATTATCTGTATATTATATTGTATTCACCACCCCAAGTCAGTTCTCCTTTCATCACTATTTACGCCCCCCTAGAATAAGTGGGTTTCTTGTAGAAACATATATTTGAGCCTTTTAAAAAAATCTAGTCTGACAGTCTGTCTCTTAGTTGATGTATGTAGACCATTCATTTGAAGTGATTGCGTATAGCCCTGGCTGGTGTGGCTCAGTTGGTTGGGTGTCGTCCTGTGCACCAAAGGGCTGCATGCAGGAGGCAGCCAATTGATGTTGTGCTCTCTCATCAATGTTTCTCTCTCTTTAAAAATCAATAAACTATTCTTTTTTTCTTTTTTTTAAAAAGTGATTGCATATATAGTTGGATTAATATGTATCATGTTTGTGTTTGTTTTCTATTTAGTGCACTTGTTCTTCCCCTCTTTTTATTTCTTATCTGGTTTTAATTGAATATTTTATATCACTCCATTTTTTCTCCTCTCTTTATATATCAATTATATGCCTTTAAAAAATTCTTAGTATACTTACCTGACAGCGGAGATACCATGGTCATGAAGGTGGTTTTCCCAGGGCGAGGCTTATCCATTGCACTCTGGATGTGCTGACCCCTGCTATTTCCCCAAATAGGTAAAAAAAAATAAAAAATAAAAATTAATAATTCTTAGTGATTGCCCTAGAGTTTGCAGTGTATTTTTACAACTAATCTAAGTCCATTTTGAAATAGCATTGTACTGCATCATTGTCATTGGTAGTATAGATACTTTATAACAGAATATTCCCAATTCTCCTCTCCCATTTCTTATAACATTACTGTCATTTATTTCACTTATCCATATGCTATAACCACCCAATACATTGCTGCTATTAGTTTGAATCAACAATTATCTATTAGATCACTTAAGCATAAGAAAAAGTTTTATTTTAGCTACATTTTTTCCTTCTCTGATACTCTTTCTTTCTTTATGTAGATTCTAGTTTCTGACCGGTATCATTTTCCTTCTCTCTGAAGATCTTCTTTTAACATTTTGCAAGGGAGGTCTATTGCCAACATATTTACTCAGTTTTTGTTTGTCTGAGAAAGTATTGGTACTTTGCTTTTGAAGGATACTTTTTCTGAATACAGGATTCTGATAGGTGGGTTATTTTCTTTCAACACAAAATATTTCATGTCCTTCTCTTCTTGCTTGCATATAGGAAGTCTAATGTGCCCTGGCCGGTTTGGCTCAGCGGTTAGAGTGTCGGCCTACAGACAAAGGGTTGCAGGTTCGATTCCTAGTCAAGGGTTGCAGGTTCAGTTCCTGGTTGGGTCGTATGGGAGGCAACCAATTGATGTGTCTTTCACATCAATGTTTCTCTCTCTCTTCCTCCCTCCCACTCTATCTAAAAACAACAACAAAGCCCTGGCCGGTTTGGCTCAGCGGTTAGAGCATCGGCCTGCGGTACAGAGAGACCCGGGTTCGGTTCCCGCTAAGGGCATGTACCTCGGTTGCAGTTTGTCCCTGGCCCTGGTTGGTCGTGCGGGTGGCAACCACTCGATGTGTCCCTTCACGTCGATGTTTCTCTCTCTCTCTCTTCCTCTCTCTCCCTCCCGCTCTGTCTGAACAAAAAATGCAAAAGTGTCCTTGGGTGAGGATAAAAAACAAACAAACAAAAAACAACAACAACAAAAACAGTGGAAAAAGTATCCTCGGGTGAGGATTAACAACAAAAAAGAAGTCCAGTGTCATTCCTTGTTCCTCTATGAGTAAGTTATTTTTTTCTTCCCAATTTCTTTTTTAGAAGATTTTCTCTGTCTTTTGATCTATCTATAGATAGACAGATAGATAGATATATTTTTTTCCTGCATTTTGAATATGATATGGTACTTTACTTCTTGGTGTTCTCTAAACTTCCTGGATCTGTGCTTTGGTGTCTGTCTGGAAAATTCTCAGCCACAATTTTTCAAACAATTTCTTCCGCTCCTTTCTCTTTACTTCTTCCTATTACATGTATGTTATACCTTTTGCAATTGCCCACAGATTTTGGATATTTCTTTCCCTTCTGGGTTTCTACACCCCCCACCCCCATTCTTTTTGCTCATTGCCTTTCAGTTTGGGAAGTTTGTTTTTTTAATCCTTGATATTTTTGCATTTATCTTCAGATAGAGTGGGAAGGAGAGAAGGGGGAACAGAGAGAGAGAAACATTGACGTGAGAGAGACACATTGAGGGGTTGCCATCCGTAGAATCCCATCCGGGGCTGGGGACAAACTGCAACCTTGGTATGTGCCCTAAGTGGGAACCGAACCCAGGACTTATTGGTCCATGGGCTGACGCTCTAACCACTTAGCAAAACTGGCCAGGGCTCAGTTTGGGAAGTTTTTATGGATATATGTAAGCTAGCTGATTCTTTCCTTGGTAGTGTTAAGTCTACTGACGAGCCTCTCAGAGGCATTCTTTATTTCTTTTATGGTGTTCTTGGTTTCTAGCATTTCCATTAATTCTTTCTTAGAGAGTATCCATCTCTCTGCTCACATTATCCATCTGTTCTTGCATGTTGTCTGCTTTCTTCATTAGTGCTCTTACTGTTTTAATCATAGTTATTTAAAATTTTCTGATTATTTCAGAATCTGTGTTATACCTGAGCCTGGTTCTGATGCTTGCTTTGTCTTTCCACACTTTTCAGCATGACTTGTAATTTTTTATTGAAAGCCAGCTATTATGTATCAGGTAATAGGAACTGAGGTAAACGGGTTTTTAGTGAGAGATTCGGTGTTAATTTGGCTGGGAACTGTGTTTAATGTTAATGCCATAGCTGTAGGTGTCAGAGATTTCCGGGTCTTCTAGTGTCTTTTCCCCCCTCCCCTGTTTTGAGTTTTCCTACGAACTCCTTAAACAGAGTTTGTGTCTTGCAGCTCTCCCAGTTGTAATCTACCATTCTTATACTGGAGCCCTGTTGATATGGTGGTAAAGTGGTGCAGAGGAGGAGCAGTCCATCATCTTATGATTAAATCTCATGCTTTGAATGGCCTGAGCCCCTAGGCTGTGACCTTCAGGATTGTTTATAGGTGAGATAGGAAGGTTATAGAGGACTGAAGAGCTAATCATCTTTTCCAGGTCAGACAAGGCTCTGCCAAAGTCTTCTCCCTTGAGAGCATTGTTTGTATTTTTAAATGGTACTTTTCCTCTCCCCTCTCCCTAAAGCAGGAAGGGATTTTTTTTTTTTTTTTGCAACTGCAAGAACCTGGGTGGGTCCCTGAAGGTAAAACCCATGAAAACCTCCTAAGACTGGTCCCAGGAGTTCTTACTCTCCAGCTCGTCCACCCTCATCTTTTAGCAATTTGTCAAAGTTATGACTCCAGTTTATGGTAATGTGATCTTGGCCATGGTTCTCTCAATCTGCCTGTCTCTCTAGTTTTCAGGGTGGCAGTTTGTCCTGTCACCTCAGTTCTCTGATCGATCTAAGAAAAGTTGTTCATTTGCAGTTTGTTTAGCTCAGCTTCCCCCCCCCCCCCCCATTATGAGGACAGGAGTGATGACTTCTAAGGTCTTTTTTTTTTTTTTTTTTTATCCTCACCCGAGGACATTTTTCCATTTTTTGCACAGATAGAGTGGGAGGGAGAGAGAGGAAGAGAGAGAGAGAGAGAGAGAAACATCGACGTGAAAGGGACACATCAAGTGGCTGCACCCGCACGACCAACCAGGGCCGGGGACAAACTGCAACCGAGGTACATGCCCTTAGCGGGAACCGAACCCGGGTCTCTCCGGACCGCAGGCCGACGCTCTAACCGCTGAGCCAAACCGGCCAGGGCCTCTAAGGTCTTTATACAACAGAGGAGAAACTAGACGTCAACAGGGGCTTTTTAAAAGGTAGTTTATTTTTTTTTCACAACAATGTAGCCAACCCAGGGCAGGTAGGGCAGTTCTGTGATCACCTGGGACCCAGGGTCCTTTTATTTTGCCACTTTGCTACCCTCAACATGTAGCTTCCACCTTGTATTTGGAAATGGCTTCTCCATCTCCAGCCATCACATGGCATTCCGGCCATTCTGCAGGAAGGAAGAAGGGGAGAGGGAGGAAGGACACAGTCCTTTTCTTTTTCTTTTTAATCCTCATCCAAGGATATTTTTCCGTTTATCCTCAGATAGAGCAGGAGGGAGAGAGGGAGGAACAGAGAGAGAGAGAAACATTGATGTGAGAGCCACATTGAGTGGTTGCCTCCCGCACGACCCCAACCAGGGCTGGGATGAACCACAACCGAGGTATGTGCCTTTGACAGGAATTGAACCCAGGACTCTTTGGTCCGCAGGCTGACGCTCTAACTGCTGAGCCAAACTGGCCAGGGCCGCAGTCCTTTTCTTTAAGATACCCTTGTTGTTTAAGGATACTTCTTGAGGTTGCTCTTTCTATTTCTGATTCTATCCAAACTACTAGACCCTGAGTTCACCTGGCTACACGAGCTGAAGCGGAGGTTGGGAGATGTAGCTTTAACTTGGATGTGTCATTGAAGAATGGAATGTGTGGCAACTAGCAGTCTCTACCACAACAGTGTTCCAAAGGTTTCCTTAGATTCTCAAAGGTGTCTATGACACAAAGAAACTCTGCTTTACAAAAGGGCTATGAGAGTCTGGGTCATGGCCTATCAGCACTTTGCTGGCACTGAGATCAACATACCCAGAACACTTAGCCTAAACAGGATCCTATTCGCTTCACTCACCCTTCCTGAAGACTTGCTATGTGTCAGACATTGATCTGATAATAAGCTAGTCTCAACCTACCTCAAAGTATGACTTCTCTTCCCTGACAGCTTCTCCAATCAGCAGATTGTTTCAGGAGGATGCCGTGGTAAAAGATCATGACATTATTATTGTGTGTGAGTCAAGTGGGTTCTACCCAGAGGACATTAGCATAACTTTATGTCAATGGACCTGGGAGAATTCTCAGTACATGAATTGTTCTGAAGCCATCACCTCTCGTAAAGCCATCAAGAATGAAGACGGCACATTTAATATCACTAACCGTTGGAGGTTGAAGCAATCTCAGGTGCACAGTGGGACCATCTGCCAATGTGTGATAAGGCACGTATCCTTGCCCACCTCCCAGAAGTTGAACTTCACCCTGTCTGGAATAGGTGAGCATCCTCCTAGATGTTTCCCCTACTTTATACCTTGAGGGGTTTAACATAAAACTCAGGCTCCCAGTTAGTCTAGGCCATGATAGGGCCCCATAGGGAAGGAGAGAAAGCTGGGTTTGGCCTAACTCAGCCCCAGAGTTAGCAGTCCAGACTAGGTCGCTAAGGCAGGGTGGATGGTCTAAGAGGTGGAGAGTAGTGACAATAGTCCTCAGGGCTGCTATTAGCTTATGGCAGCTTAAGTGGTCTGGGTGGTCTGTATGACCTGGAATGGGAAGCTTGCCAACTACCAGAAGGAAGGGGATAGGATCCTGTCCATGTCCCCTAAGGATAGGGTCTATCAGGGGCCAGAGACCCAGCCCTGCCTACAACTCTTCTGGTCTGGCTCCAGGTCCACTGCAAACTGTTGGCTGGTAGAGGTTAAATCAGTAGTTCTGTGCCCAAGATAGGAAGGCCATAGTAGGGAGACCTGCAAATGCCAAGGGCTTTCCCCAGGCATATGACATCCTTAGCTTAAGATAATACAACTTACTATAGGACCCCTCCTGCTGGCGGGGTGTGGTTAATTGGGCTTGTATCCTGGCTTCTGTGGTCATGGCTCTGGTCCCAGGGGGGATGATCCTGCTGGTCAAATGCATCTGCCTGGAGCTGAGAGTGGTTAGGAAGGCAGGGGCTGACTGGGTGTGCCAGTGGGGCCTGGAGTGGTCCTGGAGGGAGAGAGGAATTGGTTTTGGAAGCAAGGGCCAGGGATGTGTGTGTGTGGTGTGTGCAGGGTATGTGTGGGGCATGGGGAGTATGGAATTAAAATATGCTTTGTGTATAATATAAGAGATTTGTCTTGGTGATTTGTGTATGCCTTAGTGTGTTTGGGCTGCTATAACATATTGCCACAGACTGGGTGGCTTATGATCAACAGCTTTATTTCTCACAGTTCTGGAGGCTGGAAGTCTGAGATCAGTGTGCCAGACTTGGGTGAGGGTTCTCTCCTGGGTCACAGATTTCTTGTACCCTCATATGGTAGAAGGGATGAGGGATCTCTCTAGGGCTCATGACCTCCCAGAAGCCCTACCTCCTAATACCATCACATTGGGTATTAGGATTTCAACATATGAATTTTGGGAGGACACAGGCATTCAATATGTAGCAATGTATGGTTAGGTAAGATGGTGTAGTAGTGTGGAAGCTCTGAACATGTGCATGGCATATATATGTGGTACGTGGTGTTTGATATTGCCATGTATCTCTGGGAAGTGCTAAACACACTGTTTAATGAGTGGAGGAGTATGTGAAGGAATGACCAAACGTGTGGCAGAGGATTGGTGGTTATATGCATGACAGGGAAATGACACCTAATCACTGAGATCTTAGCAGTGGTTGTGTGGTCACTTTGGCTCCTGCCGGTAGGTTTCCTCTCAGCATTGTCTGCCCTTTCTCTCTGCAGGATCTGAGACAGGAAATTGCTTGTGGATCATCATCATTTCCATCATTTTCTGTTTTGGGGTGATTGTTTAAATTATACTGCTTTCAACAACACTTTGGAAAAGGTAAGGGTGAGGGGCCAAAAGCAAAGTTTAGCCCTGTGTTTAGAATTGGCTCTGGGAATTCAGGGATCATGGCAAGCAGATGGTGTTGGAGAAGTCTCAGGATCGATGCTGGGGGATTTCGTGTGGTGTGTGTCTTTTTCTGATGTGTTTCTCTTTCTCATCAGATTCACGTGTGGTGGCTTGTGACTCTGGGGAGATCCACTGTAAAGCTCCTCTGCGTCTTCTTAACATACAAGTCTCACTGTGGACCAGACCCCATGTATTAGTTCAGACCCGGCCTTTGAACTACATGTGGACCGCATTGTTGTTTTCAAACACAGAAACCACAGCTCAGAGAGGGGATTTTCTTCCCCCACGTGTTCATATTTTGTTAATAGCTCAATGGGATAGTTTACAACCAGATTTCATGGTTAAACAAGAATTTCTAGCTCTCACTGGTGTTTCCAAACTAAGACATGTTTCCAAACATGTTTATCCTTAACTGTAGTCCAAATAGCAGATAAAACAGCTCAGGTTGTAGAGGCCTAAGAGACCGGTGTAAACATGTTGGTTAAATTGGTTCTAGATATTAAATTGCCCTCAGTTAGGGTATTTATGGGCCTGCCAAGGCAGAATCTGTGCAATAGCTAGTACATCTTATTAGAAATGCTTTAGGAAAATTAGAATGATCAATTAATCAAGAAAAAAGGCTATTTATTTATCTAAAGTTGGCCAACTGATTCATGGGACATATTCTCCTGATTGGACTTAGGCCAATGCGAAAACTGTGTATAACATAGTTTTTCGGTGTTTCTTGTGATATTTATGAATGTTCTCATATTTCTTACCTTCCTCTGGTGCTGTCGCCATAAGCGGACATGTGACCAGGTTATTTATTGAAAAAGCCTTCATGATCACTCTGGTTTGCAATGAAGGCTCCAGTCCTCCATCCTTCTCTATATCCTTGTCCTTTGCCGTATAACTTTGTAGTGCCCTCCAATCATGGGCTGCCCCTTAATCCTGGGCTCAGCTCTATGATTTGCTTTGGCCAATAGAATGGGAGAGAAGTGAAAGAAGCCTTGTATATTTCCATTTGCTTTCTTTTGTGCTTCTGACATTGGTGAGAGGAGGACACGTCCAAAGTAAACTGCTGGAAGATGAGAGACACTGGAAGTTGGAGCTAATTGCTCTGGAGGGGGCCAGTGTACAGTAAGTCTTCACTTAACGTCCGTAGATTCTGCAACTTTAAACAACACGACGTGTGATGAAGCTAATGTTACTATAGACTAATCGATATAAACAAGAGTTAAGTTCTTACGGTGTTTCATCAATGTTATAATGAAACAACATTGACTGAAACCACATTATTTGAGGACCAGCTGTAGATTAGATGACAGCCACCCAACGCCCAATGTGAACAAATCTCGCTGAGATTATCAGCATCAACAGAGCCATCTCTCACGTGTGAGAAACAAATATTTATTTTTTAAGAGCCACTGTGTTTCAGGCTGGCTTGTTACACAGCAAAAGCTAACTGATATAGCTCCTCAGGAGGCTGAGTTTTGACCAAAAAAAGTGTGGTTGCCATGGAGATGTGCTCCTGAGACCCTCTTTGGCAGAGTCTACTATGAAGAATGTACCCAGCCAACATGTTCCACCTGTGTCATCTCAGGGATCTGCCGCAGTATTCGATTTGATGCCATGCTCACTCCAGGGAGCTCCAGCCAGTGGCTGAACAAAGCAGGAGTCTTTGGGGCTCCCTGTTGGAGTGGCTGAGACTTTCTCAGAGTTGCACAGTAGTCTGAAGCTCTTGCTACCGAATCCTCCCTCCTTCGTCCCTTCACAGATATCAGATCTATGTCATGGTCTAAGGGCTTTTTCCACCTACCTCTGTGCCCTCTTTCATTGGCATTACTTCCGATGACTCTCTCCTATTTCTAACACCTTGAAAGTTGCTTCTCAGAAGACCCAAACTAATATGAGAAGGGACTAAAGAATTGTAACACGGTGCTTTCATTATGGTGCCTTCATGACGTATTCAGATTGGGGAGCCACTGGAACACAGGCTGTTCTTACACAGTGACAGCAGAAACCACAAGCTTTCTCAGAGAATGTGTAAGTAACGGAAATCACTTTTCCTGATGACCCACACAGCTTGCTCAAGAGCAGACTGTTTAAGCTGCCCTCTTTGGATATCCTCCGGCCAATCAGCTTTTTCTAAGAAAAGGATAAAGAAAGCAGCACTTTCCAAAGAAGATATACAAATGGACAGCAAGTACATAAAAAGGTGCTCGACATCATTAATCATCAGGGCAATGCAAATCCAAAGGATGAGCCATTACCTTGCCCTTGTTGGAATGGCTGCTATAAAAAGACAAGAAATAAAAAGTATTGGCAAGGATGTGCCAATGGGCACAGACAGTAGTGTGGGGAAGGCAGGAGGGGGGCGAGAGTGGGGAGGAGGGAGTCAATGGAGAAAAAAGGGAGGATATCTGGAATACTTGCAACAATAAAGATACATTTTTTAAATTATATAATCACCTTGGCCGATTTGGCTCAGCAGTTAGAGCGTCCCATAAGTTGTGGGTTTGATTCCAGTCAAGGGCATGTACCTTGGTTGAGATTCGTCCCTGGCCCTGGTTGGGGTCATGTGGGAGGCAGCCACTTGATGTGTCCCTTTCACGTCGATGTTTCTCTCTCTCTCTTCCTCTCTCTCCCTCCCACTCTATCTGAACAAAAATGGAAAAATGTTCTCAGGTGAGGATTAAATTAAAAAAAAAAATATATATATATATAATAAATCCTTTTATTTATTTATTTTATTTATTCATTTTTTTTATCCTCACCCGAGGATATTTTTCCATTTTTTGTACAGATAGAGTGGGAGGGAGAGAGAGGAAGGGAGAGAGAGAGAGAAACATCGACGTGAAGAAGGGACACATCGAGTGGCTGCCACCCGCACGGCCAACCAGGGCCAGGGACAAACTGTAACCGAAGTACGTGCCCTTAGCGGGAACCAAACCTGCATCTCTCCGGACCGCAGGCTGACGCTCTAACCGCTGAGCCAAATTGGCCAGGGCTAATAAATCCTTTTAAATGTTAATTTAAAAATAGCAAATACATGAGCCCATAATAATTTATTATCAAGTATTATGTACTGTATGTAATTATATATACTTTTATATGACTTTTTTTTTTATCCTCACCCGAGGACATTTTTTTTTCCATTTTTTGTTCAGATAGAGTGGGAGGGAGAGAGAGAGAGAGAGAAACATCGATGTGAAAGGGACACATCGAGTGGCTGCCACCCGCATATGACTTTTATATATACTTTTATATTAAACCAGTGTAGTGGTTTGTTTACACCAGCATCGCCACAAACACATGAAGACTGCATTGTGGCCCTGGTCGGTTTGGCTCAGCGGTTAGAGCGTCAGCCTGCGGTCCAGAGAGACCCGGGTTCGGTTCCCGCTAAGGGCATGTACCTCGGTTGCAGTTTGTCCCCGGCCCTGGTTGGTCGTGCGGGTGGCAGCCACTCGATGTGTCCCTTTCATGTCGATGTTTCTCTCTCTCTCTCTCTCTTCCTCTCCCTCCCTCCCACTCTATCTGTACAAAAAATGGAAAAATGTCCTCAGGTGACATTTGTGCTGCATTGTGCTGCGATGTTAGGATGGCTATGTTAGGAAGGTCCACTCTAAGGTTATGGGACCATTGTGGTATATGTGGTCAGTCCGTTGTTCCTCAAAACGTCACTATGAGAAACAATGGGATATTATTCAACCATAAAAGAAATAAATCTTGCCATTCGTGACAACATGATTGACCTAGAGGGCAGTATTTTAAGTGAAATAAGTCAGAGAAATGTATGAGCTCACTTATATGTGAGTTGAAAAAAATACAAAAACAAAACAACAAGCTCATAGATACAGAGAACAGATTGGTGGTTGCTTGAGGTGGGGGATAGGAAGAGGGTGAAATGGGTGAAGGGAGTCTAAAAGTACAGACTTTGAGTTTTAAAATAAGTCCCGGGGATGTAATGTATAGCATGGTGACTTCAGTTAATGATACTGTATTGCGCCCTGGCTGGTTTGGCTCAGGGGTTAGAGTGTCAGCCTGTGGACCAAAGGGTCATGGGTTTGATGTCCAGTCAAGGGCATGTACTGGGGTTGCATGTTCGATCCTGGAGGCAACCAATCGATGCGTCTCTCTAACACTGACATTTCTTTCTCTCCTTCCCTCCCTCCCTTTCGCTCTCTAAAAATCAATGGAAAAAATATACTTCGGTGAGGATTAACAACAACAAAATAATACTGTATTGCATATTTGAAAATTACTAAAAGAAAATCTTAAAAGATCATCACAAGAAAAAACTGTGTTACTGTATGGTGATGCATTCTAATTAGACTTATTGTGGTGATTATTTCACAATATATATAGGTACCAAATCTTATGTTGTACACCTGAAACTAATATAATGTTCAACTGTACCTCAATTTTTAAAAATGAGCTTGAAAAAAGGAGAAAGTAACACTGACTATTTCCAGACTGTGGCCTGTTTCCATTTCAAATTCTATTTCTTTGTTCAGTGAGATAAATCTGTACCTGCCAATGTATGAATAAAAGTATTCACCTTTAATTTATATCCGAGTTGTTCTTTGATAGAAAATAAGTGACTTGCCCCTGGTCTCATGGCTAGTAAAGGGTGCAGCTTGGATTTTTAATCACTATCCGATATCTCCAAGGAAGATCTAGGGTGGAGTTAGGCTGTGAATTATGAACTTGATCTTTAATTAGGTCTAAGGAGAAAGGGCTGTGCAGCTGTATTTCAGGACCTTTGTGAGACAGAGAAGCCCTGTACCCATCTCTACTGGGTGGAGTAATAACTCGGAAATGTTCTCAGGTCACTCAGGAGGGTCCAGTCAGCACACAGCCATAACTTGGAAGTCTCCTGGCTTAGAGTGGCGATTTTCAACTGGTGTGCATCGGCACACTGGTGTGCCTCAAGAATTTGTAGACCATGCAATACCTGACTATTAGTCAGGGGCGCTGACCTCTTTTCCCTTAGAATACAAATACAAAAATGACAACAGCCAACATAGCAATAGCCATCCAGTGTGAGTGAATCAAAACCATACCTATTATTTTTGTCAGATTGACAAAAAACATATTTTTTGGTGTAGAATTTTAGTAATTAGTTTATGTGTGCCTTGAGATGAAAAAGGTGGAAAACTGCTGGCTTGGACCCTGGCTGGTTGGCTCAGCAGTTAGAGCGTCAGCCCATGGACCAATGAGTCACAGGTTGGATTCCAGTCAAAGGGCAGGTACCTCAGTTGCGGTTCGGTCCCTGGCCCTGGTCAGGGTCGTGTGGGAGGCAACCAGTCGATGTGTCGCTCTCACATTAATGTTTCTCTCTCTCTCTCTCTCTCTCTCTCTCTCTCTCTCTCTCTCTCTCCCTCCTTCTCTGCCCTCCCTCCCTCCCATTCTATCTGAAGATAAATGGGAAAAAATGTATCCTTGGGTGAGGATTAAAAAAAAAAAATGCTGGCTTGGAGGGATGAATAGAACAGACCCCCATAGCTGAGCTCCCACCTGAAAGTGAGTGAGGGTGGCCTTTAAGGGTGGCACGTGGGGATTGCAGCATCCGTGTGGTTGGTGCCTATTACAAGAAGACATTTAGAAGAACCAATAAATCTCCAAGTGGAAGGAGGCACGCGGGAGCAGTGGGGCTGGAACACATGAAGTAGTCCAAAGCTGTTCACAGTGGTTGCAAGAGAATGACACCCTTTGGAAGAAAGTAGTAAGGCAGATGACATTTTGTACATTTAGTAAAAGAAATGATAATTTTGTAGAGATTGTGATAAAATGGTAAAATGGGGAAAGAAAAGAAATAAAATACAATTAGATGGGAAAATCACAAATGGGATCTTTTTAGAGGAAGATGAAAATATTAGATGTAAAACACGGGGAATGGTAAATGGACATCATTGATTGGAAGAGAATCTATGATGTAGAAACAAAGGCATCAAGGAGTTACTAAACTCAGAATAAGCATGCTGGTCAGACCTTGAGAGACCTGAAGAGAGGCACAAACGAGGCAGAATTCTGGGGTGATTTTCATTCTTCCACTTCCAGGATGAATCGGAAACCAAGGACACAGTAGGACTTTAACAAAAGAGTCTCAGTCAGAACTGGACTGCACCTACTTCTCTCTGGGTTACCCTGGAGTGACTTCCCTAATAATAATGGCCTTATGAGAAAAACTGGACTGGATTAACTAAAGAGAACACAGAGGCAGGGTTCCCCAAAGTCTGGTTTGCTTCACTTTGGGTGCTGATGGTCGGTGGAGGAGTTTGGGATGCATTTGCACTGCGGGGAGTGATGCCCCTTCATGAAGGGGAGATGTATGGGTGAAGAAAGCTGGGTACTGCCGTCCTGGCCTGTACTCCTGTACACCTTTGCTTCTCCCAGTGAAGGAAATAACTTTGTGTAGATGTACATGCACTTAGCATTACTTTCCCACTCACTGGCACCAGTGCCTGAGGTCAGGGGAAAGGCAGAAGTTCTCACTCCAGTACCCAAGTTGGCCAGCGTAAGTGACCTGCCTTTCATGTCACTTCAGAGTTGGGGCGGCCCAGAGTAGAAAAAGAGTAGGGTGTGGGTCTAGCACCTGCTTTCCTTTCCTGGAAGATATACAATGTCCCAGGCAGGTGAACCTGGCAGGGAGGATGCCAATAATTTAGAATCTAGTGAAATGAACCCACTCTCTAGAACCCAGTCTGATTTGAATCCCACTGTTCTGTCTTTCCCCAGCTTCTTTCAAGCTAGACCAGATCCTTTGTTCTTCACACTTGCCCTAGCCTGGGGTCAACGTGACCTTGGCATGCAAAATTTATATCTTCTTCCCCAAAGTCTTCTGCATGTCTGCGTACTAGATAAGGTGTCTGATACTTGGACCTGGGGAGATTTCAGAGGTGAACCCAGAGACACGTAGGGAGCCTCGGCTACTTTACTCCCAGTGGAAAGCTCCTTGGGAAAGTTGTCCCTAAGAAAAGCAGTTGGGCAGGAGCTCAAGCGCAGAATGGAGCTGGGAGGATGCCACCTGTGGAGAGTGGGTCCTATAGAAGCAGGTGGATCCTCTCCAGCAGAAGGGCGTGTGGGCCTCGTGGTGACTGACTGGAGATGCCAAATCCACAGGCATCACCATAACTGAACCTGTCATCAGTCTCAAATCTGGGGCTCAGGGAGGCCCAGGGGCTTCCCGAGTTACACTTACTCTCTTGTTCTTCATCTAGAGACACCTGTCTTTCTGTGGTGGATTTGACCCTTAGGAAAGGTGGTACCCCTAGTAAAAGCCGGAGCTCAGGTCACTGGGATTGGGCAGCAGTCTGGGACAGAACTCAGGACCAAGTCTTGGGCCTGCCATTTACTGGCTGTGAGATTTTAGCAAGTTATTGTCACTTTCTGATCCTGTTTCTTTATCTGCAAACTTGAAGAACAGCACCTCCATCAGCACTGGGCCATCGTGACAGGAGGTACTCTCCCCCTCTCGGGGGGGTCTGGTGGAGAGTCAGTTCTGCACACAGGGTGTGACCTCACATGGACTGCTCTATCTGCTCTTTTTTTTTTTCCTAATTAATTTATTTTTGTTACAAATGTTCCTCCTTTGCCCCCAATGATTCCCACCTCTCCCTCCCTCCCCGCCCTGTCCCCTGCTTTGTTGTCCATGTCCATTGTTCATGCATACATGCATATAAGTTTTGTGGTTTATCTCTCCCCGACCACCCCCTCTTCTGGGGAGTGTCAGTCTGTACCCCACTTCCAGGTCTCTGGGATTACCCCACTCCTATCTGCTCTTATGTGATGTCCAATGCTGTCCTGGAGGCAGAATATCAGAAACTAAATTGTCACAGAAGTTCCTGCTAGGCTGAATGGACTCAGGGGACATTCCTTGGCCAGGTTAGTCCAATGCCTTAAAGCAGGGGTGCCCCCAGATGGAAGGAGCACTATCGGTGCACAAGAACATTCATAGGGTCAAAAAGGCTTGGTCCAGTTTCCCCTCTCCATGCCTGGAACTTTCCAGCTTCTTCTGGCTAAGCCTTGAGGCTGGGGGTGTCTCTCAGAGTGACTAGTGGCCCTGATTTTTCTGGGACCAAGTAGGTCTTCTCTGTGGCCAGCAGGTGGTGCTGAGCCCTCAGTTCTGCCAGTTCACTGTCACCAGCAGCTTAAGGTCTGAGCGCTGAGGAATGGGGTCCTCAGGGTAGTGCTGCCAAGGGATTTCGACTTTGGTCTGGCCCCTCCTCTGACCTTAAGAACAGCCAATCTAAGACCCAAGAGCCAGGCACTGCTCCCAGAAAGTCTGGGCTGACTCTGAGTAGCTCCTCATCTTTTTCCTCTAAGCCAGAAATGGGTCTGCTCAGCAAGGAAGGAAATCAATGCTAGGGGACTGTGTGGTGTAGGGAGGGGACAGCTTAGAGCTTGGAACAGCAGCAGCCCTGCCTCTCGAGTAACTGGGACAAACTCTCACTGATCCAACAAAAGCCCTCTGCAGGCCTTACACTGCAGCAACAACCTTGGCTTGTCCTGTACTCCATCCCTCTATCCATCCATCTTTCATTCATTCAGCACTTACTCAGTGCCAGGCACAGTGCTAAATCAGACACTGTCCCTGACCTCAAGGAGCCATGGATTTGGGGATGGGGAGACAGACCCATAAACACAGGCAAAAGTAGAAGCCCACAAACACAGACAAAGGGGACCATGTCTTTCCAGAGGAATCAGGGAAGGCTTCAAGGAGGCATCATTTGGTCTGGACTTTTATGGATTTCAACAGGCAGAGATGAGGCTTGGGCAGTCTAGGCAAAGGCTTGGAGATAGGAAGGTCAATGTTTTATGCAAAGAGGGGACAGTAAAATAGCCAGGGGAGTGGAAGGGTGCACAGTGTCCTGGCCACTATGAACTGGAAGGCTGGAAAGCAGGCAAAGCCTGACATGGCTGGCGATGCGCCCAGCCTTGACCCAGGACGTGATGGGGAACTACTGCAGGTAGTTGACATGGGAGGGGGTGATCACAAGCTGTTTAATATGGGTTTTTTTTATTGTTTTATTTTAGAGATAGAGGAAGGGAGAGGGAGAGAGAGATAGAAACATCGATGAGAGAAAAACATCAATTAGCTGCCACCTCCACATCCCCTGCTGGGGATGGACCCTGCAATCTGGGCATGTGCCCTACCAGGAATTGAACCGGTGACCTCTTGGTGCATGGGTCAATGCTCAGCCATTGAGCCATACCAGCCAGGCCATCACAAGTCTTTTGATAAGACCACTGGTGGCTGCATGGCAGATGAACTTGAGGGGGTGAGATGGAGACAAGAAGATCAGGTAATAGGTAGTGCCACAGTCCCTGTGATTAGCTCAGAGGGGGAACTGTGAAGAAAACAAGACCAGGCAGAGAAACTCATCACTGAGGGAATATATAATAGCACCCTCTCTCTTAACATCTGCTTGGTCAATTGTCTCATCATGTGGCTGATTCAGTAGCAATCACAATAGTTAACATATATTGAGCACTTATTATGGACCAGACGTGTCAGCACTTTACATATATTTTTCACTTCCTCCCACAACAATTTTATAAGATAGGTACTATTAGTATCCATACTTTATAGATGAGGCAACTGAGGCACAGAGAGTTTAAGTTACTTGATCCAGGTCTTAGAGTTAGAGCCAGGATTTGAACCCAGGCAGCGGGCTTGAGAGCTTATGCTCCCACCACTACACTGATGCATATGACAGCCCTGCCTCTCTCCCTGGGCACTCCAGCCCTGCAGCAAATTCCTGAAAGCAGAGGCAGGGCTATATGCCTGGTGGGTGTCCAAAAGTTGAAATGGCTAGACAGGCTGGCAAGGTTAGGCTGCCTGAGGCAAAAGGGGAAATGTCTCCCTGAACTGGGGCGAGGGCCAGACTCAGGTCTCTTTCCAGACCTCTGGACTATGGTCCATGGCACCTCTGGAATGTGGGCTGGGAGCTGCAGCCCCTCCCCTCCCTGTCCACCAGCATGCCTCCTGCCTCCCCAGCAAGAACAGCCCAGAGTTTAGGTCATGAAGGAGGGAGGCTTTATTGACAAGGGAGAAGGCAGAATTATGGGTAAGTACACACATCACTGCTCCAAGAATCCAGGCCTGGGGTCAAGCCTATCGGGGCCAAGGGCCCCTTCACCTCAGGAACCTTGCTCATCCCACTGTCCTGAGCTTTCCAACATCTCCTTTTCTAGCAATCCACAGACCCTCCACGGTCACCCTCTGGACAAAGTCAGGGGCAGCCACTGGAGGGAAGCCAGGACCAGAGTTGGGTCTGAGGCCTGCTGAGTATAGTGGGCCCAGAAATCCCTTCTCCTCAGTCTCTTTCTGCTTGTCACGCCAGTGTCTTCCTCAGTCCACTCCAGCCTCTGAGGGTGGGGAACAGAATGGGAACAGGCAGGCTCAGCAGCCCACGGAGCCCTCACCATAGAAGCCTTGGTGTTGAGGCAAAGGGTAGGGGTACAGGGCCCATCTCCCCTTCCCTGTGTCTGAGAGGACTCAGCAAAGCGAGTGTCATGCCATTTCCTCTCTGCTGGGGCTGCCCTGTGGAGGGGAGTCCTGTCAGCTCAGCCTGTCCCTGTCTGTGAAGGTGCTCCCTCATGACTACCCTTCTCAGCTGGCTGGGCCAACTCTTTAGCTCACCACATTTTCAGGGATCAAGGGTGGCTGGGGCCTGACCGCAGGCATCTCTTGGGGCCACAGAAACACAGCAGCAGGCCCCCAACCTGGGAACTGTTCTTCCTCAGCCATCTGCCCAGCTGTGGCTTGTTGATCATGGGGCTGCAAGAATAGCTGGAGACTCAGCTTTAGGGCCCAACATTTCTCACAGTTTTTCAAGCCTTGAGTCTGGGGAGGGGGACCAACCAGTCCTGAGTTGGGGCTGGAAGGAGCAGGGACAAAAATAACCCAGTACAGGCTCCTACTGAGGCCAGAAATAGGCAGTGACAATGCCTTATAACACCCTGGATGAGCAGCAGGGGGGAGGTTGAGCTGGAGAGGGCCCGGCCTCACACCAGGTCCTGGCCTGGCCAAGAGGCCCACACCATGTCCACTCTACATACCAAAACACACTGCCCATGTGCACACATGTGGGGTGGGAGCCAAAGGAACCATGGTTCAGGACAGTGCATCCGGAGAGATGCTAAACCTGGGCTTGGCCTTGGCCATGGCCACACTGCGTTTACGCAGTGGCCCACGGGCCGAAGCGAGGGTCAAGGCGTCCAGTAGGCTGCGGTCCTCATCAAGCTGGCGGGCCGTGCAGAGTGGTGTGGGCACTTTGATGGTGTTGCCAAACTTGGAGTAGTCCACGGCATAGCGGCCATCCTCCTCAGACACAATGGGCACAAAGCGCTGACCCCACAGGATCTCATCAGCCAGGTAGGAGGTGCGGGCTTGGGTGGTGATGCCTGTGGTTTCCACCACACCTTCCAGGATAACAATGATCTCGAGGTCCTGATGGTGGTGCAGATCACTGGGCGCCAGGTCATAGAGTGGGCTGTTGGCATCAATGATGTGGTAGATGATGAGGGGAGCCACCAGGAAGATGCTGTTGCCACCCACGCCATTTTCCATGGGGATATCCACCTGGTGGAGAGGTACCACCTCACCCTCGGGGCTGGTGGTTTTGCGTACCACCTGCATGTGGATGGTGGCGCTGATGATCATGCTCTTGCGGAGGTCACCTACTCGCAGCATGAAGCAGAGGCGGCCGTGGCGCAAGGAGATGACCGCGTGCTTGCTGAAGATGAGGGTCTCAGCCCGCCGATGGGCCTGGGCAGTCTTCATGAAGATGCAGCCCAGCATGATGGCATTAATCATGAGCCCCACGATGTTCTGCACAATGAGGATCAGGATGGCTAGTGGGCACTCCTCCGTCACCATGCGACCACCGAAGCCAATGGTCACCTGGACCTCAATGGAGAAAAGGAAGGCAGATGAAAAAGAGTGGATGCTGGTGACGCAGGGCACGATGGTGTCCTCTCCAGGGGCCAGGTCACCAGAAGCCAGGTCACCGTGGGCAAAGGCGATGAGCCACCAGACCATGGCAAAGAGCAGCCAGCTGCACAGGAAGGACATGGTGAAGATGAGCAGTGTGTGCGGCCACTTGAGGTCCACTAGTGTGGTGAACACGTCCTGCAGGAAGCGGCCCTGCTCCCGGATGTTCTTGTGGGCCACATTGCAGTTGCCCTTCTTGGACACGAAGCGGGCCCTCCGCTCACGGGCACGGTACCGGGGCTCCGCAGGGTCCTCTGCTAGCCGCGTCAGCACATACTCCTCAGGGATGATGCCCTTGCGCGATAGCATGGCTCCGGCGACCACCAGGGAGAGGCTTCCTTCATGGGGGGTGCCCCCTGACTCACAGCCTCGAGCCTCACTGTGGGGTTCCTTCCCTGGGTACCCTTCCTCTTTGGGACCACCCTCAGTCTAAGCTGGACTCACTTCTGAGATGCCTGCCCAACCGGACTCATCCTCTCCTCCATCTGGCCCCTGCTTCACTTTTTAGACCAGCCTCACACCTCAGCCCACCTGCCCATTGCCTAGTAAGCCCCCCACTCTGCTGGTTCCGCACCGGGCCCTGTATCTCAGCTCAACACTCCTCCACCCGCTGACACCCCTGGGAGTCTCCTGTCTAAGACCCCTTCTCCCCACTCAACCCACCTCTTCACCATGGAACTTAATACCTATTATCAACTGACCAGACCTCACACAACCCCCACCGTGTCTTCTGTCTCACCCATTTCTACCCCCAGGTCCCCTCCAAGCTAGTTTCATATCCTGACCACTCCCCAGTCTCCCCTCCAAGTATGCCTCCTCTTTCCTACCCCACCCCCGTAGCGCTCTCGCCTCTTTTCGGATCTCCCCTCCAGCTATCGTCCTCTGTCTCCTTGGGATCCTGCGCCCTCCAGTCACCACCCCACCAGGCTCAACTCCAGATCCCCTCACCCTCAGCACCACCTGACCCCGCTCACTCGCTGCTCCGGGCCTCCGGGCCCCCGGCCGGCCGCACGTACGCCGGCGCCGCGCCCCCGCCCCGCGCTCCGTCCCTGCCCCGCCCGCCTGTCGCCGCGGCACCTGCTCCTGCTCCTCAAGCTGCAGCCATCGCCTCCCTGCCCCCTTCTGCCGTTGGGCTTCAGCGGGCTGACCTCGGGTCGATCTGACTGTCTGCGGAGACTGACCTGTGCTAGGTGGGGGTAGAAGATTGAGGGCGAGGGGCGCCCGAGGAGTGGAGTGGGGGCCGGGGGCCGCCAGGGGGAGCCCGACCTATTTCTGAACTGGAGGGGCGGGCACAGACTCAAGCCCCGCCCCTCGCCGCTCACCTCCCTCTGCCTGCTTTCTCCAGACACACTCTGGCCTTTGATTTGCCCCATCAGATGGACCAAAAAAGGTCCCTTCTGCCCACGGCCTACGAAATTAGGGCGGGATAGGGGCGAAAGAAGTCGTGACTTTCCCTCCCACTCGGATGACAGCCCCTGTCGCCCTGGCTCCCGTCCTGTTTTCCCGTCCTCTGTGGGGTCAACATCCGCCTCTGAGTGTAGCACTGGGCTTTTCGGGGTTCCAGAAAAAGGAAGCACCAAGGGGCTGCATAACCAACCCGGTGACTGGGGGGAGATTAGGTGGCCCGATGAGTTCTCAACTGTCTGCTTCTCTTTGGAGATGCTCTTAATCTTTTCTGAGTAATGGATCTTTTGAGAATCTGATAAAATCTACGGTCTCCCTATGGGGTAGGGGGTGGGGGGAAATGTATCTTTGGAGGTGTAGGAACAAAATTTAATAGCCACTACAGGGGATGCTGGATACGCAGCCCAGAATCCTGGGTGGTTGCATCTTCTCAATCATGACTGCCCCTTACGCTCACCTCAGCCCTGCATTTTAAAGAGGGTTTGAGTTACTGGCACTTGCTTTACACCTTCTTATACTGGCAGCCTGGTTTCCTCTACTTTAGGTAATGGGAAGCAGTTGGGTCTGTGTGGCTGTATGAGGGCTGACTTGGGCACTGGGGGACCCAAGCTCTTGGCCTGGACCTGAGTGGTGTTTCTACTGAAGGAATTAGCCTAGGGTTGTCCTGTGGCTTAGGCCCAGATAGAAGGTCCCCAGTTCTTAGCTGAAAGGGAAAGCCTGCAGTAATGTGGCAGTAATGGCCCCACTCCTTCTCTGGGGCTTAGGTCCTTTTGGAGGAACCCCTGATCTATGTGTGTCTATTGTTGTAGTGGAGGCTTGAGGCAGAGGCTGGAAAGTTAAGGACAGTGGGTTTGTGGGCCTCAGTGGGGCTGGGTGTGACTTTCATATTGACATTCCTCTTTCTCTCCCATACCCACCAGCAGGCAGAACACTACTACTCAGAATAAGCATGATCTTGGGCTATATTATCAGAGGCACAGTACCTAGGGTGGGGAGGGGAAAACAGGATGAGCAAAGTGGGGTGCTCAAGGAGACAGGGTTATACAGGAAACCTCTGGGGGCAACTACAGCTCTTTAGCCATCAGAAAAGGAGCCGTGAAAATCCCCTACCCCAGGTAGTTTGGGCACTATTGCAGAAACCCTTGGGGTCCAAGAAGTACGGACTAGTAGTGTTGTATGGCCCCAAGTGTAGACCCATTATAGACACTGAGTAGAACAGAGGCAGTCTTTGATTTCACATATAGGAGTCAGTTCTAATAATCAGAGATGATCCATGTCTGTAGGGTATCCAAGTCAAGATTGGCAGACCATCAGGGATACTATAGAGGGGTTTGGGCATCCCTGCAAGACTTCAGTGTGGGCCCTGCCCCTGCTACTTTCCTTCAGTTCCTTAAGGGGGTGGGCACAGGAATATGGGAATTCTCTTCCTGCTCCTAGGCTCTGTTCCTGGGAAGCCCCACAGTAGAGGAAGCTGCTGGGCTCCAGAGGCATCTCAGAGCTGGAAAGGCCAGGCCCTGCCTCACAGTGTGACTCTGAGGCCTCAGCTCTTTCAAGGAGGGTGAGCCCACTACCCAAAGGGCTCAGTCTCATGCCCTGTTCCACCCTACATCTCCTCATGCTCATCTCCCCATACTCACCTCCCCCAAAGACTGCACTTGTCAAGTCTCTTTCTTACTCACAAAACTTCTCCACTTCCCTTTTGTTCATAGGCTTATCCCAGACTTCCTATCCTGGCATTCAAGGATCTCTGATCTTATGCTTCCCACGTGCCACTCCAAGGGCCATTTTCTCTGACTCTGCCTATCTAATTCCTATCCCTCCCATGCCTAACCCAAATCCTGTCTCTCCCAGGAGTACCTACAGTACTCTTCCTTTCTGAGTTCCTGTGATTCTTAGAACATCCAAAAGGGTTTGTGCTGGACCCCTCTCCAATGACTGGTGGGTTTTACTTATGTTGTATGGTTTTGACCCCCTTGCATACAAGAAGAATGCAGGCCCAAGACTCCTGAGTCTGCACCCCAGGCCTGATACAGCCAGTATTGAAGGCAACATGTAAATGATAATTAAATGATATGTAAATGAGCACCTGCCATTTCTTGGCTGAGGGCAGGTGTGCTATCCTGTTTCATGATGCAGATGGAGTCTGGAGACAGCTGTTGTTTTGGTCTCCCCAGTCTGGGCCACAGCATCTCCCAGCCACCACCTGGCTGACTTGTGGCATGCACTGTGCTTTCCCTCTGAGGGGCCACTGTCCCCTACTTCTGAATGCTTGTACATGGGAGATGGAGATGGGGACATGTGATCCAGACCTAGCCAATCAGTTTGTTCCAACTCTCTGACCACAGTGACTGGGGGCAAGGACGTGATGCAAGTTGTCGACTGAGATTTGTTCCCAAGATTTTTGCTAGAGCTATTCGGAAAGAGAATCTCTTTTACAGAAGGGTAGGACATAAGCTGGAGCTGATAGTGGCCATCTGCCACTGAGGAGGGAGAGGACGATGGAACCCAGAAACAGAGACACACCTTTGATGGCAAACCTGATCCAGCTGTGCTTGAAGTAGTACACCTCCTGCCCTTCTCAGTCACGTAAGACAGTAAACTCCAGTTTTTGTTTAAGCCATATGGAGTTGGGGTCCTGTCATTTGCAAGGGAAATAGTACTAATCCAGAGTACTTGAGGCCCCACAATTTTAGTTGAGGAGTTAAAGTGAGAAGGAAGGGGACCAAGCTATAAGGAGATCTGCTACCTTACCTGATGAGACAATTACAAAATGCTATAACTTTTGTTAGGGGTTGCCCCAAAATTCATATGTTGAAGCTCCCCAATGTGACTATTTGGAGAGAGGTCCTGTGAAGAGGTAATTAGGTTAAATGAAGTCATAGACGTGGGGCCCTAATCTAAGATGACTGGTATTCTGGCACGAAGAGAGAGACGCCAGATGTGCGTACAGAGGAACAGCCATGTGAGGACACAGCTAGATGGTAGCTGTCTGCGACCAAGGAGAGAGGCCTCGGGAGAAACGGAATCTGCAACATCTTGATCTTGGACTTTCAGCCTCCCAAACTGTCAGAAATAAATTTCTGTTGTGTAAGCCATGCAATCCTTGCTATTTTATGATGGCAGTCCTAGCACACTAATACAACCCTTATTTCACAGACGAGGAAACCTGCTTTTGCCCATCTCACACAGTTTCTTTAGGTCTGCCTGATGCCAGTCATGCTGGCTCCACTGGGCACACAGTCCACCCCAGCCCCTGCCCGCTTGAACCAAGGCCTATGGTAGGAAATAACCAATTTCTTTATTTACAAGTGATTTACAGTTAGAAAACCCAGGCAGGAGGTGGGGCCAGGATGGGGCATGGGGTGGCGCTTGGGCTCCGGCAGGTCACTTGTCTGCACGGACAAAGGAGGCAAAGACGCTGTCCTTCTGGCTGAGCAGCTTCTCTGGCGTGTCGAACTCGAGGATGGCACCACGCTTCAGGACGATCACCAGGTCTGCACTCAGGATGGTGTGCACACGGTGCTGCATGGAGCAGGAGGGGGCTGGTCAGGGTGGTGGGGAAAGGGCGCAGCTGAGGGCATCCTTCCTGCAGCTTGGAGGAGGAGGCACGTGACCAGATGCCCATCTCTGTGGTGATTGCCCTTTCCTGGGGTGGCTGTGACTCCAAGTCTTCCTTCCACTAATGACATCCTCTCTCCTCACCAAGTCTCAGCTCTGCCCCAAACTTTAGGCTTCAAGTCTAAGAGACCCACCCCCATCCCTCATTTCCTATGGAGATGGAACCCTAGTCTAGCTCACAAGGCCTTGGGATGGCGTTGGTGGGGGCCTTGGAATCTGAAGAATGAGAAGGGAGGTCTGAGGGACAGGCACCACCCCCCTCCTCCAAATCCTTCAATCCAGGGTCCCTGCAAGCCCTCCAGACTCCTTGCCCTCCCTGCTCCAGGGTCCTCTCTTGGTTACCAGGTCCCAGTGAGCCCAAGGGCTCCCCTTTTTCTGGATGTTCCCCCTCCACCTCATCAATGAGCCCCTTACCGCAATGGTGACGACGGTACGGTCTGCGAAGGCCGTCATCACCACCTTCTGGAGGATGTTTTCCTGCCAGGTTGGAGCAGCAGCTGTTGGCTCACCTGCTCAGTGGATGTGGCCTGGCCTAGCTTTGGGGCCCAGGGTTGTGGCCAAGCTCCCATTTGACCCCAATCCCAGGCCCCACCCCCCACCCCAGTCTGCCCCTAGTCCCCACAGAACCGACCAGGATCCTAGCATTCAAGGAGCTCAGCTCTGTGCCTGTAGGTATGCTGTGAGCATGTGTGGGGTGTGCTGTGTGGTGGGGGGCAGGTGTGAAGTCTCTGTGGATCTGTGTGCAGTGTGTGTATGTGGGTCAGGAACATGCCCTAGGACGAGCTGGAGTCAGGGTCCCCAGCCCTTTGCCTTTTCTGCCACAAATGGCCTCGATGGTCAAGGCGATTTGAACTTCAGGGCTACTTTGTGCAAATTTCCCCTCAACACCCCTACGCTCTCCAAGACCCCCACCCCTGGATGTGCCCAGGACCAACCGTGGCCATGTCGATGGAAGCTGTGGCCTCGTCCATGATGAAGATGCTGGTCTTCCTCACGAAGGCCCGCGCCAGGCAGAACAGCTGCCTCTGGCCCTGGCTGAAATTCTCCCCGCCTTCTGTGATGATGGCATCTGAAATCAGCCCCAGGGGGAGGGGCAGGGCTGAGTGAATCCTCTGTTGTGAGCAGAGTAGATAGTGTGGCTTGGGGGTATTGGGAAATGTCTGTACAGGAGCAAATATGTGGGTGTGTGTGGTGAGTACAGGTGTGTACGGTTGCCTTACACAACATGGTGCTACCTGCATGGGTGACCGTGAGAAGAGCACCCTCTGGAGTTGGTGCTGCTGGGGCCCTGGACAGCTCTGGGAGGGGTGTGTGCACTGAGTGTGCATGTGCCCCAGGTGTGGGGGCCTTGGTGACGAACTAAGGCAAGGCTGGGCCAGCCTCTGCTGTTAAAGGGGCCGCAGCAAATACAGCAAGGCTGTTGACCACTGGGGTCGGGGCAGTCTTCCCAGGAGCCTTGATGAGTGCCCTGTGCTTGTGATTTCCCAGTCTTCTTTCTGGAAGATCTGGGCAGGCAGGTGGACAGGGAAGGGCAGGTCTGAGCATACCGTTATGGTCTTGGGGACTTGCAAGCTTCATCTCACAGTGACCCCACTGTCCTCTCTGTGCCAGATCCTGAACTGACCAGTTGTGTGACCTGGGGCAAGTCACTTGACCTCTCTGAGCTCCTACATGGTGAAAGGTAGGACTAAATGGTCCCTGGGGTCCTGCCAGACCTCAGACTCCAAACTCTGGGCAAACCTAAAACATGAGTTTTCCCTCCCTGGCCCTTGCAGCTGTCCACCAGCAGTTACCGAGGCCTCCCGGCAGCGCCTTCACCACCAGCTTCAACTGGGCTATCTCCAGGGCCTCCCACAGAGTGCTGTCTGAGCACTTCTTCTCTGGGTCCAGGTTAAATCTGGAGGGTGACACAGAAAGCCCCCTTAGGGAGGGGAGCAGGCTCCTGGCTCCATTCCCAGGAGACTTGCAGAGGATGAGGCTGGGGAAGAGAGCAGTGAGTGAGAACTGATTGACTTGGGGTCTGGCTGGGAGCTGGGTACTGAGGTGGTGGCATTGGGTACCCCTAGGGACCAGTGCCTGCCCAGGGCTAATGGGAAAGAGAGGGGCATGAGGGTAAAACTCTGAGGAACCGGCGCCGGCCCCTCATGCCTGGAGCCTGAGCAGGGCCGCTTGCCCAGCGAGGGGGGCACTCAGCTAAGTGCTCCTGGCCGTGTCCACCCCTCCACTTTGTGCCCCAGATTCGATGGATGGAGCTGAGCCAGGCCTGGGCAGGGCGATGGGGCTCACCGGATGGTGCCACTGAAGAGGACGGGGTCCTGCAAGATGATGGAGAGGCGGGAGCGCAGAGTGTGCAGTGGCAGTTTGGCGATGTCAATGCCATCAATGATGATGCGCCCTGCGTGGAGGCCATGTCACAGGTGGGGCACCAAGGAAGGGGATGGTGGTGCTGGGGTCGGGTTCAGCCTGGGACTTGAGTCCCAATGAGGATGCAGGGGGAGACAGTGATTGCTGGGCCCCTGTGACATCTGATCATACATCAAGACTGAGGTTTTGTCTGGCTGCTGCGGGTACCTGTGTGGTGCCCGCCACACCACTCACCTTCGAACATGTCCACCATGCGGAAGAAGGCAAGAGAGAAGGAGGACTTCCCACTGCCTGTGCGACCACAAATCCCAATCTGGAAAGAGAGGAGCAGGTATGCTGAGGGCGCCGGGGGCGCTGGGAGCCTCTGGTGCTAGCTGTGGGGGTGTGCAGGGCTGGGAGGTCACAGTGGATCTTCTTGTCCTGGCTTTATCACCAGCTTCTGGTTGGCCAGGGCTGGGCCCTGGGTTTAGGCTTGTTTCCTGCAGTGGGTCTAGAGGGGGCTCCCGTGGGGGCCCACAAGCAAGTGCAGGGTGTAGATGTCCATTTGCCTAGGCCTGGGTGTGGGCCTGGCTGTGCCTGGTACGTGGCTGCAGGGGAGTTGGGGGCACTATAGTGTCTCTATGTGCAAGGGTGTGACAGGAGGGCCTGGGGTGGCTGAGTGTGGTGCAGGGATGTATCTGTGTGTCCCACCTTGAACTGGAGCCATCTCTGTCCGCATCGCTTCCTGGCCCTTGAGTGCCAACAGCAATGACAATAAAGAACGAATACAGAGACAGATAGTGACAACGCGGTGGAAGGAGAGGGGCAGTGGCAGAGAGCAGAGTGGGAGTGAGGAAGAGGGAATCAGTCAGAGAGGCGGCAGAGTGCCAGACAGAGGCTCCCTCCCCAGGACAAGAGTGGCCTCACACTCTGCCCCTAGGGCCCTGCTCTGAGGCTCAGGAAGCAGTGCCCTGGGAGAGTCCCGTCAGGGGTTGCGCTGACCAAGTCCCTATAATCAGGGAAGCCTGGGGTGTCCTCCTTGGTTGGTAACTGCGGGCAGCAGGAGGAGAAGGGGAGAAGGAGGGAGGGGAGAGGTGGGCTGAGCCACATCAGGTGAGGGGCTTGGGGGCTCTGAGACCTGAAGGTCTGGGTGTGAGACCTGAAGGGCCCTGGAGGGCGCGAGGTGTCTCTGGGGCTGCCAGCCCTATACCCTCCCGCCCCTGACCTTCTGTCCTGGGGAGATGAGGGCGTTGACGTGCTTCAGCACGGGCTTCAGGGAGCTGTCGTAGCGCACGCTCAGGTTCTGGATCTGGATCTTCCCCTGGTCCGGCCAGTTCTTCGGGATCAGCGAGGGTGCTGGGGGCCGAGCGGGGGTCAGCCACCAGGCGTGGGCCACAGCGGTATCTAGGAGTATGCCCTACCCCCAGGCCCCCTCCTGGTCCCTCAGCCCAACACACCCCTCCTCCTGGCCCTCGCCCCAGGAGCCCTCCAGCACCCCTCACCCAGCAGCCCCTCGTAGCTCTCTGCCTCAGTTTTCAGGAGCCCGTGGATGCGTTTCACGGCCCCTAGCTGGATCTCCATGTCCGCCAGGTTCCTCACCATCCAGTTGAGGTAGTTGGAGACCTGTGGAGAGTGAGCCGGTCACAGTCAGTGACCACGTGGTCCGGTCCCTGGCCACCAGGATGCTCTTCTTATAGCCGAGGAGGAGCCAGGACCCCCAATATCTTTTGCTGTCCAGAGTGGCTAGCTGTCCAGAGAGGACAGCTGTCTAGAGTGGCCTTTCCTAGAGGCACAGGGAGGATCACAGCGAATGAGTTCCTCACCCACCACCCATCTGAGGCCTGGGCCCTGGGTGAAGAGGGAGGGCCTTGCAGTCAGCTCTCCTGCCTGCATGGTCCCTCTGGCATCAGACTCAAAGCAGCTTGGGGTAGGGCCTGGGAGGCATCACATTTGGAAAAGGTGATGGGATTCTGAGTCCAGTTTCTGATCTCTCCCCTGACCTAGGCTGCTGCCACTCACCATTAGGGCGTAGGTGAGGCCCAGGCCCACCAGGCCAGCAGAGAGCTCCCTGTGCAGGGAGTTGGAGATGGAAGTCACAGCTGCGATGAGGACCACACAGGCACCAATGTATTCCTGTGGAGGGACGGGGCTGGCCTGGGCCCTCGGGCGTTGAAGCCACAGTGTCCTCCCCACCTCCCCTTCAGGGCAGACAGTAGCTCAGCTGAGACTCAGCTCCAGCCCCTAAACTCACGTAAACACCAGCAGACACACAGGAGGCCTGTGAAGGCCGGCGCCCCAGGCGACAATGCCTGTACACAGCTTATGCTCCATGCTCCCCAGTCACCTGCACACGCGCCTCACCACTGGCCCACACATGTACACAACAAGACCCACTTCAGATACCCTCATCACAGTTAAACACACACCTATTCTCACTATTCACACACCTCAATACACAGTCCCCAGGCAACCATATGGAGAACAGGGGGCTCAGGTCAGATCCTGGGAGGACCACCAGGGTGGGAGAAGCAGGAGGCTTGGTGCCCACCCTGCGTGCACACATGAGAGAGGTATTGTACACCTCTTCCCACCTTCTGGTCCATGTTTGGCCATTGCTCTGCAGAACCCCCCCATCAGAACCCCTGTTCCGGGGCCCGGGCGCCAGTGGATGGTACTTGCCATGCGGACTTCTAGCCATCTGTTGGCAGCCGTGAGGAAGAGGGAGGCAATGTTGTTAGAGTCTGTGTATTCGAGGAGCTTCTGCTGGAACCGGGCCTCGTACCTGGAGGGAGGATGAGGACGGTCTGAGGGGATACTTTTGGTCCACGTAGCCTCTGGGAACCTTCCCTGACCCTCTGAGGTAGATGAGATCTCTCTGTACAAGGAACTCTGGAGGCTTCTTTCCTGCCCTCGGGCCCTCATCGCGTTCTCTCCTGAGGTTACTACGTATGGATCTGCCTCCTCTCTGAGCAGCCTGGGCTCCTGCCCTCACTCTCCTTGTCCCCCGCCCTCCTCAGACCTGGCTGGCTCAGCCAGGCCCAGAGGAGGGGCAGGAGCATTTGTTTGATGATGAATGAGTGAGTGCATGAAAGCCACCTCTGCGCTGGTCTCAGGGACACAGCTGACGGGACTCAGAGCGACTCCAGACAAGCCTTGGTGGGCATTTGCTTTTCACTCCTGGAAGGTGTCCTGCTTTGACTATTTCTGGGGGAGGGCCTGCGACTGAACCATGTGTGAGAGAGTGTGTGTTTGCACAGCCACAGGGTGGATGGGGGGCAATGTGTCTGAGGCGAGTGTGAAGCCATACGTCTGAAGAGCTTAAGTAGGTGTTGAAGATGTGTAAGTGAGGGTACACATGTGTGTGACGGGCGGGGTATGTGACTGGTCTGAGGGGTGAGTGTGTGAGGATGAGGGTGGGCTTCTGTGGCAGGTGTGTGATGGTGGAAAGAGCCCCAGCTTTGGGGCCATGTGGACCCAGGTTGGAATCCAGTCCATTACTTACGGCTGTGTGTCAAGACTGAGACTCAGTGTCCTCATCAGATACTAATAGTTCCTACATGGACTGCAGCAACCTTTGAGCCCAACACTAAGCCCGGTGCTGGGTACTCTCGAAAGTTTTGGGGGAAAGCAGGGCCACCTAGAGAAACCAGAAGGCCAGGCAGGGCTGGGTTCCAAGCCCAGCTCCAGCTCTCACTGGGTAGCCTCGAACTGGTTACTCAGCCTCTCTGGATCTCTGCTCTTCACTCGAGTGCGGGGCTGCAGTAACTGTGTCGTGGGGCTCTTGTGAGGAGGAAACCCAAGCGCACACACACAGCACAGCGCGGGGCTGGCACTTGGCAAGTGCACAATCAATAAATGCTACTTAGCTCTCAACGGGGCGGGCTGCTGGGCAAAAGCCAATGAATTAAACACATCCAAGGGATTATAAAGTTCTCCATTTATTTAAAGACCATCCATTGTGTTAGTACAGTGTGTCAAAGCCAACAGTTCCTCTGGCTGAGCACAGGCTTGGTCTGGGCCTGGCTACAGGATGCTGGGATTCACTGGGATTCTACTGAGAGGTCTGGCCCACTTTGGAAAGTCACAATCTCTCTGCTCCAGGCCCAGCCTAAAGGCCTCCAAGACACCAGTTATAAGACAGACATCACCAAAACAGAGTGGATACTAGGCCCAGGGGTGTCAAGGGGCCTGGAATTTGAAGGAACTGGGGAAGTTCAAGGTTGAGAAGGGGTCTGGGAGGAGACCTTAGAGTCACGTGCCAGGCTCCAAGGAGCTTCTGTACAGAAACAGCGCAGGCTTGCAGGGGGCAGGAGATGTCCAGGGAGCAGAGCCAAGGCCGGATAAAGCTCTGCTTTCCTTCGCTTTACTCAGACAAGATTCCTAAGAGGATCTCCCACAGGTCCCAGGGTGTGAACACCAGGGACCTGGGCACCTCTCCCAGGGCTGCAGGTGGACTTTGGGGGTTGGGTGGAGAAGACGCAAACCTCCCCGGACCCTCTCAGCTGGTCCTTGGGCCCTAGGGTTACTCTTGGACACAGGGCTTAGTTCCTGTCACACCCTGCACAGCTGTGCCATCCTAAAAATAACCTGGAATCATTCTCTGGTTGAGGCTTAGATACCAGAGCCCAACTATTCAGGTCAGGGGTTTCTGACCTGTCTGGCTGGAGGAGAGATGCCCTAAAACATCCGACAAAGACTAGGGAGGGGAGCAACAGTCCCCTCCCTCCCCGGGCAGCCTCAGATGCTCCTGTCCAGCCCAACATCACAACTCAGGGTGGCAAGAGAATGGCAGGGGCACTACAGTTTTCAGGGCATTTCTCCAACCTGGGGAACTCTATCTACTCTTTGAATCCTAGCTCCACTACCACTTCCTCTGTGAAGCCTTCCATGACTATCCTCCCCTTGTGTGTTCCCACAGCTTGTGTCCTTTCTCTCAGAGTAGCTGTCACGTGGGTTTGTCCTGGCCTGCTCAAAGCTGGACTGTACATGCCTCCAGGGCAAGGGCTCATCTGGCTCATCTTTTTTTTTTTAGCACCTGGCGTGGGGCTTAGCACATGGTGAGTGCTCAGTTAAGTTTGTTGAATGAATGAACAGGTTCAAGTCTGGGCTTTGTGGGACCTTATGCATAGCTCTCTGAGTCTCAGTTTCCTTATCTGAGAAATGGGACTCGTCACTGTCACTACCTTGGATTGCAGGGCAGAATGGAGGAGATTGGCACGGAAGGAACTCAGCACAGCGTTTGGCTTACAGGAGATTCTCAAAGACGGCCTCATGCTTGACCCTTGATGTAAGGTCCTGTTTAGCATTGATATATGAGTACCTGTCCCAGCCTTGTTTCTTTTGAAATCCTGCCTTAGTTCACAGAGGGCCTGGGCATGGCTGCAGGGCTGATTTTCCTCTCTGGGTCATACAGTGAAGCCCACCTGCCCTAACCCCTCTGGTGGACATCATCTGGGCCTTTTTGTTTGAGGAGGGTGGGGAGATACATGTCCTGGGCCTTCCTAACTGGAGCCCTGAGAACTGAGTCTCATGACTTGTGACCACCCGACCCACCCCCATCCCCACCACCCCGGGGTGACTCTGGTACCTGAAGGCCCGGATGGTGATGAGGCCTTCCACAGTTTCAGCAAAATGAGACAGCAGCGGGAGCTGGGTGGTGTCGTCCAGCTGCTGTAGGTCCCTGTGCCGGGGGAGGGAGGGAAATGGTTAGGAGGACAGTCTCAGGCTCAGCCTTTGTCCCTGTGGGCAAATGGCTTCACCTCTAGATCTCAGTCCCTCAGCCATAAAGAGGGAAGTCGATGGCAGTACCCCACCAAGCTGCTGTGGGGACTGGACAGCTGTTTGTGTGAAGTGCTCAGCCAGCACGCAGCACAGTCACTGCCATCCTGGGCATCACCGGCCTCCCGCCTACATCTCCGTCCCTGCCCCTCTGCTGCACCCTGAACCTTGAGCCAGCTAGTCAAAGGAACGGGAAAGCCAGCTCACAGCTTCCAGTCCCCTCCCCGGTAATCACAGTAGGTTTCAGCACATCACAGGGCAGAATCTAAAGAGCTCCTTGAGGGGAAAAGGCCAGCCGTTTCCACGAAAACGGAATCGCTCCTGTTCTCCACAGCGGCACCGTGACGAGCGCCTCGGTGCCGGGAGGCCAGGGTGGGCTGCAGCAGCTTTCCGGGACCCGCCGTCTCCAGGGCCACAGTGGGTGCAGGGGAACAGGGCAGCTTCTCTGGCAGAAGAGATTAACTTCGTATTTCAGCTTGAACAGTGTTTAAAAAGCTACTGTGCCCTGGCCAGTTGCTCAGCGGTTAGCGCCTTGGCCTGCAGATCAATGAATCGTGGGTTCGATTCTGGTCAAGGGCACATACCTTGGTTGCTGTTGGTCCCCAGCCCTGGTCAGGGTCATGTGGGAGGCAACCAGTCGATGTGTCTCTCTCCCCCCACCCCCAACTCTCTCTGAAGATAAATAGAAAAATATCCTTGGGTAAGTACTAAAAAAAAAAGCCACTGTGACTTTGTGACTGTTCATGTACTATGTTTCTTTTGGATACCAAGGATTCTGGATCATCCAGGCAAAAAGCCATTTATGCAAATATTGATCCTTGTGGTCAAGGTAATTGGGGCCAAGATGTACCTAAATTTAATTATTATTGCTAATCAGAATTTTGACTTCAGTTTTTAACCAACTTTTGCACTTGGGAAAAGTGTTTAACCTTTCTGACCACAGCCTGTAGTAAGAAGTATATTTTATATCATAATACACCCCTATGCCACCCAAACAAAGCTTTCATGAAGCAAAGCTTACTGTGACTATGTGACTACGGCCTGATATTTTCTGTTATTTCATCTTTTTAAAATGCCGGTTGTAATCTATGATACTGATTTAATGACCCACGGTTAGATTGTAATAGGCAGCTTGAGAAATGCTGGCCTAGAGGATCTTTAAAATTGTCCCAACAGATCTTTGAATCTAGGAGTTAAATAGACTCCTGGAAAAAATTCTTAGAGAATGTTCCTAGCAAATTTTGAGGAGAAAAGAGGCATGCATGGCTCCGAGGCCCACAGGGGCGAGTGTGATCATGGAGTGGGGTGAGGGACGCCCTCAGGTCAAGGCTTCCAGCGGTCCTCCCGGCCCCCGAGCCTGGGAGGCGGGGTTGCCATAGCACCCCTCACATCAGGTGACCTCTGACTTCACACATCAGCAATCTGCCTGGTCGCCAGACTCATACACCCTCCTGAGAAGCATTTTGTCAAAATGACAGAGAAGCACACACATACACCCTGATCTAGCACTTCCGTTCCTGACCACGGCTCCCAAGGAAACAGTCCAGAGATTAACTGCAGTGTGTGCTGACACACGGTTATATCAGGATCGTGGAATACAAGGCACTTCACTTCCTTCTCATCCATTTTCCTTTTCATAGGGAATATGACTCTACTACTTTTTTTTTTTGGTATGTGCCCCTAGCAGGAACTGAACCTGGGTCTCTCTGGTCCAAAGGCCAATGCTCCAACCGCTGAGCCAAACTGGCCAGGGCTCTACTGCTTTTATGATAAGGACTCTATCAAGAGTACCAAACTACCCATTGCAAAGCACCCCCCATCTCCCACCCCAGCCCCAGCCTCAGAGGCTGGCACAGGATGCCATCACCTGGACGCCACCCGGAAGTACTTCTGGATGAAGTAGCACACGATGGCCAGGGGCAAGAGGGCCACGAGGAACACAGGTGTGACATAGGAGATGACGGCCAGGGCGGAGACGCAGAGCAGGGTGGAGCGGCTCAGGCACTCCAGCGTGGATGGGATGTGCTGAGGGAGGGAGGGAGGGTGACAGAGGGAGGTGAGTTTCCGTGTTCCATGATGTTCAGTGTTACCTGCCACCAGGCTTTGCTCTCTCACATTATTACATGTGTCTTCTCTCTCCAGCTACACTGTGGGTTCCCTGAGGGCAGGAGTCAGGATTTTGTCTTCTCACTATCTAGTACAATGGCAAATAAATACCACAGGCTGAATCAAAATAAATATCCCCCACAAAATCAGTCAGCTTGGTTCAGCATATGCTGGAACCTTACTGGAGTGAGCCAGGAGCTCTTGGATGGAAGCCAAAGGGATGTGGTTTCCTTCAGCCTTATTACGAAGGCCTCGGGGGTGGGCCCTGGGGCAGCATTATCATCAGATTAGGGGCCACTGGGTTCCTCCCCTAGGGCCCAGGTCACCAGATAGGGAAGCCAACAACAGATAGGAGCCCGGCCTCTCTCTGAACTGGAGAAATGGGTCACAGCCCTGTGTACCTGGTCGATGGTATTACAATCAGATGAAAATCTGTTCAGGATGCTTCCAAGGGGTGTGGTCTCAAAAAACCTAAGAGGCAACTAGAAGTTACTCATTTGTTTATTGATTTTTTTCCTGTTTATTGAATGAGGGTAGTTATTTCTTTCATTTTGGTGTCTGGAGTCATCCCTGGATCTAACTTCCCAGGGGTGGTGGCCTTTGCAGGTCTGCAGACATCTGGCCTGAGCCCCTGAGAATTCCCACAACAGCCCAAAGGGGAGCTGGGCCCTTGCTGGCCTCTCTAACTATCAAGCCCATGTGTGACCACCGCCACCTTTCTCAGCCGCTCACTAGTCCTGACTCACTCAGCAGCTGTCCTCCCCGGGACACAGAGTCCTCACCAGAGGGACAGCCAGTCAGGGAACAGGGACCCAGGAACAGGCAGTCAGCTGGCTGACCCTGCAAGGCCACTCTGGCTGTCATCACTCTAGCTGTGACACAGAGCCAGCCTAACTCTGACCAGAGTATTTCAGAACCACGGATCTGGGACAAACAGAGGGTAAGTCAACTTTGAGGCCACGTCTCTGGGCCACAGAGAGCTGAAGGGCCTGAAAAGCGAATAATATAGTCAGATGGCGAGGTCTGGCGTTGCCAAGGGTGGGGCCAGATGACATGTTCACCTGTTGTGTTTTTTAAGCGCATTGGCTAGCCAGTTGGGCAGTGACTTCTTTTACACCAAGTGGTCTTTGGGGTTTTTCTCCATGTCATTACAGATTAGAACAGCTACACCGTGTCCCCAGTGTCAGAACCTGCAGGCTGGCTGAGGGAGGACAGAGAGAAGTGGGAGAGCAGAACTCGTGGGTGGAGATGGATGATGGCACCTGCCTAGGGAAGGGAAACTAACATTTGCCCAGAGCCTGCAGACACTCTTTGGAAGAATGTTGTGACAATTAGATGAGTTAACCATCTAGAAAGCCTAACACTGTCTGGCTGAGTAAATGCCAGTTTCCCTCTGCTGTCTTCACTGAGGAGGGCACTCTTACCCATACTTGAGGCTCCCTGAGTCATGCCCAACAGCTGGTGACAGAGATTGTATAGCCCCATTTTACTGATGGGACAACTGAGGCCCAATAGTGACTTGCCCACAGCCCCAGCATGGACAGGGAGAGGGGTACCTCATGGGAGCCAGGATGATCCGGTTCAATAGGCTGCGGTGCAACCTCTTGGCCACCTTCAGCCCCGTCCACTCTACTGTGACAGATGTGACCAGGCAGAGCACGATGCCCAGGCTGCAGAGCACCGTGAACACCATGACGTAGACTGTCTGGTTGAGGGAGCATTCCTGGGCCAGGCAGAGAATAACACAGGGTCCTGGGGGTGTCCGTGGCTCAGCTCTCTCCACCCCCCCACCCCCGGCCCCTGCCCTGGGGCAGCTGGCCGCACCTGGCTGAGGGAGCAGTTCCTGGCCATGGGGCTCATGGTCAGGGCGCTGTCGGTCCACTTGGCCAGCCAGTAGTCAATGGCCACCAAGACCATGTGCTTGAGAAGCTGGGAGAAGACGAGCAGCGACAAGAGCAGGACGCCAGCGGAGGACAGGTACTTGGCGCAGGCTCGCCACGGGATCTTGGCGCGCTGGTGCAGCACTGACGACAGATTGTCCTCCTCCTCACTCTCGGCTGCCTCCTCTGCAGGCCGCAAGAACCTACCCTGTGGCTTCACATTTCATATCCCTCTGAGAGTGAACCAGGGGGTATGTTATGCCCACTTACAGATGGGAAGACTGAGACACACCGAGGGGAAAGGGTATAATCAAAGGCATACTATCTTATCATCCTCAGAACCTCAAACCTCAGTCTCCCAGTGAAGGATAAGATCTTAGGCCATGATTCCACTCCCAGTCCCAGTAATTGTACCTTCCTCCTCTTCCTCTTCCTGTAGAAGGCCATCTCTCGAGGACATGGCCCGGGGCAGGCCCTGGGGTGGCTCTGGGACTTTTCTCTCCATGATGGTCTCCTGAAAGACATATGGGGCCTGGCTCAGGTCCTCATGTGCGCAGAGGGGGAAGGGAGGATGGGGGCAACCATCCCTGGTAATGAACAGTGTTAATTTCCAGGCTGCCCTGGCCTAGGGGAGGGTCCAGATGAACACATGTTTGTCTTGCCTTCCTCTTCATCAGCTAACACCACCCAATGTCCCTGTGAGAGACCACCTCCCCCTTATTCTTAGTCTCTCTGACTCAGGTGGGCTGGTCATTCTCCCTGGCTCCAGGGGTGGGCAATCCACACATCACATCCCTGGCCACAGTGATTTGTTCAGACATGGGCACAAGACCAAATCGGACCAATGGGAGTCAGCCCTGGGCTTTTGCTAAACAATTCTGAAAGAGGCACTCTCTTTCTGGCAGTTGTTGATCCAGGAGAAAGTAAACCTAAGACTGCCAAAGGCCCTCACTGCTACCATGGGAATTAAGCCAAGTTGAGGGTTGCAGAGCCAAGGGATGGGGAGAAACAGATCCCTGGGGACCTTGTTTAACTGACTGGTCCAACTCTACCTGAAGCTATGACACCCCTGGACTTTCTGGTTTCATGAGTCAATAAATCCTTAACTCCCCTCTTTTTTCTTTGCTTAGCCAGTTTGAGTTGATTTTCTGAAACTTTGTAAACTAAATAGTGTCCGACTATCTCAGGATAAGGGGAAGGCATCCACCTGATTCTGCCTTGGGTAGCGGGCATGGGTACTGGCTCTCCTCCGAGAAGGGCAAGTTTATACTTAGCTCTCGTATCTGTCCTTTGGGGAGTTTCCTGGAGCCAGTAAGGGTGGGGAGGCCTTTATGAGGTTAGTTCTAGCAGAACCTTATTCTCAGGGTGTCGCTGACTGGCCATAGGATATACCCACCTTCTCTAGCTCTTGGTCCTGCCGGTTCATGAGGGTCTTCCAGTGCTCAAAGAGCTGGCACTCAGACCTCTGGAAGTCCTTGAGTGTGCCCTCCCTCTGGATGGTGCCATCCTTCATAGCAATGATCTGGAAAGGCAGAAACAAACCCCGCGGAGGGCTGGCTGTGGATGTGGATTGGAGGTCACACCCCACCTGACCGAGGAGTCAGAGGTGGCACACATCCATTCTTTCCCCACCACAAGTGGCCTCCGCAGTGAGCCGGTAGTGCTAACCTACCAGCACACTCCCAGGATTGAAAATTTGGTACATCGAGGGGGTAATTGTCAATGGTTGCCCGGTTGATAGAGGGTTTGCAGAGCAACTTATTGCATCCTGGTCAAGCTGTCTGTTATCTGAAAGGCAGCAGTGGCAGCTGCTTTTATACACTCAATGGGCTAATTGCACACTACCCTTTGCTCCTCCTGGAGGCAGGTCTGGGAAGTTCCACCCGTTTTGGCAAAGCACCTGTTGGTCTAAATGTGTGCGGCCATGCCTCTTTGAAACCAATAAAACTTATTTTTTTAGAAACACTCAGTGTTTCGCACTCATGTAGACTTGTGATTAATTCAGACACCTACCTCTGCACCTCTCGGCCCCACACACCTCATGGTGGTTTAGGGAGGGTGGTACCTCCATGTTTGACTTTGGATTAAGGATTGTCCTGTCTTGTCGGGGTCACCATGGAAACAGACATGAACCTGCCCTGTTTTAATAGCTCTTTTTTAGTCTGTATTTTTTTCCTTTTTCATAGTGGAGGGAGGGTCTCACTACATGGAGAAGGGAGACTTATTTGGGGGGAATTAGAAGGGAATTTAGCACAGGCCTGATGCTCAGAGAGAGCCTCAATTTGCAGGGGCAAATTTAAATAGGGGTCAGGCAAGGCCCAGATTTCAAAAGTCACATGATTTCCATCTTAAAGAGTAAGTGTTTTCCAATGAATTAAAAAGTAACTATGTGTACATGTTGAGGGGTATGGGTTTTAGTTAATGTGGGGTTTCACAAAATTGCATTGCAATTCCTGTTACTTTGCTATTGTTTGTTTCTATCTTGTCCTAACTTAAATCTGATCCACAAGATGGTGGGAAGCTGGTTTTCCCATCCAGTGGGCACTCCCCAAGGCCAGAGGGATGGGACATCCAACTGAGCAGGAAACAGAAGGTAGGATTTGAATGTCTGCTTCTTTCTGAGACTTCTTGGTACCATCCCTTGTGGTACCCAGGCCAGGATGGGGAATATCTGCCGCTCTAGGTGATACCAAACCCTTGGGCTGTGCAGGTCTCCCTGATCTGCCCAGTCGGCATGAAGCCATCCGGTGCGGATTTCTTCTGCTTGGTGGCCCTCAGCCATTGCTATGAGACATCTGATGAACTCCTTGGAAGATGTCAGACTGTCTCTCCCACCTCAGCCCTCCACAGTTTGACCTTCTTGTGGTCTCTCACCCAGTCTGCATGTGGCAGGTACTGTAGCTTATGGGTCACTAGGACCACTGTCCTCTTATCATCTCTGAGGAGCTCGAGGATCCCGGCCTGCATCAGGTGGTCACTCAGGTGGACATCCAGAGCTGAGAAGGGGTCATCCTGGATAGAAGGGAGAAGGTAGGGGCAAGTGTAAAGGGAGGGGGTGACAGTGAGTACAAAACTCAGCAGTTACATCAGCTCTGGTCTAGGGACTGACATTAATTAGCTGTGTGGACTTGAACAATGTACTTTAGCTCTCTGGGCCTCAGTTGTCTCATCTGAAAATGGGCTGTTATCAGTTATCATTCTCAAACAGATCTCATCACAAGCACTTCCTGACCCCGGATCCTCTGGTGGCTCCCCACAGGCTATGAAGTCTGAATTCCTGTCTGTGGGAATCCAGGCCCTTGACAACCTGCTCAGTCTTCCTTTACAGTCTCATGGCTCATCTGTCTTGCCCAAGCTCTCTACACTTCAGGTTTCTAGGGAACTTGCCATTCCAGGCCTTTGTCCACACTGTTCCCTCTGCCTGGGGTCTGATGTGCCTTTCGTCTGCTTGGTGAACTACTCACCCTTCAGGGTTCCACCCAAACACTGGCTCTTCCTGTGTCCTTTCCAGACCCCCACACCTAGCCTCCCCTCCTCTCTGTTCCAGTGATACCTTGCACAAAGCCTGACAGTGATTTACATGAGGCCCTAAGAACTGAGACCCCACCATCCCCTTGAAAAAGAGAACGGAGACCTCCTTGTGCTTATGCCTGGTACAGAGTCAGAACTTAATAAAAGTTTGCTAAAATAAACTAAAATATCCAATTTACTTCTCTCTAACAAGGTTGTTTAAAGTTCACACAGGATCATGAATGAGCTAGGACTTTGTAAAGTGCTGTGCATGAGTCAGATAGTTACAGGCTGCGAAGTTTACATAATGAAGTGTGTTTAGTAGGGAGTGTTTATGTATCGTGGGGGAGTGAGAATAAAGCTGGGGTCAGTGACTTGAGGTTCCTTCTTCCAATTCTTTCTCTAAATAGCCTCTCCTGTTTCTTCTGTTTAACTGACTGACACGTCAAGGCCTTCCTCTGGGAAGCCCTCCCAGATTACTCTGGTCCTCACAGTTATCTTCCTGGACAAAGCTCCTCATAGTTTGTGCCACACAATCTGACTCTCGGCTGGGCTGTGGCTCTTGAGTGTGGGTAAGCTCTGTATCACTAATCAGACTCTAAACCCTTGAAGCCAAAGATTTTTCAGTATCAGCCAAGGCACCTAACACCACACTTAGCATGAAATAGGACAGGGATAGCTAATATGTTTGATCTCATGTTTGCTTGCTAGTGGTTACCTGGAGAGCTGTGTTGAGAAGGATTCTGAGGCCAAGTTAAGTTTCCTAGGGCAAAAAATGTGATCAACTAGCAATGTCGGCTGTGGGCATAGATGGGAAGGGGCAGCACACATTCCATGTACTAGTCATTCTTACAGTCAGGCTAGGTAAACATTGATCGGTTGGGCACTCTCCTACAGAGAGATGGCCTGCAACTACTACCTGCCTTCCCTGATGGCTCTGCGGAGCTCAGTGTGCAGTCCCCAGTGGGCCATTTGCACTACCCTTGTCTCATTTTCCCCAACAATAAGATGAATAAGTAATATCTCTGGCAGAAGTTTGCTCCTGAAGAGGGAGGTAGTTGGGTGATGTTGTGTGTGTGTGTGTGTGTAGGCAATGAGCCAGGGAGACAAGCCCCTAGGGAGGTGCTGGCTGGTGCACTCACCAGGAAGACGACGTTGGTATGCTGGTAGAGGGCTCGGGCCACGCTGATTCGCTGGCGCTGACCACCAGAGAGGTTGATGCCCTGTCACCAAAGGGGAGGAAAGGTCATGCCCTCACAGCCCTCCAGGAGGCATGACTGGGAGCATCTGGGGATAGAGACCTGGCTCTTTCCATCTCTTTGTCCTCCTCACTTTGCAGAGAGGAGGAACTGGTACATGTTTACTCAGTTCACTGGAAAGCGGGAAATATAATCTCAAGTCTTTGAAGAGTCGTCATATAGGGTCTAGGGACCATCTGATCAGTGAAAACCAAGACAGAGGATGGAGGAATTTCATCACACACAAGGAACACAACCACGGGAGCATCCTATTGTCTAAGCTTTCGGAGGAGGGGCCCCACCTGGAGAGTGCACAGGGAGCGCATAACCCTAAGCCTAGCTCAGTGCCTGGGGAGCTCCCAATATATACCCAGGGCATGAATGAAGGAGATGTCAGTCATTTCCAATCTGGGAAGGTGCTGAGCTGACCTCTTCACAAAGTAAGGCCGAATACTTGTCAAGGACAGCCACCAGCCCAGGGTTCAAGGAGATCATTTTGACCCCAGTTCCCTGGTGCCTGCTCTCCCTGAGAAGGATCTGGGGCCTGGTGGCGGTGATGGGTGGCCAGCAGGGGAGGTTGAGGTCCCTGGTTTTGAGAAAACCCCTTGGAGGCTCTACTAACCCGTTCCCCAATCTGGGTCTGGTCTCCATGGGGCAGGATGTCGATGTCAGGCTGCAGGGAGCAGGCTTCGATGACCATCTTGTACCTGGAGTGGGGTGGGGCGGGGACACTGCTGATCAATCTGACCAGAGAGGGGACTGAGCACTTGCAGAGAGTCATTAGCCTCCGGGCAGCTGTGCCAGGGTGAGAATGGCTTTAATGGGCCTCCTGCTTGGTGCAAGCAAACACCATGTGAGCTTAAAAAAAGCTGAGGGCAGCACCTTACGCGGTCTTGGAGCAAGTTAAATATTTGAAGGAGAGAATTAGATGGCAGCAAATATGCCACATAATTGACATGAGAGGGCCCATGGCCCCTGTGCGGCGGGAAAAGCAATAGTCAGAGCCCATGCTTGGGGCACTGCCAGGGAAAGTCACTGCTGGTTGGCTTAGTAATAATAATGGCTGTTTAAATATTTGTCCTGCCTGCTCCTCTCATACTTCCCTGGTCAGCTCTTTGCCTGGCAGGTGTCAGCCAGGATGCACAGAGGAGGCATCAGAGTGTCTTGGTGACAGACTTGGGTATTAGGCACCCTTGGATTTGAGACCTATTTCTGTCACTTAGTGGCTACATGGTGTTGGGCAGATTACCTAAGCTTTCTGAGCCTTGGTTTCCTCATCTGCAAAATGAGAATGATAATAGTACCTGCCTACTGGGGTTGTTGTGAGAATTAGAGGAAATCATCCGTGCAGAGCTCAGCACTGCATCTGGGAAGAGCTCAGTCAGTGTTAGTGGTTATTATTCACTGGAAAAAATAGTGCACAGGCTGAGGAGCTGGGGGTAGGGAATCATGAGCACAGAGATTCCTGGGGAGCTGGGTCAGCTTTCTCAGCAGCCACAAGAGAGGGCAACAGGGCTCCTGCACCTCCCTCACCTCCCGCGCAGCCACCCCGGAGTGGGGCTACCTGATACCCAGGCACATCTGGATTGTTTCCAAACGGACCATATGGAGACAGGCTGGAGTCCAGATAAGTGGCTGGAGAGCGGACGGCTGGGTGTGGGAGACTGATGGAGAGGCAGGGCACCCAGCCGGCCGGGCAGGGAGCTAATGCTGCCCATGATCAATTTCTCCCCTCCCCCAGCCCTCCTCCCTCTGAGAGGCTTTTACCGTTGTTTGTTGAAGGGACTCTCAAAGGTGATGTTCTCCTCCACAGTGGCGTTTAGCAGCCATGGTTTCTGAGAAGCATAGGCCACGGGGCCTCTCTTCCTGGGAAAAGCAGGGTGGGAGTAGGGAGGCATTTTCAGGGCTCATTCTTAGAGGCACTTGTCAAGGTGATGGCTTAGACCAGAGCAGTGGTGGGGAGGTGCCCTTGGCAGAAGTCTGCTCTGTGTGGCCCCTGGGGGCCTCTTCTTGCCCAGGGCCTAAAGCAGGCTTAGGTGTTGGGACTTAGCTGACTGGGGGGACCTCAACCCTTTCCTACACCACACACGCCCCACCCCTGCAGTCTGTACTCCTTTCTGAGTTTCCACCCAGAGCCCAGGAAGAAACCAGGTGAACACTGGACCCCTGGTTTCCTCCTTCCTTGAGCAGCTTTCAAGCCATTCAACTTTGATGATAGCAGGTAACTCTCCAAATGGAACTTTAAAAAAAGTGGAGCCAAGGAAACCACATTTAGTATGATGTAATTTTTCAAGGCCCCTCCCTCAAAAAAGAAACTGAAAAGATGAGTATCAGATAAAAATGACCTGATGTGATGGGAGCAGCCTGATGCACAGCAGCACAGCAGCTTCCAAACCGCCCTTGGAGCAGGGCGCTCAGCCTGGGAGCCCCTCTGCGGAGGCCTGCCCCGGGGGCGGGGAGGGGGGTGGGTGCTCCCAGGACACAGTACCTACCTGACATCCGCTTCGGCGGCCGGCTCCCGCTCTGGGCTGCAGCAGGGGAACAAAACGCACCTTCAGGGTTCACGTGAATGGACTGATTTCTCCATAGACATTCTGAGCTCCCTCAGACCCAGCACAAGTGTCTTTATCATCCCTGTGACTAAGTCTGCAGCCACACTTGCTGCATGGAGGGGAGTAGGAGTGGGCTGTGGCCATCCAGGGGGAGGCTCCACTGCCTGAACCCCAGTAGTGTCCAGAGTCCATGTGACATGTGTGAGGAGGGCCCTGGGGGACCCAGTTCAAAAAAGAGGGAGAATGAGGGAGACATGGTATAGGCTCATGGGGGCGGGGGGACTTCCTGTGTCAGAGGAGTAAGAGGACCGACACGCGGCTCCTCCAGACCCAGCCTCTGCAGCAGTGCTCAAGCGCACTGGCCGAGGTCTTAGGCTGACATAGCTGCACAAACAGCTGGGGCAGGGAGTCTGTCTGGTCAGAGCCAGGCCCGGCTGGGCAGGCCGACACTGTTGCCTACAGTCAGTGGGTGGGAATCCACAGCTAATGGAACTCAGTGGCATCTAGAGAGCTGAGAGGGCCCCAGGTGTGAATGCAGCGCCCTCTGGCCCTCTCAGAAGACAACAGAGGAATCTGGGTCTGCCTGGAGAGCCCTGGTCAGCTGAGGTGCCCATGTGCTCTGACCTGACCTGACCTGCTCCAGTATCAACTCTGCCGTCCCGTTATTCTCATCCACACAAGCACACTTGTCACATACCACGAGGCTCGGTTTTTGGCTCAAGAACTGTGGTCACTATGGCTAGACAGGCCAGGCCTGTCATCACACCCTGGCACTTAGGGACAAGGGGAGAAAGGGCAGAGACAGGCAGGGAAATGAAACCTCTCTGGAGTTAGGGAGCAAAGGCCAGAGCTTAAACTTATGAAGCTGAGTCACCCTTTCTGAGTATCCCAGTCCTGACTTCCACCACCCCAGTGTGCTTGAATGTTCTGGAGAGAGGTGAGGTTAGCAAGGGTTTTGAGGGGGTCTCAGAGCGTCATTAATCTATTTCCCATCAATTTTTTGACAACAAGAACATAAAGCACATTGAACATAAAGCAACATGATCAAATTTTTTGTCTGGCCTGGGGGACACCCACCTCCTCTCCTTTCAGCCAAGTTTCTCAACTTTTTTTTCATGATCACCCCCTAGGACCATTTTAGACAAAATGTTTTTATTGTCTTTTCTTTGTCATATTTCTTATCTAATTTATCCAATTTAGTGGTTGGTGTTTTTTTTTTTAATTTTTTTTTTTATTCACAAAGTTTTGCAACCATCAATCACCCTGATCTAATTCCAGAACATTTCATCAGCCCTCAAATAAACCCCGCACCCATGAATAGTCACTCCCTGCCTTCCCCCCACTCGGTGGCAACCCCAAACCTATTTTTTGACCCTATTCCCTGGGAAATTCCAATATTGCAGATATACTGCACATCCGTTTATATGCTCTGGCCCTTTGGAGGGCCGCAAATCATTGTCATGTCTAAGTTTTTTCTCTCCCCAAGGACCAGATTTTGCCCTTGTTGGGAATGCATGCCTTATTACAGGCCTCATGCCTCTGAAATCATGTGGCTTGCACACCCCTGAATCCGTACTCAGGATCCCCACCACCATAACCATGTCCCCCCTTGCCGTGCCCCATACCCAGACTTGTTCCTTTATCAGGACCCACTTCCAACCCAGTTTCAAGGCTGTACCTGGGGTCCTCTGCCGTCTCGCCGTCGGGAAGGCTGCTGGGGCACAAATGGGAGGAAATTAGCACCAGTTACTTCTCACCCTATTGTTTTTCTCTCTATCACACTGGGTCTTTGAGGAGAAGCAATCCCCATGGTCCCTACCCCCTACCCATCCTCAGTGTCCCCAAGTGGCTTCTTTGGGGCAAAAATTGCTCTCCTCAGTATCTGTCTCTCCCGGAGCTGGATGGGTGCCCTCCAAACAGCCTGGCTTCATCGGTGCTCCGGCCATGACTCAGCGCGGCAGTGAGGCTGGTTGGCACCAACATCGTTTTATGGTGGGGAAAACTAAAGCTCAGTGAGGGAAAGTAGCATTTTCAGGGTCATAATATTTTTTTTCCCCTCACCTGAGGATATTTTTCTATTTATCATCAGATAGAGTGGGAGGGAGGGACTGAGGGAGGGAGGGAGAGAGAGAGAGAGAGAGAGAGAGAGAGAGAGAGAGAGAGAGAGAAACGACGATGTGATAGAGCCACATCGACTGGTTGCCTTCCTCATGAGCCGACCAGGGCTGGGACGAACTGCACCCGAGGTACGTGCCCTTGACCGGAATCGAACCCGTGACTCATTGGTCCGCAGGTGAACGCTCCAACCGCTGAGACAAACCGGCCAGAGCCAGGGCCAGGGCCAGGGCCAGGGTCATAATCATTTCATACAGTGTTTTCAAACTGGGGAATGGGACCGAATAAGTGGATCTGAAATAAGTGAACTGCAATTGCACTGGAAAAAAAAATCAGGGTGCACCACATGTGGTCAAGGTGAATGATTTTTGTGTGAAATTGTTTCTCTTGTTTATCAAGGAATACATGAATGTAGTGGACTGTGATGTAAAATGCATTTCATACTGTGGATTACAGTAAATGTTTTTTTGAAAAATACTGAGTGAGGTGACCTGAATTTTGGTACCAATTTTGCCCCCCTTTCTTCTGCCTCAGGCTACCTCTCAACCTTTCAGAAGCAGCTTCCTGCCAGTGAAAGTACTTCTGACATACATATTTGGGGAAAACCAATCGGCTCTGTTCTCATATAGATCTTACTGCAACAATACAAAAACCAGCTAACATTTGTTGGACTTTTATAAGCACTATAATAAGTACTGTGATAGTATTATCTATTTTAAAGCTCAAAATAACCACATGAAGGAGGTTTCTTTTGATTGTCCCCACTTTACAAAGAAAGTGAGGTCAGAGAGTCTAAGTAACTTGCCCAAAGTCACACAGCCAGTAGGTAGCAGAAAAAATAGATTCGTTTAACTCCAAAGCTTTAAAATCTTAAATCCATGCTACATAACTTCACTGTGATTACTTATGTCATAGCTCTGATAATGCCTTCTTGCCAGGAAAACCAGGATGGACAAAAAACAGGGATGGAAAGAAGCTTGTGGAAATCCTTTTCTGTCTGCAGCTGAGGGGCAGAACTGAATGGAGACCCTGATGGATATGTAACCACTAGTCTCCAATCTCTGTGGTCTCATTTCATCCTCTCAACCCAACCCAACTCTGCTTCCCTAAACCATCAGATAGCTGCAATTTATGGGTAAGCTGGTAACGACAGATAAAAAACCCAAGCGTACAAATTCCAACTGTGGCCACAGCCCTGATAAGCTTCTCTGTGGGTCTCCTGCCTTGACTGCTCCCAGACTTGCAAAGAATGTTATTTATCTGGAGGAAATCGCCTCTGAAGCCTCCCTGAGGACCCAGGCACACAGTGAGCTCTCTCGGCCCTAATTCAGTTTGCATCATTGTCTAGGTTGCTCAATTAGCCCTTATAATGGACTAGCTCTCTCTCCCTAATCAGCTCCTATGTAAGTCTTTTATCCCCAGTGGGATTTTAAGGCAGGAAGAGCATCTTTTGCAGCTGCCACAGTGCTGAGCACATGGCAGATCTGTAGTAAATTAGAGGTTGTTAACTGACATGTTAATTATTTGGGAAGAAGGGAGGGAAGGAGCATGCAATATGGGTGTCCTCATGCCAGGCACTGTGTGAAGAAGTTGTTTGTATTCACCACTTCATCCTTATAACGATCCTATAAAGAGGTGTTAGTATCCCCATTTTACAGATGGGGCAACTGAGGCTTAACGTTTGCATAATGTGCCCAATGGTACAGGGAAGAGGGGGAAGCTGGGAGTGAATCCAGATTCATCTTCTCTTTCTAGTGTAGTTCCACCCTCCTTAGAGTGAGTCTCCAAGACATGTGTCTATGTATTAACCTGAAAAATAAAGAATGGTACATGTAGCACACACTTTCTCACTGATTGCTGGGCTCTTGAGAGAGTGTTGGGGACATTTGATTCCTCCCATGCCTGCACTCTGGGGACAAAGCAATGAGCTGAAAGGATAGTTTCTCCTAGTTTTTGAACCTCGCATTCTTCCCTCCAGCCAGCCATGGTGTGGGCACGTGAGAGCATCAACCTGAATTAAGAACCTGCCCTTCCGGGCTCACAGTCTGGTAGAGCAAATCAGGCAGGTACAGAAAGTTTTAAGGGCCAGAAGAAAAGTGGAAGCAAGAAACTATTACAGAAAAATTGAGGGAAGCTACACACAAACACATATGCGAAATGCATAGAGAAAACACTGGACACTTCTGGGTAAGGGGATATTAGGTGTTTTTTAATCTTTTTTATACCTGTGTATCTTTTCTAATTTAATGCACATCCTTGTAGACTCATAGAAGAATGTAATTTTTTTTTTTATCCTCACCCGAGGACATTTTTCCATATTTTGTTCAGATAGAGTGGGAGGGGGAGAGAGAGAGAGACACATCGACGTGAAAGGGACACATCCAGTGGCTGCCACCCGCACAACCCAACCAGGGCCGGGGACAAACTGCAACCGAGGTACGTGCCGTTAGCGGGAAGGGAACCCGGGTCTCTCTGGACTGCAGGCTGATGCTCTAACCGCTGAGCCAAACCGGCCAGGGCGAAGAATGTAATTTTTAAAAGGAGTTCGGAGGCAGAAGAAATCTGAGAGTGAGGAAGGGCCAGGAGAAGTTTCGGAGGAGCTGAGCCTTGAGGGGACATGGAGGGAAGGGCCCCAGCCCGGAGCAGTAGGCAGCAGGTGAGCGCAGGCAGCTGAAGAAGTGGAAAGAATATAGGCTCTGAAGTTTGTATCTGAGGGGCTTCTCTACTCACTGGTTGTGAAATCTTGGGCAAGTCCCTTTAATGAGGGGAGCCTGTTTTCTTATGTATAAAATGGGGATAACGGCACAAATCTCACAGCGACACTAGGAGAATACAGTACACATACAACTTGTAGCTGGTTGGAGGGAAAGACGTGGGGTTGGAGAACCGGGTGGGGGTGGGTCATCATCTTTTCAGCTTAGTGCTTGGTCCCAAGGGTGCAGGCACAGGAGAAACTGACCGGCCCCAACACTCATTTAAGACCCCGGGAATAAATGAAAAGGGAAGAGGTGAGAATTGAGATTGGAAGAAGAAGTTAAGACTTCTAGGTCTCTACATTCTGTTCATCTTGCCCCAAGCAGGCTTGTTGCCCTGAAATGTTACCTTTTTCACCCCCAGTGCCCTTTCCAAATGACATCAGTGCATCATAACCCCCGTCTCTGAGAAAGGAAAGGGTTTTCCAGATGAGGAAGCTAAGCTTCAGAGAGGTGAAGTAACTTGCCCAAGGTCACACAGCTAGTGAGTGGCAGAGTCAGGTCTACAACCAGAGACCATCTGGTTCCCAAGTTTGGCTCCACACAGTGCCCCTTCTCTTGTCTGCCCACTATCCCACCACACCCACCTCCTCCAGAAACCGGGGGTGTACCTGCGCCCCCAAAGGCTCCAGGAACTATTTGGGCAAATGGGACTACAGTTCCGAGAGGAGCCTATTTCTTGCCCCTGAGGAATTGGGGTTCTTGGGCGGCAGCCTTCACACCAACCACCACAAAGCAACAGTGTTCTGAGCAGCCCAGGGCAAGCAGGGCTGTGGACACAGACAGAAATAATACAGGGTTGGCATGTGGAAGCCTCTGCAGGTGGTAGGGGCGGGGACGGGGTGCAGCAGGGAGCTCCAGAGTGACTGATTTGCAGTTCCTCACAGGGAGGTGGGACCTTCTTCCTCAACCCATGCTTTCCTGGGGAGGGTGGGGCTTCCTGCTGGCTCCCTGGGGACATTTAAAATCATTTTACTATAGACATTAATGACCTTATTGTTTATTTTCAGGGAAAAGATTTCACTTAAGTATATCTGCTCATATTGCCTTTTTATCAAAATGTTCTCCTCTTAAAGATGAAGCAGAGAGTTTGCAAATTCCCAGGTTGATAGTGCATTGAAGCAGAGAGCTGGGCAGGGGCAGAAAATCATTATGAAAATAAATGTTTGGGAGGCACACGGTTCTCCCTGAGAGCTGGACCCAGCTGGCTGAGCTGCCAGATCTGCTCAGGGCTACTGCACTAATTCTCCCCAGAATGCTAGACCTCACCAATGGACCCTCTGTACCTTCCCTAGGGTCTGTCTGCATGCCTCTGTCCCCCAGGACTGGAGAGCTCTCTGAGGGCAGGGTCCAGGTTTTTTCCTTTGTAGTCTGCACAGATGGCTTCACCAAATACACATCTTATGTTGGGCACCTGGGGTACAACATAAAATAATCCTCCAGCCCTGTCCTCAAAGAGCTCAGTGTCATGGGCGAGAAGACGCATCAGTGATAATCACAATACAGTGTGAGATACGCACTAATAGGATTCACTCATTCCAAATGTTGGTGGAGAAGTTGGGCTGGGAGGTGAAATTCTGGGTTAGAGGAACAGCCTGGGCAAAAGAATGCAGGAAGGAGAGACATGTAATAAATTTATAATGGAAGTCTCTTGAAGGTCATGAGTTGTTTCCGGTTTACTCATCTAGCAAATATATTCACTTAGCAAAGCCAATGTGGATGCAGAGACAAATAAGATATGATCCCTGTCCCCAGGGAGCTCATAGTTTCTCTTGGGAGATAGGCTGGAGTACAAATAAAGAGCAATTGGGAAATTTTGTTCCTGGCATAGAAGTACATTATCAAAGAATAATATTTACAATAATATTTATAGGGCACATACTACATGCTAGGTTGAGCCGCACATCAACCCTGTAGGTAATACGGGAAAATTGGTACAGAAAGTTCGCAGAATTTCCCAAAGCACAGAGCTCAGATTTGAACCCAGGCCTCCAGAACTTGCTCAGACATACTGTTCTTTACTCATTGAAGAAATAAACACACAGTTGTATGAACCAATCTCCCCAGAGCATTCTCCATGTTGCACCCTCTAATCCCCAACTCCCAGCCTTGTGCCTCCTGGAGCTCCTTCTGGCTGCCTGGCCACCAGGCAGGCCTTGGCTGGCTGGTATGGAAAACATCAGAGCAGCCTGGCATAGCCCTCGCCTCTGGCCGCAGACAGGAGGGGCTGCTGAGTCAAATGCCATTTTGCTCATGGTTCATGTTGCAAGTATATCACCCCCCTGCAGACCTGGGGTCCAGTGTCTGAAGCATGGAGCTCCTACAAATAACAGAGGGGGGCCCTCAGCACACAGCCCCACTCTTAACTCATTTCCCACGATAGGTGGGCTTGACAGAGCTGTGGGCTTGTCCAGGGGTTTGAGAGACAAACAGCACGTGAAGTCAACTCAGCTGTATCTGCCCAGACTCCTTCTCTCAGCCATTATAACAAGCTCCTAACTGGTCTCCCTTCCTGCGTCTCTCTCTCCCTTCAATCCCTCAACCTGTATTGCCAGCACGATTCCACTACAGCCTTCAGGCAAATCTTATATCCAGGTATGACATACAGGGGTGTCTGCCCGGAGCCCAGCCCACTTCTTCAGTCCCGTCTTCCACCACAGCACTCACACACCCGGTCCTCCACGGACCAGAACCAGGTTCTTTCACATCAGCCTCTGCCCAGGCCAATACTCCTACCTGGAACACCTTCCTCTCCCACCCCTGCCTCTTCCACTGAGGAGACCACACTCATCCAAGGCTCAGATACCACATCCACCAAGCCTCCTCTCCGTGACCGCAGAGGCCATTGTTCCTCTGCGCTCAATGATGGTGCCAGTGTCCCTTCCCTCCCTTAAAAGCAGGAGCCATGTCTTAATCATCTTGACATTTCTCTTTCCATGTCCATTGTCTGGCACATAGTAAGTGCTCAGTAAATATGGGATGAGTCAATAGAGAGACCAGAGAGACCCAGGTTCGGTTCCTGCTAAGGGCACGTACCTTGGCTGCAGTTTGTCCCCGGCCCCATTTGGGGTTGTGTGGGTGGCAACCAGTCAATGTGTCTCTCTTGCATTGATGTTTCTCTCATTCTCCTTCTCCCTCTCTCCCTCCCACTCTATCTGAAAGGCAAAAATATCCTCGGGCAGGGATAAAAAAAAAAAAAGCTTAGTGTAGAGAAACTGGCACATGAGTTGAGTCACAACTTCCTAGGGTTGGCTGCAAGCCATCTTGATGCCCCTCATTGTGCACAGGACAGAAGCTGTACTGTGGAGGAGGACAAAGTGGATTCTGGAGAAATGACCTCTTCACCACCTTGCCCACCCCCAGCCTCAAACAGGGCCAGGAACGGGGGGGCCAGGCTGCCTGTTGAAGTGAGTGCGGACGAGGACAGAGCTGTGTGCACCAGGCGGTGGCTCTGCCAAGGAGGTGGAGGAGGGGGTCACAGCCATAGGGGTGCTGGCCTGTGGACTGCCAGGCCAGCTATTTCTCCAGGTTGCCTTGGGCCTCTTCTCTCAGCACAGTGGAGAACCCATGCACCGAGCACCTGGGTGCAAATCCCACTTCTGCCTTTAAGAGCAGGGTGATCTTGGGCAACTTGTTTCACCTCAGCTTCCTCATCTGTTAAATGGGGATAATAATATACCTACCTCACAGTTTGGTAAAGACTGAGTGAGAATGAAGTAAATAAAGTGCCTTGCACAGTGTCTGGCACACAAGAGGAGCTCCAGGGCCCTGGAGAGGCCCCTTGTGTCCCCTTGGCTGGGGCAAAGGTTTCCAAAGAGAGAGGAGGCAGCTGTCAGACCCTGAGGGTTGGCACAGCTTGGGAAAGAGGTGGGGGTGGAGGCAGGGCAGGGCTGAGCCCCCACCAAGGGTGACTGCTGCCTCTGCAGAGGGCAGAGAGGTGCTGATGCTGGTACGATGCGCTGGAGGGCAAGGCTGTTGGGGAGGAGACGAAGAAAGTGGGGCAAAGGGGCCAGGCTCAGAGTGGGGTGACTCACGCTGAGTGGTGCACAGCCAGGGGAGCCCAGGGGCAGCCCCCGCCTCTGTGCTCTGTGATCCCATGTAGAAAAGGCCTGCCCTCAGAGTGGGCCTGGATCCAGCTTACCCTCTACATGGAAGTTGGAGAATAATCACTGGGACTGGACCCAGGGGATGGACCCCAGTCCAAAGAGGAGGCCGGGCTCCAGGGAAAGTGCCCACGCTTGGTCCCTGTTCTACATGCTGATCAGTAAGTCACCTGACCTCTCTGTCCCAGTTTCTACTTCTGTTAAATGGAGTGAAAATACTCAGTGGGAGGCTTACTGGGAGGCTTCAGTGAGCTGATGCTTGCAGTGTACTTAGCAAAGGGTAGCGGATGCCTAATCAATACTGGCTGCTCTCTTCAGTGCACACTTCACTGGGTGCTCCTGTCTTCCTGTCACAGACCTACACTGTCAGCCTATGGGCAGGGGTGAGGAGTCACTACAGAACCCCGAGTGGAAGTTTGTACAGAGACTGGCAACATGATCTCAAACCTAATGCCTGGACCTCCCTGGTCAGGCTGTGTTGAAAAGCCTCCAAAGAAAGTGCGAAATGGAGGCAGAGACTCCTCTACCCCAAACACACCACAGTCCCCGATGGGATTATGCTTCATAGACTGGGTCATGGGAAACCATGGGGCACATGTGCCAGCTCACAGCCACACTGAAGAGGGAAACTCGCCATCTGTGGGATGCACTATTCAGGGACATTTTAGACAAGCAGCAAATAGACGTGCACGCAGGTATTCAGACATCGGGCCCAAGGTCTTTCTCTCTGCCCAGTTCTGCACTCGCGCTTATGAAAAACCTGACATACTGAATGACAATTTCCGCCTAGAAATGACTGCTGTGGAAAGCTGGCCCTCGCCTTAAATGGCTACGGCGATTCTTCCCGACAAGCTCGCGGCTCCTGGGAGCGCCCAGCCTGGTTGTGTGCTGACTGCAGTAGCCGTCCTCTGCCCAGGCTTCTGAACACCTTTTCCAACCTCTTCATTTCTTGGTTCCTCTTTTCTCACATTTTAAAAAGCTTCTATTTTATATGTATCTTTTATCAACTAGTCTCAAGTGCTTTTTGGAAATAGCTGGGTAAAAATAATAGATTCGTGATGGACTCAGCCTGGGGTTCTGGCTCTTTAATTAAGATAGTGATCTTTCACCCTGGCCGGTTTGGCTCAGCAGTTAGAGCGTCGGCCCACGGACCAGAGAGTCCCGGGTTCGGTTCCTGCTAAGGGCACCTACCTTGGTAGCAGTTTGTCCCTGGCCCTGGATGGGATTGTGTAGGTGACAACCAGTCGGTGTGTCTCTCTCACATCGATGTTTCTCTCTCTCTCTCTTCCCCCCTCTCTCCCTTCCGCTCTATCTGAAGATAAATGTAAAAAATGTCCTCGGGTGAGGATTAAAAAAAAAAAAAAAGATAGTGCTCTTTCCCCAGAAAACCCGTGTTTGTCTGGGTTAACTTTGGCCTCTCAAAACACCCACTGAACGGCCTATTCCAGCTTTGCTGTTGATCGACCCGGAACTCTGTTCGTGTTGCAGTTCCCCACACTGGGAGGAAGTGCCGCTGAGTGAACATGGGCTTTGGAGTCCAACAGAACTGAGTTCAAATTCCAGCTCTGCCACTTACTAGGGGGAAGAATTAGGGCAAAGAGCTGAACCCTCATCTATAACATGAGAACTGTTCCCAGTACTCACCTTGCTGGTTGCCATAAGGATGAAGTGGAATAATACGTGCAAAGGACCTAGCAAAGTACCTGGCACATAGTAAGGGTTTAATAAGTACTAATGATGATGATGAGAATAACAATCCACAGCACTTAATGAGTACGCACTGCCCACACAGTGGGTACTCAGCAAATGCACAATGAATGCATCTTCAACTGAGCAGGATGGCTGAGAGGAGGCTGCCCACTCGCCTGCTGTTACTCTCTCCCCACTCACTGAGCCCCGAGCATGTGTTTATTACCTGTTCCAGAAGACGGCCCCTGAGATCTTCTGCATCTCCCCCAGAGTGGCTAGGAGAAGTGAGGACTTGCCACAGCCCACCTGCCCCACGATCATGGTTAGCTGGCCTGCAGGGAGGGAGGGCAACAGAGGGGGCCAGGGCCAGGAGGGAGTCTGAACAACCACCACCCGGAAAGACAGACAGACACACCCAATCCTGGGGCTCCCACTTGCTTTCCTCCCACTTAGAATCCCCAGGGAGTCCTTTCCCACTTTGAACCTTTCCTTCTGGAACCTGGCATCCTCCTTTCGGCTCCCCAGGTCCTTCCTCGCCCATGATTCCCCCCACCCCTTCCCAAGCTCTTGCTGCTCTCTTCTACTGTTCCCCGTGTGAGCCTAGCTCCTCATGGTTCCATTAATGCCACCCTGGGTCCCACCTCCATCCCACTCTCATGCTTTGCTCAAGCTGCTGCCCTGCCAGAATGTCCACTCTGCCTCGTGGCCTGAGTGACCGGCTCATTCTGAGAACCCCACCTCCTCCATAATGCCCTCCCAGACTACTTGGGTTTGACCTTTTTGCAAAGCGCCCACACTGTCTGGACATCAAGACCCCTGTCTTGCCCTGTCCTGGCTGCTGCGTTCCCACCCAGCACATGGACTCCTCGGGGATGAAGCCCAACCCCTTTCTATCATTCATGCCCCAGAGCACCCACCATGAGTACGCATAGAGCTGACACTCAATAAACGTTGATTTTTCTTCTTCTCTCCATGTCATTTAGTGAGACGTGGGGAGGAGCACCTCAGACATGACTCTAAGGGGGACATCCCAGACCCTGATGGAGGGATGAGTGGAGCCTACCTCGGGGGATGCGGATGGTGATGTTGGACAGTGTGGGAATGCCATCTGGGGTCCATGTGAAGAAGCCTCCAATGATCTTCATTGGCAACACCCCACCGCCCGGAAGAGCACAGAAAGACAGCAGGGTTCTCACTATCAAAGTCTCTTGCCTCCCCTTCCCCACAAAAGCCAAACAAACACTAATTCCAGTCCCTGGATCACTTCCAGGACAGGGGAGTTGGAAAATGGTCTTCCCATGCCCACCTGTCCGAAGCACCCTCCCCAAGAGGGCAGCCACAGTTTCCCCCACTCGGTGGAGACAGAAAACTTGTCCCTGGTCTTGGTACTCCCAAGGACCCTACAGGCAGGTAGGGTGACCTTGGGACAGAGGCCTCAGCACATAGGTCTCTAGCTCCTTAGATGCTGAGCTCCCTCTTGGTGATGGTGCTGGGGGGCCGGGCGTGGGGTGCAGGGTTTGGATTCACCTGGACACAGCAGTTGTCAGCATTCCCGTCTGTACTGGGGGCCAGCATCTGTAGTGGGCCCGTGAGGCCCTGACAGTCCTCCCGGGCAGGACGCTTTCGGTTCACGACCTTGAGGGGCTGGGGATGGTTAGGAAGAGCTGAAGGCACATGGGGCTGGGAGCTGTGCAGGGAAAGGAGCCCCACTTCCTGTGAGGAAAGGCTGAAGCAGGATGCAGCAGGGTTGAGTAGCAAGGGGAGGCCAGACACTCACCATGGACTGGTACTTGCTGGCCTGGCCCTGGGGTTCAGGCTCCCGGGGAGCACACTGCTCCTCTCGGATCTCTGCACTGGACAGGAACTCACTCAGCTTTTGCACGCTATGGAGGAAGCACAGAGATACCCCTTGCCCCTGCCAGGGGCAGAGGAGAGGGGAAAAGAGAGAGGGTGCAGCTTGAGAGAGCAGCTTTGAGAAGGCTCTGGGTCCTGAGGTGCAGCCCCCACAAAGCCCTCACTGGAAGAGGATAAAGCAGGGGAATCCATGGTGGGAGCATTAGGTGTTATCAGGAGTTGTTAGGGTTGACCAATCCTCTGGAGTAGGTTAGGGTCGAGATTAGGGTAGATTTGGTTAGTTTTTGGAATGGTTCAGTGTTAAGGTTGATTTGATGGTTGGTGTTGGCCCGGCCAGTGTGGCTCAGTGGTTGAGCATCAACCCATGCACCAAGAGGTCTCCGGTTCAATTCCCATTCAGGGTACATGCCCAGGTTGTGGGCCAAATCTCCAGTTGGGGGCATGCAGGAAGCAGCCAATTGATGTTCTCTCTCATCAATGTTTCTATCTCTCCTCCCTCTCCCTGCCTCTCTTTCTCTAATATCAATAAAGAAAAAAAAAAAAAAAGATGGTTAATGTTGGACTATGTTAGTCATTGTGAGAATTAAGGTTGGTCAATGTTAAGGTTAATTAGGATTAGAATTGGTTATTAATATTATATGTTTTATAAGCATATAATTTAATCCCGCTAGGGGAGGTATATTAGTCTCATCTCATAAAGGAGATGCCTTCCTCCACCTCACCCCACCCACCCCAGGAATCTTCCTATGGACCCAGAGGAGGCTCCAGAAGTTTTGGTTCATTCTTTCTCATCTCTGCAGGTGTGGAAGCTGTCTGAGGAAACTTGAGAATTGTTTTCTTTTTCTCTTGCCTCCCGTTTGCTAAATATCCAATTGACCCAGGGCCAGACGAACCCTCCAACTCTCAAGGCAAGAACAGTCTGAGGCTCTAAACAAGCTATGGCCCCTGGTTTTTGTGCAACACGCCCTCCCCCCAGCCCTGACCAGGAGTAGACAGCCAGCCTGGAGACCCCTGCCCCCAGCCCCGACCAGGAGTAGACTGCCAGCCTGCAGACGCCCGCCCCCAGCCCCGACCAGGAGTAGACAGCCAGCCTGGAGACCCCCTCCCTCAGCCCCAACCAGGAGTAGACAGCCAGCCTGGAGACCCCTGCCCCCAGCCCCGACCAGGAGTAGACTGCCAGCCTGGAGACCCCTGCCCCCAGCCCCGACCAGGAGTAGACTGCCAGCCTGGAGACCCCCTGCCCCCAGCCCCGACCAGGAGTAGACTGCCAGCCTGCAGACGCCCGCCCCCAGCCCCGACCAGCAGTAGACTGCCAGCCTGCAGACGCCCGCCCCCAGCCCCAACCAGGAGTAGACCGCCAGCCTGGACACCCCTGCCCCCAGCCCTGACCAGGAGTAGACCGCCAGCCTGGAGACCCCCTCCCTCAGCCCCAACCAGGAGTAGACTGCCAGCCTGCAGACCCCCGCCCCCAGCTCCCTCCAGGAGAGACTGCTGCTCCCCACCGTCTCTCTTCCATCCAGCACTCTCTCAACAGTCAGTGACTGGGGAAGGTGGAGCTGGCCTTGTGTCCTGTTACCACCTTCAGCCCAGTCTCATCTCCCTCTTAAAAAGGCCTCAGCCACCCCGATGACAATGAGATGCGTGTGGGCATGCTTCTACATCAGCACAAGGGATTTCCAACAGGCACAGCATCCTCAAACCTGTGGTTTCTACACAGAATCACAGGCCTGGGTGGGTGTGTGGGAGGAGGGGCGACCATTAGAATTCACAGTGCCATGGCCAATAAAACTGAGTCTGCACAGCCAACCCCAGAAATGGGAGCTGATCTTTTTCCCACCTGTTAGTCCCTGATTAGATATTTCTTTGACCACAATTCTGCTGAGTTATACCCCTCCCATCCTGCCAGAGCTTCCTTATATAAATTGTTCCTTCCATTCCATCAGCTACTTCAATCCAATAGCTACTCCTCCCTGCCAGCTGCCTAAGACCTGCCAGGGTCCCATGAGACAGGGGTGCCATTTTCCTCAAGGCGGAAGGGCTTGGGTACAGAGGACATTTGTTACTGTCTGGTCTCACTGATGATGAGAAAGGACATAGTTTTCCCCAGAGGTATGATAGGCCATTGTTTTCAAGGAGCTATTTCAGAGGCCCAAGGAGATCTTCACAGTAAAAGCCTGGGCCCTTTACCTTCATTCCCAGAGAGTGGTGCCTCTGGGAGAGTGGCAGTCACCACCGGGCTCTAGGGCCTGGAAGTGGAGGCCTCCAGCGGGGGCCAGTGGGGGACAGGGCACACAGACATGAGCAGGGCTGTGAAGGCTCTGGAACCCATGGGAAGAATAGGGGATGTTCCGCCTGAAGAAAGATTCAGGGGGTACCTTCTGAAATCCTCAGGGCTGTCCTGTGGGGAAGGGATGGTGCTCATTCTGGGCGGTTCTGGAGGGTGGAACTAGGACCGATGGGTAGAATTTATGAAGATATACCAAATTTGGCTCATTGTTGAAATTTTTTTTTTACAGTTATCTTGGAGGTGATACTGAGTTCCCTCTCCTTGGAGGTATGCAAGCAAGCTGGCTAGCCCTTTATCAGGGATGGCGTGGAGGGGAGCCACACGAGGCCCTCATCCCTCTGCCCACACACCCAGCTCAGCGAGGCCAGGTCCGTGGGAGGCGTGTCCTGGGACCAAACGCTTGGCTGTGACGGCAGTCACTGGAGCAGTGCTGGGATGCCTCATGAGCTGCCCGTCCAGTGCCCTGGCGGGGCCACCTCTCACCTGACCAGAGCTTTGACTGTAGACCGGACCACACTGGACAGCAGGAACAGCGGCGTGACCAGGATGTGGAAGAGGGAGAGGGAAGCGAAGGCCACCGAGGGGGAGAAGTCAGACTCTCTGAAGAAGCTGGCGTGGCCCACGAAGGTCTGTGGACAGAAGCACATGTGAGACGGGGGGACTCAGGTCGTGGGTCTCTCCCAGATGGGAAGCACTTAGTCCGTGGGAAGGAAAAAAGAGGTCCGCAATGGGGCACTCACAGGGACCTTTCAGTTAGAGACACCTCCCTCATCCTCACAGTCATCTCATGGCAACGTCCCCAGCAAGTTCAGAACTTCAAGCTGGAGGACAGGGCTGCTCCCTTCCTATCCCTCTGTGCCCTCCCGCTGGGTGAGCTCTGCCCCTTCTCAGACAGCAGTCCTCAGTCAAGAAAACGGAATCAGAATTATAACCACCTGGTCATAGTGCTTGTCCCAGGCTACCTGGCTAGCTCAGGCACCTCTTACCCAGAATTCCCTGAGAGCCAGGCCAGAACTAACCCAATAAACCATGTCGAAAGTGAATTCCCAAACATGCCCAACGGGCTGTGAAGTCGTCACAGCTCAGGGACACTGGCCCCAAGGGAAATAAATGCATCTTTTTAAAGAACTGCAGCCTTCACAGAAGCCAGGGGTGGGAGTCCTGGGTGAAGGAGCTGTGGGCTCGTGGGGGCCCAGGCCTTTCTGGAGGGGCACGCTGCCGGGCCCGCTCCTGAGCTCACACACGGCTCTGGTCAAAATGGCTTCAGAAAAACCCCCACTATAATATTTAATGACGTGGAGGATTGTTCATGCCATATGCTTACATTTCAAAGGCAGGTCATAAAACTGCAGCACTGTCCTATTTTTGTAAAAAGGTTATATTAGGTCTCTCCCAAAAAGACTGGAAAGAAACACATTCAAGATTCTGCCAGTGAGGTTATGGGTGATTTAAATTCTCTCTGCCCTTTCCATTCTGAATTTCCTAACATTTCTACAATAAACATGTTGATAGCTATTTTTACAAGAAAGTTTAATTTCTTCAAAGACTAAGCCTCAGACCCTCCAGGCCCAGAAGCCCAAGACCCCTGGCTTCCTGGAGTGGGGGAGGGGCCCGCTCATATACAGATTTTCAGTCCATTGCCCAGTTTTCAGCTTCACTGCTGAGTCATCTTCAGGAAACCTGCGCAGAAAAGCCAAACCCTGGGTGACCTCTCACTCCAGACATCCTGTCCCCCACCCCCGGGAGATGGAGGAAGGAGCCACTTACGATGAGGACAGCTGCAATGGGGATGGCCGTGTTCATGAAAACTGTGGAGGAAGCACAAGTTAGTGGGAGGGATGAGACAGTTAAAAATGAAGCCCCCAGGGTGGTGAAGGCAGTGCAGCTTGTGGGTGGGTCCTTTCCCAGCCAGTGGCGTGGAGCTGGGGCAGGGTAGGGGCAGAAGTCTAGTCCTGTGGCACCTCCAGCTCCTTGCCTGTTTCCCTCAGGACTCTTGTCTCATGTCTCTGAGACTTAAGCCTTTATAAGGGTTAAGTGCTCCTATTCTGTTCCATGTGGACAGTGTGAAGAAAGCCCCATGAAAAAGTGGTGGGACATGGGACTGGAGAGTTGAATGACTGTGGTCAACTGTGAGGTCCGCAGCATGGGTTTCTGGAGTCACTGTCTTGCTGCTCTTTCCTTGGCTTTGGTCCCTGGATCCCCCCAAGCCAGGTTCTCTCTGAGGCTTCGAGGCTTCCTAATCTCCCATGGCTCCTGGGAAGACTTCAAACTCATTCACACTGAGGTATCAGTGACAAAGGACAGCTTAAAATGGGGTCTCCCTTAGCTGTAAGACAGAGTCCATGCCCAAGTGGGAAAGTTGGTTTGTTTAAAGTGTGGCCCCCAGTTCCTTCATAGGAACTCCAGAGAGCAAAGAGAGCTGGACTTTAAGTCAGAGAACGGTGGAGTCCCTATTACAGATAAGCTGTGTAACCTTGGGCAGGTCATTTCTCTGCTCTGTGCCTCAGTTTCTTCACTTGATCTTTGTAAACTTGTACTTGTTCACCCACTCCGGCTTTCTCCAAGGTGAGAGGAGATAATGTAGGAAAGAGGCTCTGTGAGTCCCAGGTGTTGACTCTCACACCTCACCGGCTACTAGCTCAGCCAAGCTCCAAGGTCACCACTCCTCTGGCTCAATGTGTAAGATGCCCGAGGTCTGGGCATGAGGTCCTGACTTGCAGAGAGAGCAGCCCTCCTAGAGTAAGAGATGTCCACCTAGCTTCCTATCTCTTCTTCCATCCTCCCGGGAGCCTCTTCCAGCCCTGCCCAGAAAGGAATCATAAGCCAAATGAAAGAACGAGCCAGGAGCCAGAAGACAAAGGCCAAGGGTTCAGCCTGTGCATATGGCCCCTGTCTAATGAATCGTGGAGTCTCTGACACTCTGAAGAAGTCTAGATGGTTAACACCGATCCAAGAAGCTGACGGTCTACTTACTTGAAGAATCCTGCACCAGCTAGTACATACACAGTGTATACTGGAGGTCTGCCTCTGAGTGGGAGGAAAAATGTGGCCCCTGCCCTCAGGGGGCCCCTCGTTTGAGGAAGGAGACAGAACTATGCTCCCAGGAAGGCCCTGATAAGCTGGGGAGAAAGGAAACATTCCTCCAGTGAGTTCCCAAGCAGCAGGAAAGGCGTTGTGCCCATCTTGGGGGATTCCTACTCTGATGAGGGAGACACAGCTCCTGCAGAGCTCCCAGTCCCATGAAGGAGCTATGGCTGGACCTCTTGGAGCTCTGCTAAACTCTCTGACCACAGGCTTTTTATCAACACCAATATCATAGATGACCGTGCTGTAACTGCCCTTCCTGAAGAGGGCTCCATGTCTCCAGGTACCCACAGCAATGCCACAGCCCTCCCTCACAGTCTCTGGCAGGGGCAGTATATGCATGATTGGTTTTCCTACAGTAGAAGAGCCCAGGTCTGGGAATTGGCCACAGCACAGCCATTGCTGGCTGGGGAGAGGGTGGAGCAGGACTACTCTGAGGCCTGGGCCCTTGACCATCACCAACCGTATAGTTCTAAACACAAAGTAACCTTGTCCCTCCCTTCCAGGGCCAGTTACTCCAGGGAGCTCTCTCAGGACAGGGGCCTCCTTCTGTTCCTCTCCTGCCCACCCCAGCAATAACCAGAGGAGGGGTTCAAACTACAAGGCACCTGCACACCACGCCTTGGCCCCCTTCCTCAGGCTGAGACCTCTCCTACACTTTCTGGGGCTCAATTCCCAGCTGACGAATGGGTGGAGAGTTAGATTGTAAATTGGTACAGCTCTGCTTGGAAAGCAATCTGGTGCTTTGTAGCTAGAGCCACACGGAAGTTTAGGCCTTCTGATCCTGTAATCCCTCTCCCGGGAATTCATCTTGAAGATGTAATCAACCGAGAGAAGCAAAAAGCCCTCAGCAAGCTGGCGTTAGTTATAGCATACTCACAGCAAAACAAAACCACAACCGCAGCAACAAACCACCTGAAATGAAAGCAAATGGCAACATCTAACAGCGAGGGGCTATTTGAGTCAAGTGGTTCATCAGTTCCCAGGGAGACTCTGTGGTCACAGAACATGTCATAACCGACATTTTGTTCTACTGCATGTTTTCTCTGGTCGTAATTTTTCTGAATTTATGTTTTTTTCAATTTTGTTGTCTTTATTCTTGTAGCTGCTTGAACTCTTTTAAGGAATGAGACAAGCTATAAATTTAAAAACGAGTATTCCAAAGCTGATTCTCTCAAAAGAGAATACATATGATATAATTAATTTCTACCCTGTTCTGGCTGTTGTATAGAGACGTTAAAGAATGAAAATATAATTTTTCTTTTTTTAAAATATGTTTTTATTTTTATTAGAGAGAGGGGAGGGAGAGAGAGATAGAAACATAGATGTAAGAGAAACATGGATCGGCTGCCTCCTGCATGCCCCCTACTGGGGATCTAGCCCACAATCTGGGCAAGTGCCCTGACTGGGAATTGAACTGCGACTTCTCAGTCCATGGGATAACGCTCCATCTACTGAGCCACACCAGCAGGGTGAAAATATAATTTTTCATTTTCCTCACCCTCCCTTGCAAGATGGCCTTTGTGCAGGGGACTCTGGGTCCCCTTTGGGGTGGAGGTTGGGGGATGGAATTACCAGCTGCATGCATTTTTTTTTTATTTTTTATCTTCACCCGAGGACATTTTCCCATTTTTTGTTCAGATAGAGTGAGAGGGAGGGAGGGAGGGAGGAGAGAGAGAGAGAGAGAGAAACATTGATGTGAAAGGGACACATTGAGTGTTTGCCACCTGCTACTCAACCAGGGCCGGGGACACACTGCAACCGAGGTACGTGCCCTTAGCGGGAACCAAACCCAGGTCTCTCTGGACCACAGGCCAATGCTCTAACCGCTGAGCCAAACAGGCCAGGGCCACCTGCATGCATTTTAAAGGCCTCTCTAAAGATCACCCCACAGGGCCCCGGGGTGGGCAAGGATGGGACTATCCCATCAGTGCCAGAGACTGGGAGGCCTGGGAGGCTCTGGCACCTCTCTGAGCTCAACAGACACCCCTGAACCCTAGTGAGGGTGGGGAGGGCAGGGAGCTGGGCATCCCAGCTGCCATGGGTTGAAGACCTGTGCCCTTGCCTCTATTTTCCTGAATCACACAAAGCCATGTAAGCCGTTAAAGGTGTCAGAGGGGTAAAAAAGTATGACCAAGAATAGATTTCTCCTACTTTGGCATGGGGTAGGCTGACTCACTTTGACTTGATGTAGGAAAGAAAAAGAAAAGGAGAACATGACAGTGCTTAACTCTTGCATGTTAGGGAGCAAGGAATCCTGTTAAATAACCGAGAGCAGAAGATTACAAAATGATGTGCGAGCGCGCTGCTGGTACGGACAAGTTTAGCCGCATGTAGGCAGGCTTGAAAGGCCTCCTTCGAAAGCAAAAGGCTTTCTGTTGTGGTGTGGATGTGGGCAGGTGTTGTTTTAATCCTCCCCCAAAAATATCCTTTAAGAAGTGTTTATTCAAAAATTATTTTTTAAGGGTCTCCTCTGTTCTAGGCATGATGCTGGGTTCTGGGGGTATAGCAGTGAACAATATCAGCTTCCCCCCACCCCAGGTGAAATAAGCCCATAAATCAACTGAAGCCAAAGCAGGGCTCAGATCACTGCTCCCCCGGTTTTGCCGAAGGAATGTGGTCTGGCCCTGTGTGTGTGCCACCTGCACCACAATACCAGCAGTTCTTCATTTCCAAAGATAAATATTCCAGAAGCCATGTGTCAGGGAGCCACAGCCAGCCATCTGTGTCTCTGGTTAACTGCAGCTTTGTCTCAGGGGGTGGGGGTGAGAGGGGGAGCTGCAGGCTCAGAGCCTGGGCCTAATTTCAGGTTGCACCAGCAGGAGGGGCAGTGTAGTTTGAAGTGCACAGGGCTGTTTCCCATTCAGTCCTATAGTCATTCAAAGTCAACAGAGGAGAAGAAAAGCAGGTTAATGGCGTGTCTGCCGCTGGCAGTAGTGGAAGCCGGAGGTCCCGCAAGTCACACCAACTCCTGCCTCCTTCATTGATGAACCTCCCAGCTCTCCCTCAGCCAGCTCCCTGCCCAAGCAGGGCAGCATATGCATCAGCAACCCACTGCGGCTGCACCAGCTGGTGGCAGGAAGAGCAGATATTGAAGAAGAATTTCAGAGAAGCTGGAGAAGGAAGAGGGACCAGGTCTGGAAGTCACTTGTTCCCTAACACTGGCTGTTTTGAGTCAGGGCCTCCACTGAGGAGGACAGAAGGAGCTCAAGTCTTGGGCTGCAGATGGGGGCAGGTGCTGGGTGCTGTGAATGGGGTTCACCAGCATCCTCCTGCCCATCTCACCCCAGTCCATGGCATAGCTGGGTTTTGGGTTTGCTTTTTGTTTTTCAGGGCATTGAATGAGGCCAGTCACATTCATCCAAGGAGGGCCCACCAGACTGGTACAGACCAGACTGGGAGGACGGAAGACCACGACCCCAGAACATTAGAAGATATGGCGAACCCATCTTTCCTGTGCTTAAACTGCTCCGTGGCTCCCCTGCCTCAGGAGAAAGCCCAGAGGCCTGAACGCAGACACACGGTCCTGTATGATCTGGTCTTGTTCCCCTCTGCTCACTGGGTTGTGTGGGAGTCTCGAACCCACTGTCATCTTTCTCACCTTTAGCCCTTTGTGCCTGGAATGTTCTTCTCCTCATCTGGTTAACGTGTAGGCATTCCTGGAGCATTGGCAATGAACTTCACTCTGACAAAGCTTCCTTGACAATCACCACCCCTAAGACTAGGTCGAGTACAGTTTTTATGGGCACCTAGCGTACCCCTGTCTGTTCCTGTCACTCACCAGTCTCATGGCTGGCTTCTCCACTAGACGGTGAGCAACCTGCAGCCAGGGATCGATATTTCTTCTCACCTCCGCATCCCCCATGCTTCGCACAGGGTCTGGCACAGGGCAAGTGCCCAATAAACTTTGTTAAATAAGTGAATAAAAGAAACAAAAGAGGCCAGGGCCAGAGGAGTGCCACAAAAGAGAAAGTAGGCATTTGGATCTGACCCCCTAGCTCTGACCACAGCGCGGTCACTGGTCACGGTATGGTCTCCCACAGACTGTGAGGTGAGGACCGTGCCTGCCTCCCCTTTGACCTCCAGGTCTCAGTGAAGTCTGCACAGAGAGAAGGCTCTGGAATGGGTGCAGCACAAAGGACAGAATGAACTGGCAGCACGTTGGCTGGTTGGCTGATAGGGCAAAGCTTGTCCTCAGAGAGTCATTTCACTTCACTGAGCCTCAGTCTTCTCTGCTGTAAAATGGGACAAAGGAGCTACACGTTTTGCAAAGCTGCTACGAGGATTCCGTGTGGTCAGGCTTGCGAGGCAGCCGGGCAGAGCAGGTCCACACAGTGCAGAGCTCCCTGACCCGCTGCCAGCTCTGACCACTCAGCAGACGACAAACTCCGTGAGGATGGAGAGCACATCTCACTGTCTCTGGTGTTCCTCTGGGTACTTAGCACAAGGCCAAGCACACGGGGCTGGGCTCGCTCAGCACCCACTGAGTAACTTACGTCTGTTTTTCTTTGATTCTGGATTTTGATGGTGGGGAAACTGCGCCCATTTCCTTCTCACCCGCTCTGGTGCTGCCCTGCGTTGCCCTGCACCAAGGCTCCACACACAGGGGCTCTCGGTGAGGCCAAGGGTGAGATCATCAGATAGACTGTCAGAGGTAACTTGTCTGACTAACTGGTGTAGGATGACAGACTGAAAGCCCAGCAGGCAGCACCAGATGGGCCCCATCAGGAAACGTGACTCCGGAGCTTCTCTGTGGCACCAGGACCCCATGGCTGGCGCCAGGGCCGAGAGTTAAAGATGCCCCATTACCTCGAGCCTAATGATCTGCATCCTGATCTCTGGTAACAGAGAGCAGAAGGCAGGAAGTCTGGGAGGAGATAAATGAAAACACACTCAAAGCATCTACCTGCAGCCAGGAGGCACCCCACCCTCCTGTCCCATCTGTCCCCTCCCACTGACCAACACTAAGAAACCCATCCCAGGAAGGTGAACACTGAGCACACGGCCTGACGTTCAGAGTTCTCCAGGAGGGCTCTTCCCTTCCCCTCCGCCTCTTCCAGGGACCAGCCTGCACTGCTCTGTTTATCCTTCCAAGTTGCTGAATCCTGGACAGGTGAGGGGCCCTGGGCAGACCCCTTCTTGGCCCCAGAGCCCCTTACTCCTTCCAGAGTCATCGCAGCTCTTGACAACATAATCTCCTTTCCCCAGGTCCTCTGGCTCCAGGTCCCTCACAAAGCCCTGGCTTGTTTTCTCAGGGCCTCATGAGACAAGCATGCTTACTAGACAGGCTTCTGTGGGCTGGCCTGGGAACCAGGTATCTTATGATGTTGTTTACATAGGATGGAATGCAGGAAGTGAGCATGCATCTCCTAGAAGCACCTGCCCCCATCACTGGGACCCGAGGCTGCCCCTGCTTTGCTGCCAGTACCCCAGTTTCCTTGTTGCTTCCCTCCCGTTGCAGCAACAATGAGCCTGCCTGACCCCACCCTGCTGTGGTGTTGCTGGAAGAGCAAGTCACCTGGCTGTTGGGGGAAGTGCTTCTTCCTACCTCATCAGCTCTTCCCCCTGTTGAAAGCCTGGAATCCAGGTGTATGGAACTCAGGGGGCTGTCCACAGTGTGGGGCTACTATTAACACAACCAGACCCAGGGGCAGCCAGAGCAGGCAGAGAGAAGGATGTAGAGGGCCTGGGTCTGTGGACACTGGTTTCTGAGCCCCCTAGATGGTCCTTTCCAATTTCTCCTGTCCTATAGAGTGCTCAGCCTGAGGTCGGAGGCCACAGTGTCAGGGATGAAGGTAAAGGGGGGAGAGCAGCACCCTGGAGGGTCTTGGTGAGGAATCCAGGAAGCGATGGCTGCCTGCCATGCTCGCAGCTCCTGTCTGAGAGAATCAAATCCTAGCGGGACTTTCTGCAGAAAGATACTGTGGCTGGTGCCGAGTATGGTGGATGGCCTGGCCATCAATGACTGGACCCAGACGAGGATCCCTGCCTGAGGCATAGGACATCAGGGTCTGGCTGGATACAGGAAGGCAGGACACTGGGGAGCTCAGTACAAGCCCTGCCCTGTGAGAACCCTCAGGTCGGAGGGAGGCCACCTGCCCCTACCTGACCTTCTCCCGGCAGTATGAACACCAGGGATACAGAGATGACCCGAGGGACTGTCTCCTTCTCTAGGAGCATACGTGGAAGACACATCCAGTGCCCCCTCCACTCCTGCCTCACAACCTGTCACCCACGCTGGGTGTGTCTTTTCTTTGCACACCAAAAAACACCTTCAGCTGGGGGAGGCCATCCACTTTGTTCATCTCTTCTAATTCCCTTCCATCTTTTTCACTCAGTCAGAACCTATCCCAGGTTGTTTCTCTTCTCGGTAAGAGAAGATAGCCCGAAAATGGTGCTTCACTCTGTCCTAAGGCTTCTTCTCTGCCCATGGGCTCCCAGCTCTGTGTGGAAACAGTTCAAGGTTGGGAGTTAGAGACTCCAGAGGATCTACTCTGAGTCATGCTAGTAACCCCAGGAGTGACCTCAGGAAGACACGCCTCTGGATCTCCACTTCCCATCAGAAAATATTTTCCATTGACCTCCCTTGCCACATTCTGTGTAATTTCCATGGGCCTATCTTTTAATTCACAAATTCTCTCTTTAGCTATGTTATTTCATTTAACCTGTACACTGAGTTGTTTTTGTTTCCATTTTGTTTTCTCTATCTGAGGATTTCTTCTTGGTCTTTCCTACCATCATGGCTTTTGAACTGGATGGGTCAGGGAACCAGTGTGAGGTCTGTCAGCTGGTAACTGTCAACATCTCAGTTATGCACTTGGGTACTAACCGCCACCGCGTGGGTCCATGGAGCTACCAGACCAACTGAGATAAACTTGAGCCAGGACTCCATCAATCACCTGACCTCCATACACCCTGACTCTGATCTGGGAACTATTATCTACCAAATTAAGTTCAATAACTAAAATTTTAATTTCTAGAAGTTCTTTTGTCTTTCTTTTCCCCTGATACTTCCCTGTTTTGCCCTCTAGGTTTTACACCTTCTGCAGCTCTTTAATTATTTTACACACTTATTTTATTATCTTTGTCAGACTGTCCTGACATCTAAAGGTACTGAGGGAGTAATTCTCCTGTTTTTTGCACTTGCTGACTCACTCTGGTGGTGCATTTTTCTCTGGTGGATTTTTATTTCTTTATTATTAGCTCATTGTTCACCATGTTCTCTGAAAAGTGGCTTTATTATGTGTGTCTACTGGAACCCTATGAGTGTGACCAGTTTTGGTCTATTTTTTCTCTATTTCTGGGCTTGGGGTTAATGTAAATTCAGTTAGTGCAGATATACCTGTGATGACCTCAAACTTGAGCTCTGGTTGCTTAAAGAAAATGTTTCTCCTTATCAGAGCCCCAGATAAATGGAAGTTTCCTTGTAGCTTCCCCAGGGCAGTGGTAGCTCAGTCTAACTTACAGAAAAGGTGTCCTCATGCTTAGGAGAATTCAAACTGTTATTTATTCCTTTACTGATGCTTCTCGATAACATACCCGTTCAGTAGCATACCAAAGACCTCGTCTCTCTGTCTCTTCACTGTATCTTGACGACCAGCACAGTGCCATACATAGCAGGCTCTCAACCCATGCTTTCTGAATAAATGACTGAAGAATACTATGATTCCTGGGGGTTCGGCTACATGAGACAGTTTGAGACTCTCCTGGATTGGATGACCCCAAAGCCTCCCACTTCTGCTACCACCCCCTCCCCAAGCCTGATACCCTATCCCAGCAGCACACAGGCCTGGCTGGTTGGGGCGGACTCACTGGAGATGGAGGTGTAGACAGCAAAGGCCCTGAGACTGGTCATCTCCTTCCTGCGGGTCATCTCCACCCGCGCGCAGAAGATGTTCTCCCAGGCGTAGAGCTTGAGCAGCTTGATGCCACGGAGCATCTCGTTGGTCTGCTTCAGCCTCTCATTCGAATACTCCTGCCAGGGGTCACCGAGTCAGAGAAGGGTTTCTTCTGCCCCCATCCCATCCAAGAGGAAGGAGCTGAGTCAGTGTCCTCACCATTTCACAGAAACGCCCATCTCCTGTCCCCATAGGGATGCTCCCTGTCTTTTCCATTAATCCCATTTCACAGAAAAAGAAATAGGTGAAGTGGCCTGCTTCAGGTCAATGACAGTGTGCATGTGTGTGTGTGGGGGTATTATTTGGTGGCATCTGAGGAAAGAGTAAGGAGACCCACTGATGAGAGGGGAGAGAGAAAAGGCAGACACATGGGGGAAGGATGCGAAAAGGGGACAGGTGCACATCCGGGGACACTTACCAGGGTGCTCCGCTGGGCCTGGGAGAGCTTAGTGGCCACGAAGTACTGGACAGGGGCCAGCAGAATGATGACAGCTGCCCCAATTAAGGCACTGACTCCGAGGATGTAGTAAAGGAGAATCACGCCCACGATGATCTGAGGGAGGGTCATGGGAATGAGTTCCCTTTGACCTGTTGGCTGCCCTGCCAGAGTGTGTTAGCAAAATCCCCCTCCTCTCCAGTCCCCTAAAGTGGGACATGCCTTGGTGCTCGGGTTTCCAAATGGTCTTGGTGTGGGGCAGGGGGTGGAGCAGGGAGTTTCTGGGCTAGGAACTAACTGCATTTATCTGCAAGGCTGGCTGAAGCATTGTCTCCCCAAGTCTACCTTCCAGGCGGAGGTCTCGGAGCTGAGGCTGCACACAAATGTGACAGCATCCTTTGTTTTGTGTTGGTTATCAGGGCTGATGTTTCACTCTCACTGGGAAAAAGTGATAGATGAGCAAAGGGGCACAATTCCCACATCCGTGCTAAGCAAAACCAGCCCAGGATCTGAGAGTTCGCTTTTCATTCTTATGCTCCTGGCATCTTTAATTTTTCAGTGGATCTCACAGATATTCTCTGAAGAGAGAATTCATTCTGTTTCTAGCTTTATGTATATGACTGTCTGAATATTTACGAGAAGTGTGAGTTACTCTTGCCAGTCCTCCAAACATCAAGATGACAGTTTCTCAGGTTGCCTTTAAAAGAGGCGCCTCTAAATTCAGGGCTCATTCTAGAGGAACAGTGGTGCTGCCTTCCTTAATTGAAAATAAAAAAAAGTCTGCCTGGGCTGGCCCTGACTCCCAGAGCTCTACGCCAAATTGGCGCTACGTGCCTGCACCACCTCGAGGACAGAGGAGCGGGTGCGAGCCTCTGTGATTTCCGTTCCTCACAGAATGTCTCCTGCATTAGGAGGTTCTTAGGGGCTGGTGAGTGGCCCTTCACCACCTGCCTCCCAGCGTTCCACTGATGTGAACGGCGGGCAGGATGAGCAGAGGAGCTCGTTAGGAAATGAACTCTCCCACTCCTGCCGGCCCCACTGCCATCGCCCTCCTGGAGACGTATCCCTGGCATCCAGTCCTCTCATATGGAAGCAATCAGGGTGTCATTCAGCAGCTTGGGCAGAGCCCGACACCAAGGAAGTTCCCAGAGCACGCTCAGAGTCACCACCAGCGCTCTGGCTGGGGGTTGCTGCCTGCACCCCCACCACCTCCAGGTGCGGGCAGCTGCTGGGCAGGAGCTGGGGAGGCAACATGCTGCTGCCAAGGCTCCTCCTCACATTCCACCGACCCCTCCTCGTGCTCCTCAGACGCCTCTGTCCACTCCTCTCTCTGCAGGGGTCTATATGGACCCATGGAAAACATACCAGAAGTCAGGTATTCAGAGTGTGCAAAGAAAGTGTGGGAGGAAAGCGGCTATTTTCACTCCTATTTACAAGTTAGAAAAGCAATCTAGGGTAGTAGTGGGGAGTTCAGTCCCTGGAGTCTATACTCTTGAGGTTTGAATGCAGTCTTAGCACTTACTGGCTGTGCAATCTTGGTCAAGTTACTTAACCTCTCTGAGACTCAGCTTCTTTATTTTTATTTTATTATTATTTTTTCTTTATTGATTTTAGAGAGACAGGAAGGGAGAGGGAGAGAGAGATAGAAACATCAATAAGAGAGAACATCGATTGGCCGCCTCCTCCATGACCCCACTGGGGATTTGGCCAACAACCTGGGCATGTGCCCTGACCAGGAATCGAACCTGTGACCTCTTGGTGCATGGATCGATGTTCAGCCACTGAGCCACACTGGCTGTATTGCTTCTTCATTTTTAAAATGGTGATTTTAATGTGCACTCAGCTGGACTGTTGTGAAGATTAAATGAACATATATAATAAGCACCAAGAATAGTGCCTGGAACATCACAGCTGATCAATTCAAGGTGGCTGACTCCCTTCTTAAAAACAAACAAATAAACAAACAAGCCCTGTGGGAACCTTGTCACTAGGGGACCACAGAAAGGAGATACTTGGGTATGGTGCTGCTACCAGCTTGCTGTGTGGCCCAGGGAAAGCCCTGCGCTCTCTGGGCCTCTGATGCCCAGAGGCGGGACAAGGAAACACAGAGGTTCCACTGTGGCCGAGTTCCTTAACGAGGTACCCAGGTATCCGTAAGCTTCAGGGAGCCCATAAAGCCCCTAAAATTGAAGGCAAAATGTGTGAAGACACATTTGTTTTTCTGAAGAGCTTTCATTAGATTTTCAAATGTATATGTGGATTAGTGGTTGCTTAGGGCTGGGGTGGGGAGCGAGTGACTGCCCGTGGGTATGGGTTTCTTTATGGGGTGACGAAACCAGTCTAAAATTCTAATATGGACCGAAAAATGGCGGCGGAGTGAACGGAGCTACACAGACCGTCTCCCAGAACCAAACTGGAATTACAACTATAACACAGACAAATCGACGGGAAAAACCAACAGAAAAGCAGCTTGCGAGGACCATACAACGAGGGACACTGACTCCATCCCGGTAGGCTTGTGAAGGCGCGAGACAGGGGCTGGGAGCCCTCGGTCGGCAGCTCGGGAGCGGCCTTAGCTGGGAGCAGCGCTCTCGGGTCACACTCCCAGGCGGCCCCACAGCGCAGAGCCGGGACAGAGGCTGAAACAGCCACAGCCACTCACCTTGGGCTCCGGCAGAGGGAGGGCGGACTGGACTGGAGCTGTGTGGGGACACTCGGGGTTTGGAGGGCGCTCAGAGCTTTGGCTGAGTGCAGCCACTCAGGACGGGGGCCACATTGCTCCTTCCCAGGGCTCTGGGGAGAGGCAGCAGCCCCTCCCTCGGAGATCCAACCCCACCCTGTGGGCCATTGAAGTGCTAATTGAGGCTCACTAACAACCAGCATCTGCCCCACCCTCGTGAAAGCCCCTTGGCTGAGCCCCAGAGGGAGTTTTTCAATCAACTGACAACCCAAAACTCATCAAGTAACCTAGACTGCTAGCCTCCAGGCAAAAACCTAGAGGATAACAGTACGTTTCCTGGGCTGGCAACTTTAACCAGGAAAGTAAGACTTGACAGTGGTGTTCAACGCGGGTCCTCCCTCGCTCATTTAAACACAGGAGAGGGAGCCACAAACAGCAGAACACCAACACCCACAGGGAGAACTTGACAGGCTCCAAAGCCCACAGTGATAGCTAAAATGGTGAAACACAGAAACAGAAGCCAAATGAAAGAGCAAGACACCTCCACCGAAGATGAGATCAATGTGGAGCAATTAGGCATGTTAACAGAGCTAGAATTCAGAGCCATGATCTTGAGGAAGCTGAACAGCATGAGTAAGGACATAAAGACACTGAAAATAAGCCAAATGGAAATTAAAAACCAACAAGAAGAGATAAAAAATGACATAGCCGAAATGAAAAACACATTGGAAGGTTTAAAAAGCAGAGTAGGGGAAGCTGAGGACCGGATCAGTGAATTAGAAGACAGGGTAGAAAAAATCAACCAATCAGAAAAACAAAAGGAAAAAACTATTAAAAAACAGGAAGACAGCTTAAGAGAACTATGGGACAACTGGAAACGTAATAATATTCGCATCATAGGAGTCCCCGAAGAAGAAGAAAAGGAGCAAGGGATAGAGAATATATTCAAAAAAATAGTGAGAGAAAACTTCCCTAATTTGGTGAAGGAAGAAGGCATTCAAGTTCAAGAAGCACAGAGAGTCCCAAGTAAGAGGAACCCAAACAGGCCCACACCAAGACACATAGTAATTAAAATGCCACAAATTAAAGACAAAGAGAGAATCCTAAAAGCAGCAAGAGATAAGCAACAGGTTACCTACAAAGGCAACCCCATAAGGCTCTCAGCTGACTTCTCACAAGAAACACTACAGGCCAGAAGAGAATGACATGAAGTAATCAAAGTCATGAAAAACAAGAATCTGAATCCAAGACTACTCTACCCAGCAAGGCTATCATTCAAAATAGAAGATCAAATAAAGAGCTTCCCAGACAAAAAAAAGCTAAGGGAATACATTAGCACCAAACCAGCACTGCAAGAAATGTTAAAAGGACTGCTGTAATTAGCAGTAGAAATGGGAAGAAAAATAGAACCACACTAAACAAAATGGCAATAAATAAGTACATATCAATAATCACCTTAAACGTAAATGGATTGAATGCTCCCATAAAGAGACACAGAGTAGCTGATTGGATAAGAAAGCATGACTCATCTATATGTTGTTTACAAGAGACCCACCTCTCAACAAAAGACTCACATAGGTTGAAAGTGAAGGGATGGAAAAAAATTTTCCAAGCAAATGGAAAGCAAAAAAAAGCTGTGGTAGCAATTCTCATATCGGATAAAATAGATTTCAAAATGAAGACCATAACTAGAGACAAAGACGGCCACTACATAATATTGAAAGGATCTATCCAACAGGAAGATATAACCTTGATAAACATATATGCACCCAATATAGGAGCACCAAAATATATTAAAAATCTTCTGGAGGACTTCCAAGGAGAAATCGACAACAATACAATCATAGCAGGGGACTTCAACACCCCGTTGACAGCACTGGATAGATCCTCTAGGCAAAAAATTAGCAAGGAAACAGAGACTCTAAATGAAGCACTAGACCAAATGGATTTAATAGATATCTACAGAGAATTACACCCCAAAACTACAGAATACACATTCTTCTCAAGTGCACATGGGACATTCTCAAGGATAGACCACATGATAGGACACAAACTAAATCTCTACAAGTTCAAGAAGATTGAAATCATATCAAGCATCTTCTCAGATCACAATGGCATGAAACTAGAAATCAATTGCAACAAGAACATGCAAAGACATTTCAACACATGGAGGCTAAATAGCATGTTATTAAACAATGAATGGGTCACCGAGGAGATCAAGGAAGAAATTAAAAACTTCCTGGAAACCAATGAAAATGAACACACAACAACACAAAATCTATGAGATGCAGCGAAAGCAGTTCTGAGAGGGAAGTTCATAGCACTACAGGCCTACCTCAAAAAACAAGAAAAATTTCTAATTGACTGTCTAACCTCACAACTTAAAGAATTAGAAAGCAAACAAAAAGAAAACCCCAGAGCAAGTAGAAGGAAGGAA